GTGGGTTCTTCCCTGGAAAATACGAGCTCCTATTGTTAAAAATAAAGTGCGTGCGTACAAAGTACACATGTCAGAAGTGAAACTTCTTTGGCAAACTAATTATTTAGTCTTGTTCATATTTATACAAATTTAAAACTTTAGATTTCCAAGACTAAGAGGGAGGGAAAAAGGAAGATATGTTAGGAATTTATTGAATTTAATTTAATAATATAATATAAACATGTGGCATTTTAATTTACAATTCGTCATTTGAGATTTAAATAAATTATTATTTATTATTATTGCATAAAATATAAAAATATAATTCCTATAAGGTAATTCACCCTTCTCACTCTCTCTCAATCGGTCGCAATCGCTCCCTCCCTTTTCTTCGACAAAAACGCTGCACATCTTCGTGACGCTAATATAATCATTATTGCATTTCATCCGTACAAATTTTACACTCATGCGCCTAAAAAAGTTTCACTTCAAAAATAAAAACATGATTTTTTGTCTAAAAATAAAAAATTAAATTTAGGGGAATGAAAAATAGATGTTGTTCGCAGACATAACCGATATGCACAAAAAAATTCACGAAAATCGGTCACGCCATTTCGCAGGAATGACAAACACCGTGACACGACAATTTTATATATAAGATGTCTCTCACAAACAAAGAGAATGAAGTTTTACGATTCTGTTTGGTTAGTTTTTAACTGCTATTTGATTTCTCTTCAAAAAGTGCTTGTTCCTTGCAAAACTTAATGGAACTTCAACATTATCAGTTCATCTAAAAGTTTTGTATGGTCAAGTCTACATGAGGGCCAGACACACTGCATCTTGTGTTAAGAGATTCAGACAACTTCAATATTTTTAATGGATAATTTTTTCACACCTTGGGTAATATCATTGCATTTTTATTAGGGATCCCTACTCTTTTTAAAAATGTTATATAGCCTATGTCAGTCAGTGAAGATGCAGTTTTCTATTAGTGAAAGAATTTTTTAAATCGGTCCAGTAGTTTTTGTGTGAAAACATTACAAAGATTCATAGAACAACACAAATGTGGCCTCTTTATATGTTATTAATGCTGTATTGGTTAAAGTCGCTTCGAAAATTAGCCATTATATGTCTAATTATTGTGGGATATCCATAAGAGATAGACATATACGATCAGGGAGTTTTCTGTAGACCTTTTTAATGTGTACAATACTTAGTACATTATTTTGATAAATCATAAATCGCGTAGGGTTCATAAACGCAGGCTGCGTTTGCAATGTAAGCGGGAAAATGTAATTATTTACGACATCACATTAGAAACCTCAAAAATAACAGTTCTTTCTCCACTATTTAATGGATGTTATTATACATATAAACCTTTCTCTTCAATCACTCTATCTATTAAAAAACCGCATAAAAATCCGTTGCGAAGTTTTAAAGATTTAAGCATACATAGGAATATAGGGACAGAGAAAGCGACTTTGTTTTACACTATGTAGTGATAGTGATAGTATAGATACGATCCACCATTAAATAATTTACATGACTCGGCCTAAGGTTGTCTAGACTGCACATTCATCACTACAATGTAACCACATTTGGCTGACAATCGCTTATAAAAGATTGAAGGCAAAAATAGCCTATTTCACACAATATTTTGCGAATTATAAACATCATTGGTTTTCTATTAGGAGTCTGATATAGCATCAATCAAAAATATGGGCTCCGAGTTTTCAGCAGCCATCTTTCAGATCGGAATACAGCTTCTTTAATGCCTAAAAACTCAATGGTAGTTGCCATTAGGCATAATTTTAAGTGATTTAGGGTCCCGCATAGAGCTTACCAATTCTTAAACGGCCGGCAACGCACTCGCGAGCCCTGTGACATTGAGAGTGTCCATAAGCGGTATCATTTAACATCAGATGAGCCTCCTGTCCGTTTGTTCTATAAAAAAATGTTAAATGTGAATAAGGGAGCGTTCAAGTATTACGACACGCAATTTTTGGAGATTCTTGACCCCCCCTCCCCCACGTAACGCGCCGTAACGTTTTTCTGTACCCAATAGTTAAACGTTTCATGACCACCTACACCACCTCTTTTTACCTAAAAGTTATACATGTGGTATAAAGTACTGGAAAGTCGAAAATAATATTAACAACAACGCGTAATTCAATCCCCGCCCCGCACCGTAACGATTTACAAAAGGACCCCCTCCCCCCCAAAATTCGTTACGTAATACTTGAACGCTCCCTAAGAAGTGAAAGGTATTGGTGCACAGCCGTGATTCGAACACACGACCTCAAGGTTAAGAGACGCACTCACACACACTAACTAACACTGTTCGAATCTAAAATAATATAAAACACATTATCAGATTGAATTTGATTAAGCGAGAACTTGTTCATGCTAATAATTTATTGCTTGTGTTAAAATATATTCATTAAATAATGTATAATAGAAAAAAAAACTTTTCTTCTATAGTTACAACTCATGCATGTTAAATTTATATTAAAACAAAATATCATTTATTCATGTAGATGACTGAAAATACTTATAAACAGCAATTCTTAAATCAAGGGCGTAGATAGACAACTGTAAAGAAACTCTTCGTTACTTTTAAATCGCCAAGGTATATAAATGTTTGGAGTATAGGTATATAAATATAATAACTAAAATATATTATTAAAAGGAGTCCCTTTAGGCAAGGTTCCGAAGATAGCAGCGTTCCCCTTGGAGTAGCTAGACTAAATCTTTGTCCGAGGTGGCTGTCAGCTCTTCGGTCTCCTGCGATGTCGACTAACCTTTATGCTCTTTTTCAAGAGCTTAATTATTGTATTTAAATAAACGAAATAGGAACGTTTCATCTATCAGCAAGGCAGGAAGTATCGACATCACTTAATTCACAATTGTAAGAAAAATTTATTAAAAACCATATGATTGATATATAAATTGTGCATTATACAGAAAAATCGGTTGGTGGAAAGACGGAATTTGGACCTCTGGCACCACTATTAGCTTCACTTCCAGCAGCACATGCAAACCCTCAGATACACAGTTGAGAACTATGTCTGTCAAATCTTTAAACATCGCTTTGAAAGTAAAAAAACGTCAGCGAAAGAACGCGATTTTTGCGCGTATTTTTGATAGTATTAGTGTATGCCGGCTAAAGAATTTTAAGATTTTTTTCTCCTGTACTCTTAAAGTTAGTTAAAGTGGAAATGGGCCGGTCATATTGCCCTCGTTTGTAATGATAGATGGATTAAAAATCCCTTACTTGGTATATCCCAGTGGAAAGAAAAAGGATGAGGTGCACCCAACCTGGGAAGATGAAATAAAAGAGATAGCGGGAAATGGATATGGTCAAATAAAACACTTTGTTTGAAGCTGGGTAACAACTGACATAAATGGTTTAAAATATGAACTTATAACTAACAAAATTAGAGGTTGTGGCAATGCGACGCTAACAAAAAACTTATCAAAGGGTTATTTTATTTATAATAAATACTCTTAATAGGAAACATTTAAAATCTTAACAGCATTTATATGAAAAGCAGTTAATAGACCGTCAAAGACAAAAACCGCAAGATTAAAATTAGAAAAATACAGGCGTACTAGTTTATTATGATTTCATAACGTATTGAATTTCTTCTTTGGAAATTTTGTTAAACATTGAATACAGATAAGAATCGTTGTTATCCAGTGGCACTACAACCTTTTTAGGTGTGGGCCTCAGATTTCTATATCTATTTTATCATTTGTCAATCTAATAGTTGTTTTTTGGGTCTAAGGCAAGCCGGTTTCCTCACGATGTTTTCCTTTTCCTTCACCGTTGGAGCGATTGTTAAATGCGCACATAGGCAGAAAGTTCATTAATGCACAGCCAGGCATCGAACTTAGGACTGGGATAAGCGTCGCACGCTAAAGCCACTAAGCGAACACTGTACCCTAATACAATACAAGACAAGACATAGATAATGCATAATCTGTTTCCTCAATGACATAATTAGGTAATTCAAACTATCTATTTTGTAATCTGTCAAACCATTGACAATGTATATTATGAAAAATTAACTGTATGATGAAATGTATTAAAAATCATTTAGGCTTACGGTAAGTTTAATTTTGTATAATTTTTTAATAATGATTTTCGAGGTATCATTATGTAAATATTCATTGTGAAGCGATTATGCGGTTTGGTATCCCATTAGATGTATTAGGGCAATGTGTGGAGCAAACAGTCTTAATAGTGGCACGTACGTTTGCTTAAGAAGCAGAAAGAAGAAGAATATTATCTCTGTATAAATTCCTGTATTATATTCTAGTAATGTCCTTATTTGTTTACAAAAATATTAATATCTAATTTAATTATGTAAGTCAATATTGCACGTATGGGCAGAATATGCAAAGTTTAGATTGTACCACCGAATTGCGTCAATAATAATGAAAATTATTATTATTGGCGCGATTTTAGTCAATTTGTATCCCCGCCAATTCGCGTGGTATGTTTTATCAAATAGATCTCTTTAAGATGTTATCAAAAGCTAATCCTTCAAAGATATTGAGTTTCTTTTCATGGTTTTTTTAATGTTATGAGTTTCAAAGAAGTCATGTATATACATGATCTTTACTATCCAAATCTCTTAAATTAGAGGTTTTAATTATTACAATAATAGCTTTGCTCTCCCTTCTTTTAAGAAGCTTAAAGAACAGTTGTTATACAGGATTTTAGCAACAAAAACTCTCAAAAAGGAACAAATTTTTACGTTGCTAGTGCTACCATTTTTCATTCATGCTCTTCTCCTATTAATGAATTAGTAATGCGATGTAACATGTCTTTAACATGTATAAATGAATATTCAAGATTTTGTTTGTTGCAGTGAATGGACGACGATATTGACTAAATGAAATCCGTTTACAATATAACAAAAATGATTCCCGTGGCTGGAATATTTACTCAAAAAATTATCGATAACAAATACCAATGAATTCAAATAAAATGGCCGACGTATTCACAGACTAAGATGTCTGACTATGCAAAACTAAAAAAATTGGACGAAGAATCGCTCCAGAAACTAAAAGAAGGATCGGGGCCCGTCGATGAGTGTCTATGCTCCATTTTTAGTCCAGGCATAGAGAAAAAAAGTTTCACTAAGTCTGTGAAAAGAGCTCTAGGTCTCTCTGGACGGAAGAAGGAAGTTTCCGCGGGAAACCGGAGCGTTGACATACCATTGACGTTTAGCAGAGATGGAAAAGGTTTAGTGAACTTTTTATTAAAAGCGTTCGTTATTGTTTCTTGGCGAAATATTTGTTTCTAGTTAGTAAAGTTATTAGATTCAAAAGTCTGTTAACTCCGGCTCCGCACGGGCACCCATGACCTTCTTTACTTCTTCTTCATCCTTGATAAATGATTACCTTAACATTCCTATTGAATTATTCTAGATTTATTTATTTCCTATTTATACAGTAACAGTACAGTAACTAATACAATAAAAAACTTATTAATATAAAAATTAAACTAAGAACAAAAAATAAAGAAAACATAAAACCTAAACCTTTTTATAACTAATTAAAAAATGCAATTCTTGTGAATTCAGCCAGTGTGTAACTATCCGTCTCACATGAAATAATATTCATGGCGCTTCTCTGAGTAAATTTGTACGTGCCCGAAGCACTGCAAGCTATTGCGACCGCTCACCACGCCCCAGTCTCTCCTACATTTCTCTCCTCTTCCTGCTCCTATTGCTGTATCCTACCATACCCAAAACAAACAAACTTGGCTACATAACTGATGATAATAATATCTTAAACTCCTCCGAAACGGCTTGATCGATTCTCATGAAATTTTGTGCGCATATTGGGTATGTCTGAGAATCCGACAACATCTATTTTTCATCCCCCTAAATGTTCAGGGTAGTCCACCCCTAAATTGTTTTTTTTTAATATTTTTAGATAATTATATTTTTTATTTTTTTGTGACAGCATAAAATACATACAACTTCTAATTTTCACCCCTCTACGATCAACCCCTATTTTTTATTATAAATGATAAACATGGCAAAACGACGTTTGCCAGGTCAGCTAGTATAATATAAAAGCTACACATATTCTGTCGCTTTTGTAAGCATTATCAAGCTATACAACTTCTTTCTTGAACTCCATCATATGTCTCTCCGCCATTAAGGCAGCGTTCGTAAGAAACATTTCGTTAGACCGTTTTTTCTCCGACTTTGCAGACCCGACCACCACGAAAACGTCCTTTCTTTCCTCCCTCTTGCTAATAGTAATAATAATTTATTTATTGCAAGATTATGGTACAAAAATGTGTAAGGTGGTACAATGGTAAGTTTGCATATTCTGCCACACACAATGGCGCGCAAATATGTCTTTAAAGGAATTTTACATTATTAGTCCTATGAATTGGTCAATTCTTATAAATTTATATCAACTACAGTGTCTCACGCAAATAATCATTTATTGAATAATACATTTTTTCCAAAAGTAATACAATAGTCAATTTTTAGAGCTATTATATAAAATAAACTTTACATAATTTTGTGATTTCAAGCGGAAGGCACATAGTATATGACATGATAATAAACAGTATTTATTTTATACACTCCAGCACTTTATAGGGCCGCTCTCGCGAGATTTCTTTAAAAATCGTATTTTCTTAGAACTCGAGTTTTATAATTCCCTAGAAAGTATACACTCATACTAAGGGATTTACAAAACAGTGTTTGATGTGTCAGGGGTAATTTTTTTTCAGGCGTCTACACCACGAAGGAGGTCGTGAAGCGGAAAACTCCTTGCGGAAAATGCGGCTGCGACAACGAGAACATTGTACTGAAGCATTCGTACGCGAATATACGAATTACTACGCCTGACATATCGACTTTCTGCCCGTGTCCTACGACTGACTGTTTACCAGGTACGCAACAGCAATTAGTAATAAAAACGACACTCGAAACGAAGAAACTAAAATGTTGACGATACCTGACTTCAGGATATCGGTTTTTAGTGACATCGTCAAAATTAGTCTCATAATTTTTCCCTAAGGCGCCAAAAGAAGTATAACTTCAAAAACAATAACCAATATAAACATAGAAGATAAAGAAGAGGAAGAGATAGATAAGATTTTAACTAAGCAATTAAAGTTAATTTCGACAAATTCTTTATTAAAAAGTAATTTTTCTAAAGGGGGCATTTTGCTCTCCCATTTACCGCAATGGGAAGTCTTCCACGATCCGCTTCTTAAGACAGTTTTTTCTCCAACTGCGGTATCGACTATCGGTGACCGTCTGCCCTAGGAGATACGTCAAAGCCACTTCCTCTAGCGAGAGCTAGAAACAGCTTTAAAAAAATGTTGCAATGAAATGGGAGTCAATGTGTTTGACATCTGCCCTTTTTGGGCGTAGCTCGTTTACGGGGGGTAAACCTTTCCTATAAAAAAGGGCAGAAATTAAGTTTGGTGGCGTTTGTTATATGGATAAGTTCAGATATACAGTGTAAACTCTTATAACAAATTTCAAGGGGCCGAGCGATTTTTTCGTTCGAGAATAAAAAACAAATTTAACCAATTACAATAAAAATGATTAAATTATTCTAAACACATATATTCTGTTAACTATGCCTGACGTGTTTTGCTATGCCAATATTTTTTTTGTATTTTTTTGAGTATTTTCTCTGGCCTTGACAGTTTGTTTACGAATAATGGCACACGTGTCGCAATTAACTGCTGTTTACGACCTCAAGTCTTTCTTAGAAATTTCGGCACCTCAAAAGATTAGTTTTGTGTTAAACCAAACAGATATTACGTTATAGAGAGGTTTTCGTTACGACGAAGGCGATTATAAAGAGTGTATCTTAAATGTAACACTTTGTTCGAAGCTGGCTAATGACTTTAATTGTTTAAAATATGAGCTTATAACTAGAATTAGGGGTAGTGGGGTTGCGAAGCTAACAAAAACTAACTTGGCTTATGTTCACAAATGTAAATGACACTTCAATACAAGTATAGTCGACCTTTTTGGACATTATCGGAAACGAGAACCAACTTTCCAACTAAAGGGCTTTGTGACTAATGTTAGGTTACATAAGTCATGTCAACCATTTTATTTCATGTCTCAGCCTTCTGTGCGTACCAACCCGATACAAATCGTTTTACAGAAAATCGAACCCAGTCGATGCATAATATATTTTTCGTTACAGATAAAGAGAGACTTCAAAATAACATAAAGGTAATCGTTGAGAGGGCTGGCGTTTCCACTCAGAGTATGCAAGATATAAAGAATAATGGCGAAGACATAACAAAAACAATTTAATTATATTATCTCTTGCTATACAGTTTTTTATTTGCAAACTGTAATCTAGAATCAAGAAGTATTAAGTAAAGTAAACAGAGGGTTATATTTCATACTAAACCAAACATTATAAAATCTAAATGGATATATTTTTTTTAAATTAAGTTTTTTTTTTATAATAATAATAAGCATTAATCTATATCTAGCTCACATACTACATATAAAAAGATATGTACAATCTAGTTATTCTAAGATGCGGCACCTTCAGCATTTTTCTTCTTTTTTTTCTTTTTTTTTTTTTAAAGACAATTCACACCAATTGACCTAGTCCCATGCTAAGCTGATGAAGCTTGTGTTATGGGTACTAGGCAACGGATATACATACATATTATAGATAGATAGACATATAAATACATATTTAAACACCCAAGACCTAAGCACAACACCAAATGCTCATCACAACGATGTTCGTCTCAGCCGGGGATCGAACCCGGGACCCATGGACTCGCAGTCAGGGGTACTAACCACTAGACCAATGAGTCGCCACTCTATTATATTTTTCCGTCAGCATCCAATCTCTGCCAGCTATCCTTCAAATCTCGTTGGCCGATCACTCTTTTGGTCTAACCTTGTTTCTCTGTCAGATCATATTATATCTTTAAAACGGGCTACGTAATAGTTAATTACTCGTAGTAGCCCGACATGCAATTGACAAATTTAGGAATTTGACAAATTTAGTTTTGAAGGCCGTTTCTCATTGATCAAACTAAAAATATATTGCTAATAATTAGGAAAGAAGTCAAATAGCGATAATCAAAGATATATTTGAATCTAGGGTATCCTTTAGAACGTAAGAGCTTATCGTACCTTTCGTATACAACTTACATTAATTTTTATTTTATGATCAAACGCTTTCTGGTGCTTGTGCTGGACACACTATTTCCATTAATTGTGTCAAATAATCGTTCATATACCAATTGCCGTTTTCTCGTAAAACCACAGCTATTTCCGTTATGTATTCAAGTCTGAATATCTAATACTTTATTGTGTGTTACACTAGCTGCCCCGCGAACGTCGTTTCTCCTTAATGTGACTTTACTTAGCCTTCCTTTTTAGTACCCAATTTTCCGGAATGAAAACTTTTTTAGGTTTTTCTGTGAATTTTTCTCTATACAAACCTCTGAGTTCAAGTCATAAGTTTCAAATTAACAAAATATAAAAAATGGGGATTGATCGTAGAGGGTTGAAATGTATGTGTTGTATGTATTTTTGTATGTTGTATCATAAAAAAGGGTGCGTGTACTTATGTACGCGCGTAAAAAGTTATACTTCTTTGGCTTTCTTTATTTTTTTAAAATATTAAATAATCAATAATAAATATTTAACGTTAATAATAATTTAATATTTAGTATATTATTCAATTATTAAGTAATATTGATAATAATAATTATTAATATTTATTATTTTATTATATTATTCATTCAATTTAATAACTAGGTATGTTTCATAACCTTTTAACTAATTAACAATAGGTCTTTGTGAAAAAGCATTGCTAAATTTCTTTGAAAAAGTAATTAAAACTCCTTTATTTGTTTAAAAGGTACTACAAACAATTATGGTCATTCAAAATTCTTGGCATAGCTGCTAACTTCACGCATATTCTATTTCTTTTTACTTGTAGATTGTCTTATTCCCATCTCGCTCGCGCACCCCCGGCGCCCGGCTGGTTTAAAAAGAATTCGTTAGTGGGCAACTTCACACTGATAATTTTGTGTAACGCTGCGCGCGCATCGTAAAATTTCACTCTCATCAATTTTTCATAACGCGCCTAAAGAAGTATAACTTCAATAATAAAAAAAAACGTGTTTTTTTGGGGTGAACACCCCTCACCACTTAGGGGTCTGAAATATAGATAGTAGCCGATTCTCAGACTTACTGAATATGCATAAAAAATTTCATAAGAATCGGTCGAGCTGTTTCGGAGGAGTATGGGAACGAACATTGTGACACGAGAATTTTATATACATCGAGTTGATTATTTTGATTACTAACAATTATTATGTATTGCAATTTTGCTGACTGCTATGAAATCGATATGTGAGATGCTGTAGATTGTAACATTCAAAAGCATTTTTGTCCGACTCGTCTGGATTTTAATTAGTTCATAGAATTTATTTAATTTAGCTGCACATCTATAGATATCAATTATTTCTAATTTGGAGTCTAAATTGTATGGAAAAGTGCAGCCTTTCCTTATAATTTATATTATGTAAATCATAATTGCGTAACCTATCAAATTTATAAATAAAATATAAGTTTAAGAATAAAGTATAACATCATTTGATTAAATTGTGTTCATTCAAAGCGCAAAGCATATTTTCTGGGCTGTTACTTATATAATAAACTTAACAAAACTCTAAATATATATCCTAAAACTAAATAAACTAAAATGTGTAAAGCAAATATGTTCATAAATTTTTATTTACTTTGAACTATGACCAAACGGAAAACCTGCTAGATATATTAAAATAATTTTCACGTATGTTTATTTTTTTGAAAGGAAGCCTTTTTTAATCCATTTCACAGGTTCTTACCTAGTTTGGAAACCAATGTCCCAATACCTTCTCAAGTGTAATCTTTTTGTTTGTTGTAAATGTTATATGGAAGAAAATAAATTATTATTATTATTATATAAATGGGTATTTTTAATTATACTTCTTATATTTTTTTTTATTTATGGCTCTGGCACGATATGTACATTAGCCAGCGTCAAGTATAGGATTTTTTATAATTCGTGCTTGTCTTTTAGAAATTCTACAGTGTCCTCTATGTACGGTTTAAGCACTCGCCCGGTACCGCACAACCCTCCCAAAGGCCGAGAACAAATTTAAATTAAATAAAAACTTGCCCTCGAACCGGAAATCGAACCCGGTACCCCTCACCTAGCTGCCACTTAATAAGACCGCTAGGCTATGAGGCCCCCTACTTCTGATATTGCTGCGAAGAAAACGCCGACCACAGGCAACATTATCATTTCTACATTCTATTCCAGCTGTCAATGCCAATTGCCAACTATAGTTGTCATTTGTCAGTATAGGAAAACCGACAATATTAGGACGTGTTGTTTTTAACTTTTTAAAATCTTTATTCTTCACAATAATAATTGTGTTATGTATAAATGTATAAAAAGTTTTACTTAGACAAAGATATTCAGTATAAATTATAACCAAGTGCTTATTGAATCTTTTTCTTTAATCTATATATATAAAAGGCTTCAAAATTGCATCCAAAATGCAAAACGTTAACGCTCCACGGGAGCCTGCTCCCGTGTTGAGCACAAGTTCAACTATTCTCAATATGAGAGAAAAAGAGAAATATATTGAAGAATTTGACTTTCCTTTCTGTGATGAGTCTTCTAAGTATGAAAAAGTTGCCAAGATCGGTCAAGGAACCTTCGGAGAAGTGTTCAAAGCGCGAGCTAGAAACAGTAGTAAAAAATTTGTTGCAATGAAAAAGGTTTTAATGGATAACGAAAAAGAAGGTTTTCCCATCACGGCACTGCGAGAAATTAAGATATTACAGCTTCTAAAACACGAAAATGTCGTAAATCTTATTGAAATATGCAGAACTAAGGCTACTTTACACAATAAATATAGGTCAACATTCTACTTAGTTTTCGACTTCTGTGAACACGATTTGGCAGGTTTATTGTCGAATGTAAACGTAAAATTTAGTTTAGGTGAGATCAAGAAAGTTATGCAGCAATTATTGAATGGGTTATATTACATTCATAGCAATAAAATATTGCATCGAGATATGAAAGCTGCAAATGTACTTATTACTAAGAATGGAATATTGAAACTTGCCGATTTTGGTTTAGCAAGAGCATTTAGTGTTGCTAAGTCAGGACAAGCCAATAAATACACTAACAGGGTGGTCACATTATGGTATCGCCCCCCAGAATTGTTATTAGGTAAGATATCCCAGAATTCACTCTAAAGAATGAACATAACATATTGTAATTGTTACATAAATAGACTCCAAGGATATTTGAGTCCCACTTTATATTCCTCTTATAAATTAGCTAAAGTTCACCAAATATGAAATAATAAGTAGAATTTCAGAATATTATGGTTTCACATAGATTTTATGTCTAGGCCTTTTTAGTGCAATGCTTAGGTCAAACTCTGAGGGCCATCACAAAGTTTTGAGCAATAAGATTTTTTAGGTGATCGTAATTATGGACCACCAGTAGATATGTGGGGAGCAGGCTGCATTATGGCCGAGATGTGGACCAGGTCTCCAATTATGCAGGTAATACTATAAGTGGCACTGGCTGTGTTATTAGTTATTACAGTTAAAGCCAGCAGACATCAGTCTTTTTATTTTCTTAAAATACTAAAAAAAATGGCTGGCGTCATGTTACTTGCTAAGACTGTTAAATAGTTAATAAATCTAATTATTAAAATTATTAGTTGATTGCCAACACTTCTCACTTATTTTGTTTTTCTTAAATAATTAATTAATTAACTAATAATAATTATTGAAATTATTAGTTGCTTGCCAACACTGCTTATGCTTATTTTAATAGTTATTAAAGTAATTACTAAATCAAAAACAAATCGAAAAATAAGGCTTGTGTAGTTTTTAAAAAACACTACTTAGGAATGGTTTTCTTGAATACAAATTAATATTTTTTGAAAACATGCTTGAACAAAAAGAGTCTTGATGAGTTGGTTTTTCAGGGTCCCACAGAGCAGCAACAATTAATACTAATATCCCAGCTCTGTGGGTCATGTACTCCAGATGTATGGCCAGGAGTGGAAAGTTTAGACCTATACAATAAGATGGAGTTGCCAAAGGGACAAAAGAGGAAGGTTAAGGTATGTTATGTATATTAATAATAATTTTTGTATCACTAATTAAAAAATCTCTCAGCTCAGCTCAACCCTGAGAATGTGCATTTACAACATGGCTGTGAATTAATAGATTTTCTTTGAGCTGTTAAGACTTGCTGGTATTTTCCCTAGTGGGAGTGCCATGCTGTTGCCTTCGGGCTTCAGCCAAATGGGCAGGCACGACCGGGGCAGTACGGGAAATCACCAAGGCACAGTCAGAGCACATTGCCAGATTTGGCGAGAGATTGGCCCAACTCCCTTCAGGGACTCGAGCCTTCTGGTCTCTCGCCAAAGCTGTCCAGGGGGAATTTTTGTCAGCCCTCCATTCCGCCACTGCACAGGGAGGATGACTCTCTGGCCCACACTGCGAAGGAGAAGGCCGACCTTTTGGGATGTCTCTTCGCGTCCAACTCGACTTTGGATGACCGAGGGAGATCACCACCGACCATTTCGCGGTGTGATTCCTCGATGCCGGAAATCACATTCCGGCAACGTGCTGTCCGCAAAGCACTATCTTCCTTGGACATTCATAAGTAGAGCGGGCCGGATGGTATCCCCCCAATTGTGCTGCGTACTTGTGCTCCTGAGTTGGCTCCGGTCTTAACGCGCCTTTTCCGGTACCTGTACTCGCTCGGCACTGTCCCGAAGTGCTGGAAGACCGCTTCGATACATCCGATCCCAAAAAAAGGCGATCGCTCTGATCCGTCCAACTATCGCCCAATAGCTATAACCTCCTTGTTCTCCAAAATAATGGAAACCATTATTAATAGCCAGCTCTTGAGTTATCTAGAAGGCCACCAGTTGATTAGCGATTCTCAGTACGGCTTTCGTCGTGGTCGCTCAGCTGGTGACCTCCTTGTATACCTTACCCATAGGTGGGCAGAGGCAATTGAGTCCAAGGGGGAGGCGCTGGCGGTAAGTTTGGACATAGCGAAAGCCTTCGATCGGGTGTGGCACAGAGCACTGCTCTCGAAGCTTCCAGCCTATGGGCTTCCCGAGAAATTATGCGATTGGATCTCCAGCTTTCTGGCCGATCGGAGCATCAAGGTCGTCATCGACGGAGCATGTTCCGACCTGAAACCTGTGAATGCTGGTGTCCCACAAGGCTGTGTTCTATCCCCGACCCTATTTCTTCTGCATATCAATGATATGTTGCAACTTAGCAACATTCACTGCTATGCGGATGACAGCACTGGGGATATTCTTTACACTGGCCGGGCAGGTATTTCTCGGGCAGTTGTTGATGAGTACCGGAACAAACTTGTGTCTGAAGTCGTAACTCTACTACGTGGAGTCTCAGACTGGGGCAGACAAAACCTAGTCCAATATAACCCCAAGAAGACACAAGTTTGCGCGTTTTCCGCTAAAAAAACACCCTTTGTCGCTACTCCTCTTTTCGAAAACACTCTTCTTAAAGCCACAGCCAGCATTGGAATACTTGGCGTTGACATATCGAGCGACGTTCAGTTTCGCGGTCACTTGGAGGGAAAGGCTAAATTAGCCTCCAAAAAGCTTGGTGTGCTCAGCAAGGCGAGGCGGTACTGCACTCCGGGCCACCGCATGCAACTATATAAAGCGCAAATTCGGCCCTACATGGAGTACTGCTCTCATCTCTGGGCGGGGGCTCCCCAGTACCAGCTCCTTCCACTTGACCGTATACAACGCAGAGCGGTTCGAATCGTCGACGACCAATCCCTCTCCGAGCGGCTTGATCCTTTGGCGTTGCGTAGAGATGTGGGGTCACTCTGCATCTTCTACTGCATTTACCATGGAGAGTGTTCAGAGGAGTTGTTCGGATTAATACCTGCAGCTGAATTTCATCATCGGACGTCGAGACAGAATACGAAATTCCACCCGTATCACCTCGACGTCCGCCGTTCCACAACTGAGCGTTTTTCAAGGCAGTTTTTGCCGCGCACAACCACTATGTGGAACCAGCTGCCCACTGAAGTATTTTCGGACCAATTCGACTTAGGGTCCTTCAAGAAAAGAGCGTACCTATTCTTAAAAGGCCGGCAACGCACTCGCGAGCCCTCTGGCATTGAGAGTGTCCATGGGCGGCGGTATCACTTAACATCAGGTGAGCCTCCTGCCCGTTTGCCCCCCGTTCTATAAAAAAAAAAAAAAAAAAAAAAAGGGGAAGGTACTGTATGTAAACTAGTATGAGTTAGAACCAAAAATTTATGTATATCTGTGACAATGTTCTAATATTAATGTTATATTTTATGTACATCAGCATCCTTAATTTTAAATATAACCAATTCAGATTAAAAGGGAGGCTTTTTAATGTGTATAAATTTCTATAAATAAAGTTAATAAAACATATTTTTCAGGAAAGACTAAAGCCATATGTCAAAGACCCGTATGGTTGTGATTTACTTGACAAGCTGCTGCAACTAGACCCGGCGAAGAGGTACTCCTAATTAACTCATATTTAGATGACAGAATCATTTATTAATATGCAATCAAAATATTTACAATCAAAGACAAGAAAAAGAAAAAATATTAAATTATCACAGCACTGATTTTCAGTTAGGCTGTTACATGAATGTTGTGAGGCTATACATTGGAATGGACCATCAAAAAGTATAATATATATACGTAAAATTTAAATTAATTAAAGAAATAAATTGGTCATATGAATTATAATATGAGGTAAAACCGGTAATAATCCTAAGGTACTGTGCATTAAACATTGTATCTTTCTATCACCAAATTATATAATAACCAGTATTACAAAGTCGCGTGGTATCGAGGCACTGTATCAACAAAATATATTATACTAGCAGATCAGCCAAGCGTTGCTGTGGCTAAGGTTTTTGTTATATTACATAGTAGCAAACTAATTAAGGGAAACTGTAGGAGAACACCAGTCATGGGGACCACCATGCTTTTTTGGTGGTTATGCCATTAAATTGTAGCTTATGTGAAACGTTGGTACTTTCAACACAGCGCCATCTGTTAGAATTGTATCAAATAATAAACAAATATTTTGCAATAAAATAATATTGCTGGTATAAATTGAGATGTAAGCTATCCTATCTTTTATGTTGGATCACACTACACACGGTGTGCAAATTTGATTGATATTGGTTCGGTAGTTTAGGAGTCCATAGCGGACAAAGAACGTGACACGTAATTTATATATATTAAGATTAAAAACATATGTTAAACATCCTTAACATACATGGACTTATTTGGAGAGTAATTGTTATTTGTTAACAATATATCAAAACCATAAGGACACTTTTACATATGTTTAAAATTTTTTACAGTTCAAATACATTATATCTTAACAAATTAAGTCTTATATCTTATACAAATATACAGTATTTACAATATTCTTAACCATCATAGTAATAATAATCATTAAAAATTAATAAATAGAAAACTAAAACATTTAAAAACATTGGTCCCTGTGGCAGTATACCTTTAATTCTGGCAGTATTTCTTCGCTGTAATCCGATACTTAGTAGTTGAGCAAGGAAAGCAACAACTTGGGTCGCTGGTACTACCTACCAGGCACCAACTTAAATCTTTAATTAGTGCCTGTGTCTGCAACCCCACGGCCCAAGAGTCTCTACTCAAGTCTTAATTATTATTTTCAGATATGACGCAGACACAGCACTCAACCATGACTTCTTTTGGACTGACCCGATGCCCTGTGACTTGGCTAACATGTTGGCCCAACATACGCAGAGTATGTTTGAGTACCTGGCGCCACCACGTCGTCCAGGTCATCTCCGACATCACCATCATGTGCCTGGAGCTCAGGCCAAGCCCAACCCACCACCCCAAGACTCGGGATACCAGGATAGAGTGTTTTAGTGATTTTGACTTTGGTGGGTGTGAAGTGCAATTGTGTGTTGGGGCACGGTTCCCATATTGACAAATATATCCCATGATATAAATGGTATGACATTGAACAGTGATTTAAGATTACTATATGAAATGAATGAATTATGGTTATGTTGGTTTCTAGATCTTCATGATGGTTGTGCGTTATAATTCTTTTTATTTAAAACACATTTTTTTTCTAAAGCATTTAACATTACCCTTGATACAGGGCTTTCAATGATAAATTCTATGTTGTAACTTAAGCTATTTGGAAAAACTTTATTAACTTGCGAGATTATCATTTTAATGCGGACAAAAATATCTTTTTTCTACCTAACCACAAAAACAAAAAGATAAATTTATAAAATGTGTTTTTACTAATTATTATCTTTATACATAATTGATTATTTTTGTATATTGCTATTATGTTGAAGTAGAAATATGAGAATAGAGGCAAGGCAAGCACTATATACCCCGTGCTGAACTCTGTGAAGCTGAAATATTAGGGAATATCCATGCAGGTACTTCTTATGTCTGAACTAGATTTTATAGGAAACTTATCATATAAATGTTTATAGTAATTTGTCCTATGTTTTTGACAAAAGATAATGTGGTGTATTGTTTAAAAAAGTGTGTGCGTACTTTACACATGTCACAAGTGAAACTTCTTTGGAAAACTAATCTTCAAGTCTTGTTCATATTTATACAAATCTAAAACTTTAGATTTCCGAGACTTAGAGGGAGGGAAAAAGGAAGATATGTTAGGAATTTAATGAATTTAATTAAATAATATAATATAAACACGTGTCATTTTAATTTACAATTCGTCATTTGAGATTTAAATAAATAATTATTATTTATTATTATTGCATAAAATATAAAAATATAATTCCTATAAGGTAGATCGCCCTTCTCACTCTCTCTCAATCGGTCTCAATAGCTCTCTCTCTTTTCTTCGACAAAAACGCTGCACATCTTCGTGACGTTTCCATAAAAATTTACCCTCATGCGCCTAAAGAATATTGTTGTGCTTCAAATATAATTGTGCACTTTCTCGCTTTTAAATTAATTTGCTATCCATCCAAAAAAAAACCCAATAATAAGAGTAAATAATGGGAGGACTTAACAATAATTGTCAAAAACATGCAATGTTCCGTATCCCTCTGAAACTGAAAAAATGTGTAAATAGAATTACTATTAAAAGGAATGAGGTTTTGCTTTATAATTTGTATTTTTTTAAAACAAATCCCATTGCCAAAATTTCAACATCAGATTTACTGTTGTTTTACATGGCTAACAATTTTAGATAGGTAGTATGTAAATAAAATGTGATATATTCTTGAATATATTGTGTTCCTTATTATTGTTAATGTAATATAAAATAAGGCTAAATAAATTGTTGTACAATTGATAGTTTTTGTTTGAAATTCCTTAACATCTAGTTGGGGTTATGTCAAATACGATTTAATTATGAAATTGGGCGGGAAACCCTCCTGGGTAACGGACAATCGCCCTCACAACTTTCTTTGCTTCGCGCATTATATGTTGTAAGAAATAAGAAAAAATATAAAATAAATTTTAAATTAGTGTGTATTTGATCTTTTTTTGATTAAAAAAAACAGATGAGCAAAATTGGTATTAATTTAATTCAATTATAAAATAAGATGAAATATTTTATCTATTTTATTTACATATTAATTATAAAAACTTTTTTAATCATTGTAGTTTTTATCAAAATTAATAGTTTATATTAAACTTAAAATTAGATAATGAAACATTCGTCTCATTATCTTGAAACCAAAATTTTTGAAGGTTTCACTTCTACCACGTGTGAATCGCACACGTTTTTGTTTGTGATTTAATTGTTGTCATTATTGAGGGTGGGTGTAATGCTACGTACTGTAGAGTGTATCATTGTATGGAAGACATTAGACAAGCTAAACCAAACGAAGCCGAGTGATTTCGACGCTTCTGGGGGTTTATTGTTAAACTGAGGGACGTTACATGGAGTACACACTGTACAATTTTTAGTCTATAATTATATAAAACAGTAGGCAGGTTTTGTACTTAAGAGCGCGACTATACCCGCGCGTAGATAGTTCACAGGCACTACCGCTTAGTGTTATTTTTATGGACATTTAGGTTGCTTTTAAATCAAAAGTATTATAGTGAGCATAATGTAATTATTTTGTTAAACTACAATAAGCTGATATAATCGCGGAAGCTCACTAATTGAATGCATTTTAATATTAGTAACTTTACAAGGACAGTAACAAGCGAAAACAGTTTAGATACTCTTTGAAGCGAGCCCACATATTCTACATACCTAGAAATTTGATAAGGGCTAAAATTAAGTGCCTGGTAAAAGACAAAGCTATGAATGTGCTTTACCTCATCTAGGGGAAATAAAGCAGTGACAACAATTAAGAATTACATACTCTTTTAATTATTTGCGTTCAGACCAAGCTAGGCTCTAACCATACCGCCATATCTTACTTCTTAAAATATTTATCAAAAAAGTCATTCAATGGATTTACATAAATAGTGAGTCTATTTAAATCCTGGCATTTTCCCTCTACACAGTAACATATTATGTAGAGTCGAATAGCACATTATTATCTATGCTCTGTACATTATAATTGTCAATTAATTTATTGACAGCTGTTTCAAAACTGACGGCTGACATCTTTATCGTTCAGCTGACTACAGAGTTGTTACTACTTTCATAAATCAAAATTATTTGATCTTGTTATTACATTCTAAATTATTATTTCTAATTCTTCAAAAGTAAAATGTTTTGGCATAACTTATTAATTTGTTGAAATTAGAAACTTATTAAAATTTCATTTAGTAAGAAAATATAATACGGTGATGTGATACTATTTAAATTAAATTGAATCTAGTGCATGTATTTGCAATATCGATCGCGAAATTGCAAATTAGGTTGAACTACTTTTTATTTATTCCATATCAGTGCAGTGATATCTTAAGTAAACCAGATAGCTACGCCCCCTTTTAACATTACTTCACACTTTTACGTATTTTGTATACCATTAAAAAAATAAGAAAGGTAAGCACTCCTTTCCAGGTTTTCACATTAACAATTTATTTCTGGTCTTCATAATTTTTCAAATATGTAAACGTTTCTATGTTCTTAATAAAATTGCTTTCAATGTTTTGCTGTGAATATGTAATAAAATGAATTTATTTCTATTAATGTAATTAGAACTACATTATTACTACCCAAAACACATTATAGTCATGTCACAAGTATATTGTCATGTCAAGCTTCTAGCAAAGTAATGTAATTTAATTATTACTTTTTTAATGTTAAATATGAGTATATTAACCGTCAGTGCTTATTTATTAAGCCTTAAAAAATAGGATTTGGAAATACATACATTTGCTGAGATGAGTTCTCGCAAATCATACACCCAATAAGTTCTCAGGAATTTTGTAAAAGGCATTCGTGCTAGTGCTTTGCCCTCACATCCGTGCCTATGTTTCTAATTAAACTCCTGACTGGACCAATTTTGAATGAAATTTTTGTGTGTATTTAAATAGTATATATAAATGCTTGAACTTACATTAATAATTTCCTATTCCATTATATTTCTAGAAAAATGGCAAGTGAAAGTAGTTCAGCAGTCTTAGATTTGAATGATGTGGACACAACTGATACAGAAGTAGGCAGTGTCACAGATGATAGAGAGGGTTCACCCCTCATCATGGAGACGGGATATGATATCGCTGTTAAGGTGATTGAGATATTTTATAACTTTATGATTTTTTTAAAGTATTGTGAATTAATTCACGCTGTTTAGACAGAAATGTTAAACTATATATATATCATAGAGTTCTACTTTTTGGTTTTTAAAAAGTTACTTCGAAAACTAGATCTCAGCTGCAGGAGAGTTTAAAAACATCTTCCCATTGAAGTCTGCATCTTAATCAATTTAAATAGCAGGAAAAAGTTTTGATTCTTTACAAGAAATTTGTTTAAAATAGAAATATTCTTATATGTTTCTCATACTGCATAATATTAACCATGGGCCGGCGACACCCTAAGTCCATTACCATACATAGTGAATTTTTAGGTAGACGCGCCCATGAAACAGCTGTCGACTCTAGAAACATTTGTGACGTTTCGCGTACGATGCGTTTGCGCACGATGGCCTGCACCGCCCTACGTTAGACGACGGTTTAATCATTTTAAGGTAATTCATATTAAGTTACAGGTTAACACTAAAAAACCTAATTTTGTTATAAATAAGGGAGCGTTCAAGTGTTACGTAACGAATTTGTAAAACGTTACGATGCAGGGGGGGTCAAAAATTGCCTGACGTAATACTTGAACGCTCCCTAAGTGTGAAATTATGTTTTTATAACAAAAGAGTCATTTTCATACGTTATTATCTATCTAAATCGTTAATTAATAGTTATCTCGATAAAGTGTGGGAACTACCTATAGATGAATTTTGTCACAACCCTTTTGTCATGAATAAAGTTTTTATTAAAGTGAAACTTCTTTACGCGCATGAGGGTAAAATTTTCACGAAGATGTGCAGCGTTTTTGACGTGACAACGTCTTATAATTCGATGGAGCAGCCGGCTCCGCACGAACGCACGAAAAAACATGACTCATGCAGCGTTACCTCGCTCTGAGGCGTTCCATTAAGGCTTGAAGTGCAAGCGAGAGCACTCGTTCCGCGCTCTCGCTTGCACACAATAATTGACATAATTGTATTTATGCGTACAAATAAATGTAACTTAATCAATTCAATTGTGATTTCCATTTACTTCCTTCTCTATATCCATACAAAATATCTATCTAACAAATAAAATTAAAATTTTCTTTTGAAGAATGCAACCATTCCATCAGTATTTTCTTATGACGTTGTCACGTTCAACTATCGTCAGTACACCGACTTTACAGACAACCGATATTTTTTCCGAAAAAAAGGGAGAGAGCGATTGAGACCGATTGAGAGAGAGTGAAAAAGGGCGAACGTATCACGCACAGTGCCATGGCGCGTGAGGTGCAGAGAGCTATAGTGAGAAAGATTGAGAGAGAGAGTAAGGGAGATCGAGAAAAAATACACGCTATTGGTTGATGTATTCGTTTAGTAGTTACATATTAGAACTTTAGATGGCAATTCTGACGCATAACGTCTTGTGCAGTAAACGCAGATTTTTTATTTATTTATATTATTAGCACGTATACAGTGTGTAAACAGTGTGAATATAGATATACAAATAAATGGAGTGATCATATACTGGTACATGATCATCTATTGGGGCTTTTTACCTTAGTGATAAATAATTTACAAAAGAGGTTCACTTCTGACGCACGCACTTTTTTTTATAGCAATGATTGAAATAAGTAAGTATGTTACAGCTACTTCACAAGCGCCTGTCAGCCGCCCATCCCTTAGTGGCAATACCACCGCTGCCTCCGCTGCATTCAGCGAGGCAGCAGCTCGATAGATATTCGCCGTCGTTCGTCGCTGTGCGAGCGTTGGCGCTTGACGCTGTTATGGGTGAGTTGAGGAAAATATATTTTATTATTTGTCACCCACAAAATGTATAAAAAGTAATTTTAATTAGTAAATATACTATTAGTAATATATCCCGTTTAATCGTTTTTTTATGTAATAGAAGGCAAACGGGCAGGAGGCCCATCTGATGATAAGTGATTTGCCCATGGACACTCACTAGGGCTCCCAAATGCTCTTAAGGAATTGGTACGTCATTGAAGTCAAGTCGAATTGGTTCGGAAGTACTTCGGTGGGCGGCTGGTTCTACATAGTGTTTGTGCGGCAAAAATTGCCTTAAGAAGCGCTCAGGTGTGGAATGGACGTCGAGGTGAAAATAGAAAAAGCAAATGCAAATATAAAACCGTGATCAAGGTCTACCTCTAAAACTACTGAACCGATTTTGATGAAACATTGACTGGGCCCTATTTAGAAGCCCGCATATATTGACTTACACAAATATTATCCAACTCACACACACATTCTTAAGAATAATAATATTTTAGGTCAATAAACTATTTATTTCCAGAGAGAATCGCAAAACACCCAATTTTGACACACAGCGACGACTTCAGACTTTTTGTGACCACACCAGACGAAGATATTGATAAGGTGACTCATTTTCACTCCATATATTTTTAATCTGTTACAATATTTGAATTAAGAACGTCAAATTCTATAGTGACCAAGTTTATACCAAGGAGTTTTCATTTTTAGAGCCGTTTTATAGTCTGGCAAATGACTATTTTACTCTGTGGACGCGCCTATTTCCCACGTTTATGTTCATACATTTATTTCTTTAGAAATAGATAGAAATTCAGTCTACCTACTTCATTTCATTATACGAGTATATTTTCCTACTTACCCAGGATCTTTGAATAAAATTAAGAAAAATTTGAAAAAATTGTCTGTAAAGACGGTTTATGGACGATTGTTCAACGCGACAACATCAGAATAAAACATTGATGAAATGATTGCATACTCTTTGAGCGGAGATAGATGCGGCGCATGCGTACAATGAGCGTAACGGGACAAACAGTAACTGGTCGATGAACATAAGGGGACAATGAGCGTAACGGGATAATAAGCGTAATGAAATAAATCATAAATCGTGCGTGCAGCCGGCGTTTATAGATTTATTAGACGTCACGTCGAAATTTTTATTTAAAATGTCCTATTCGTAGGAAAACGTATGTTCCTTTCTTTACATTACAGCGGATCTCACAATTTGACAGAAGGAGACGCACATTCAAAACTATGTAATTGCGACTAAATTAATTAATATTTCAGATATTTAAAAGTGAAAACAGCGCTTTAAATTTATGGGGGCTTAGTTCAGCGCTGTATGGGAACAACGAGGCGAAGGTCACTAATGGCGCTAGGTGAGTTGAATTTTATCTTATGTCTCTTTCTCTTGCACGTCGTTCCGTCCTTGTCTCACTAGAATGTTCCACCAAAGAGGTACGTTGTTATGAGTTCTACTATCTATGAACCTTTCTCAAAAGGGCCTCTTAAAGGGGATAATGCTAGTTGATGTTTGTTAATGAAACATTTCTATTAAAACACTAATACTTTTTAACAAAAAAAAAACAAGTTTCGAAGGATTTTTTTATTTTTCTTTATTTGGAACAGATTTCGAAGATTCCTCTCGATCTCAATCATTATATCTTGGTTTTCTCCTTTCCAAAAAAAAAGAATCATACATTTAAATAAAATTAAATATAAATAAAATGAAGTAAATTATTAAGATGCGCGCGCATACCGTCACAAAAACCCGACACCCTGAATATCTGTTTAAACGTCGGTAAAACAGTCCGGGCCGTTAGTTGGCGCTTGGTCTGTTTTATCGACAAGTAGCATTGTCCGTCATGGTGTAGTGTTTTTCAGAGTCGTGTTTATTTAAACCAAAATAGTGATTCTTATACGAGAAAACCCATTTAAATGTAATAAAAAACATAGTGTTAATTGTAAAATATCATGATAAGTACATATTATATCGTTTCGATTGGAAGTGACCATTAAAATGGACTGGAATTAGCTAACCTACTAACAAAATCAATATTTTGGTTACTGTAATATAGCAACTACCAACTATTGTAAATAAAGTCAAAGTCAAATCGTTTATTTCAATTAGACCATCTAAAATGGCACTTTTGAACGTCAAAAAAAAAAAAAATATAAAGATGATTCTAGTTGCCCCTTCCAAAAGGTAGTTTCGTGTGGAGAAGAATGGGCAAGAAACTCCACACTTACTCTTTTAAAATAGGTTTACAATATTTTGTTACATTTGTTAAATAATTATATGTGAAGACAATGTACTCTTAGAATAAACTACTATACTAAAAAAGTTAGTATACATGTTCCTCACATATTTACAAATATCGAAACCTTAGAATATTAACATTAAAGAGTAATAAAAATATTAAAAAAACACAACAAAACAGTGTGTGAGATACAAAAAAAAATAATTACATTTGTAGCATTAGGTATATAAATTAAAAAAATAATAATAATAATAACAAAAATTAACATATTTTTTTTTAGCAAAAATTCAGCAACCAATTTGATTTTGTCCAGGCTATAGAGCCAATCATAGGATTGTCCTATGGAGCAGGACCAGCATGTTTCCAAGCATTCTTATCTTGAATATAATCATCTAATTTGTAATATGCTTGTTTACAAAGTGTACTTTTAATAAAACATTTAAATTTTCGTTCATTTAGTTTTAAAATGTCACAAGGTATTTTATTGTAACATTTCACACAGTACCCCATAAATGAATTTTGAACTTTGGCTAATCTGAAAGATGGTTGAGCTATTTTATCTTTATTTCTAGTACTAAAATTATGTCTTTCATTTATTTTACTAAAAAGATGTAGATTCTTTCTTACATACATAATATTTTCATAAATGAATTGGCAAGGTACTGTCATAATATTAATCTTTTTAAATAGTTCCCTGAGAGATTCGCAACGACGTAGATTATAAATGGCTCTGACCGCTCTCTTTTGCAAAATAAAAATGGATTCTATGTCAGCAGCCCGACCCCACAGTAAAATGCCGTAAGACATTATGCTCTGAAAGTAGCTAAAATAGACCAAACGCGCAGTTTCTACATTGGTTAAATATCTTATCTTTCTAACCGCATAAACGGCTGAGCTCAGCCGCCCCGCAAGAGATGTGATATGAGGTCCCCATTGTAACTTCTCGTCTAGCGTGATGCCTAGGAAAACCGTTTGATTAATAAATTCCAGTTTTCCTTCATTCAACATTATGTCACATTCCTTACTTTTAACATTTGGCAACGTAAATCTAATACATTTAGTTTTTTTATCATTCAGTGCCAAATTGTTTACCGTAAAAAGGCTTATTATTATTATTATTGTTTCCAGAGTGAAAGACCCGGAGTTCACCTCGGCAGGTGATTACATGCAGTCGTTGCAGGTGAAGTTGACAGCACTTTGCACGCTCACGAACAAGCTGTACAAGGGATCCGTCTCCCTCAGCAACGAGTATACGGGGTGAGTCTTATAGAACAGTGGGCAAACGGGCAGGAGGCTGATGTTAAGTGGCACTGCCGCCCATGGACACCCTCAATGCCAGAGGGCACGCGAGTGCGTTGTCGGCCCTTCAATTATTGATACGCTCTTTTCTTGAAAGACCTTTAGTCAAATTGGTTCGGGAATACCTATCGCCCTTGGACGCTCTAAATGACGCTCCGATTTTATTTTTAAAGTCGGTGCGCATGCGCCGATTAGAGAGTAACTGAACTCAACGATACACCTGTTAGAATGTTAGTCTTACAACTGACTTAATTCTTTCTTTTCGTTACATTCTGCATATATAACGATAAACCTCGACGGTAGCTCCCAAATCAATTTTTTTTTTAAGTGTTTTAAATGAAGAAAAGAGTGAAGATGTGTTTATTTAATGATTGAGATCGAGAGGAATCTTCGAAATCTGTTCCAAATAAAAAAAAATAAAAAAATCCTTCGAAACTTGGTTTTTTTGGTTAAAAAGTATTAGTGTTTTAATAGAAATGTTTCATTAACTAAATTTTATTTTGGGAGTTTAAAATTGTGACAAAAAGATATTTCAATATTCATTATAACTTAAACTCAAAATAAGTTTGTTTTTAACTAATTATCACTGGATAAATTGAAAACTCTCGTTGAACGTAAATTAATCAATAAAGCTTTTTATAAATTTGACGATTATTTAAATGATTGATTTGCTCCTGTTCAAACTTGTATGAAAACTTAGCGATTAAAAAGAGTGCGGAGAGTTTCTTGTTAGTGACTTTCGAAGTGGTAAATTTAGAGTTAATTTCTCAACTTATCTGAGTGTACTTGTTTACCTAAATTAATAAATGATTTTGACTTTGACTTTATAAGTTCTTAACTAACGAATATAAAATAAGGGTTGATCGTAGAGTGTAGATGAAAATTAAGGGTTGTATTTAATTTTGTATGCTCATAAAAAATAAAAACAAAAAAATTCATATAAAAAATATAATTTTTTTTGGGGTGGACACCCCTTATCGGTTAGGGGTTTGGAAGATAGATAGTAACAGATTCTCAGACTTACTGAATATGCAATTTCAATAGAATCAGTCGAGCCGTTTCGGAGGAGTACGGGAACGAACATTGTGACACGAGAATTTTATATATTAGATATATAGAATATTATTTCAATACACCTTCCAGTATGCGTCGTGCCTGCGACGCATGGGCCAGTCAAGTGGGCGGGCGGAGTTCCCGGGCCTGCGCTGCCGTGGCTAGGGGGTGCGCCGGCGCAGCTGCAGCCCGAGAAAGAGCCCCGCTCAAGTATAAAGCCATCTTGCCCCTGTTGGCCGCATATGCCAATGCCCATCTGGACAAGATCAAGGCTAGAGATGCTTTGCATGGTGAGTGTTTTGAGGTTGTGTAGGCCCTCATTCCCTGAGGTCAACTTTCTGTCTATGTCCTCGAACGGTGAAGGAAACCATCGTGAGGAAAATTTATCCCCCCCTTCCCTTTCCTCTTGTCAGCAAAAGTAAGCAAAGCTCTAAAAAATAATATTTTTCTGTAGGAATCCTCGAAAATGCATTTCGTTTTCAAGCATAGACAATGTGTGGGTGATATGTGAAAAAAGTAAATTACTGTTGACGTAAACACCAAATGAAAAAATCAAAGAAAATCCCCTTATGAAGCTTACGTAATACTTGAACGGCTCCAAAGTCGACGGCGTGTATTTGGCTGATCACCTACTTGCCTATTTTTCTTCTAATGCCATCTCCTTGCGAAGGTTGGCGATCATCATGCCTAGTTTGATTTTGGATGGCGCGCTTCTAAACAATGACTTGGTGCTTTGACCCCCCTATTAGATTGATAAATCATAAAACAGATACAGAAATCTGAGGCCCAGACCTAATAAGTTTGTAGTGCCAATGGATGTTTTTTGTTTTGCTTGACAGTAAAACCATCAATGATACCATAGATCAGTGACGCTGTAACCACAGACTATAAATTGTGTTTTTTATCGTAGTGTTGCCAAATTATTGTTTTTTAATTCCAGCTGCATATGTTGCTGGCAACAATGCGACAGGTGACAATCATAACAGGTAGGATGTTAATAATATATTTTTGAAGTGAAATTTCTTTAGGCACACAACAAATTTTTACGGAACGTCACGAAGATGTGCAGCGTTTTTGTCGAAGAAAAAGGAGAGAGCGATTGAGACCGAATGAGAGAGAGTGAGAAGGGTGAATTGGCTTATAGAAATTCTATTTTTAAAATTAAAATTTCGTGAAGAGAATTTATGAAATAATTGTATTTTATATGCAAAATAATTTATTGAAATCTCAAATGACGAATTGTAAATTAAAATGCCACATGTTTATTATCGAAGAAATAAATTTATAAAATTAAATTTATAATTTGGATTAAATTACGACACTTAATATTTTAATGACAATTAAATTAATTAAATTCCTGACATATCTTCCTTTTTCCCTTCCTCTAAGTCTCGGAAATCTAAAGTTTTACCATGATACCAGGTTGGAACAGGCATCGGAGGCCCTCCGCTCCGAGCTATCGGACTGGATCCCGAAGACACGGCGGGAAGTGAAGAGCCATTTGCTGGAGCTGGCCGACAGGCAGGTGGCCATCCACACTCAGTCGCTGATGGCCTGGGAGGCGGCCCTGGAACTCTCGCACGAGGCGGACGTCGGCCAACTCTTCAAAACTGTATCGAAAACGGCCGTGCAGAACCTCTCCCCCTCCAAGTGTCCGACGGATGTCGAGAGCGACTTCGGCGACGGGAATAATGAAGACGAAACGAAGGAGAACGGAGTGAACGGGGAGAAGGAGGAGGAGAAGTCCTCGGAAGAGGAGAAGGAGTTCGCGGACCCTCTGCAGAAGTTCACCGAAGTGGAGTTGTCCTGATTGTGCGACACTTTGTTCTGCGATGTGTTCAAGCAGATCATTCATTGAACTTCTTGTGTTAACCTTTGACTTCATCTGTTGGTTTAGAGTCTTAACCAATGGTCCTTCCACCTTAAGGCAGTTTTTACCATCATCATGTGGATCCAGATGCCCGCCTAAGTATTTCCGAAATAAACTGGCTTGAGGTCCTTCAAAGAGCGTACCAATTCTAAAAGGGCCGGCAACGTACGCGAGACTTCTGGCTCTATGGCATATCACTTGACATCAGAAGCCTCTTGTCCTCTTTTCCATTAAAAATATCCTAAATTTTCTGTGTATATCCTAAATCCCATACCCCAAATGACCCATCCCTTAGTCCTGCAATAGTTTTTATAAGACAAAACACAGGATCAGCGCATATCATAACATTTGTGTCTCAATGTAACCTACCAAAGCGCTTTTTATTAATTTACCTTTAAAACATTAATTACCTCTGATAAAGCCCAACAAATTGTAGTGCCACAACCATACATGAACCGGCACTTTGGCAGCTGCCCCAAGGAGTCTTGTGTAATGCATAATATTAGACATAAAACAAATTGTACTTAAATCTATTTAAAAGTATTTAATAATAATAATAATAATAGTGCCAAATATAAAGTAGAAGTAGTTACCATGTAACCAATGTAAAATGAAAGTAGTGTAAAATTTAGTTTTCATACTTCATCGCTAGACATTAATTGGACATACAGTGCTACTTACTTTTCTTGGCCGGTAAGAGTGTTACTATCATGGATATTAGTATTGCCAGTTAATAAAAATTAACTATTATAAGGGGCATAATTTAAAGTCATGCTAATTTAATAACTTATTGAAATATATCAAATAGATAACAACCCGGGCTCATAACCTGATAGCAAAGTGTGGTAGTAATTGAATAATAATTTACTTGATGAATAAATTTATTGTTAATATAACAGAGATTACAATAGGTACAACCAGTTTATCAAAGTCATGGAAAGGAAGTAATTAAGTATAGATTATAAACGAACCACAGACTACACAATATAGACCAAGTAAAACGCGCCAATTTTATTTTCAATTTATGTCTTAATAAAACAATGAATACTAGTATCTAGAAAATACAGTTCTAGGCATAAATAAATGTGACTCAAACTTAGGAACAACTGATATGATAAGTTTTGTTACCTGTACTATTAATATAATATCTTTTAAGATACTTAGCAATCAGAACCGTTCGATAATTATAACTTTGCCATTGTAATAATGCAAGGAATAAAAATAAATACATTTTAGTTGGATTTTTATTTGTTGTATTTGAGAGATGACTGACAATCTCAGTCTGACATTTCAAAATGGCGACGGTAGTACCAATTTCAGCCGCCGGCCAAGAAAAGTATGTGGCACTGTAATTGGCTATTTGACATTATAAAAAATCAAATGTCATTGAGACTAATCTATATAAAACATTACTTTGAACGCGCACGATCGTCACTCTGGCACTCTTAACTAAACTTTCTTGAAAAGAGACTGACAATTATTTCTCTCTTCTTTGACCTATTTGACAGTATTAATTAGAGTTCATGTCTTATAACCCTTAGATGAAGCAGAGGGCTTCCACAGTGAGTCTCCATCGCCTTCGGTCTTGAGCCTAGTATTTCACCTCGCGCCAAGTCTTTCCGGCTCTCTTTGCCTCATCTGCAACGACGCCAGATTTGGTTTTGCCACGCTTTCTAGCGGGTTCCAATCAAGCGCCTGCTTGGGGATATAATTGGAATCCCTACGGAGTGTATGGCCCATCCATTTCCATTTGCATCGCTTGATCTGCTGGCTGCTGGCAACAGTATCAACTTGGACTAAAGATAATATTTTTTAATATATTTCCAATAAATTATCAACACATGCCATATTCAATAGTTCGTGAAAAGGCTATTTTACAAGTTTTAGTATTAATTGATTAATATTTGTAATTCTAATGTTGGCGATAAAATTCAAATTTAACCCTCAAGAACTCCGGGCAAGATGACGTCACACCAGTCCCTGTGACGTACCATGCTTGTAAACATGTAAACCAACGTCATGTTTCAATAATAATTCTTAAATTACACATATCTTTCGATCAAGTCTCAGATAAAATTAAACTCTATGACAGGCGATGGCATTTGCAAGCTACGTCACGGACGATTCGACCGTTATGTGGCACGTGACTGACTTATATAATTGTGTTTTTTTATTAACGATTTTCAACAAGATATTTTAGTCCATAACGGTTTAAAGCCATGTTTAATTCAGATTACTCTCAATAACACTATTATCACACTGTCAAATAGGTCAGATAAGAAAGAAATCTTCTGTCTCTTTTCAAGAAAGAGACGCAAGCGTAGTTTAGTTAAGAGTGCCAGAGTGACGGTCGTTAGCTCTTCCAGTCATATTTTATACAGATTAGTCTCAATGACAATTAATTTTTCATAATGTTTTGACATTTTGGTCAAATTGGTTATTTGTAACCAATTATGTATAACCACAGAGTACCTACTATATTTGTCGAAATTTTATCGGCATCATGTAAATATTGTATTTATTAAAATAAATCACTTTTTACTCAATATTTTATTATTCATGCCACCGATATGATCCCATATCTTAATTACTGTAAATAAAAATTCACTAAGACATCTGTCAAATGCTCTAGTGTCATTTTTAGCGGGGTTTAATAAAAAAACAGTGTTTTTCAAACATTTATTAAAACATTTCACTACGTAAAGCTTAGTGCGATGGACGTTTAATTATATATTCGAGATTCTATCGAAGCAATTAAAATATTAAAGGTGCGTTCATTAAAAACTCTATATTCATAAACAACAGACCTCTGTCAGTGGAGTGACATTAACCCTATCGTCAATTTCTCTCGAAAATGGTCATTATGTCTGTTTTTTCACTGACACTCAATGCCAGAGGTCTCGCGAGTCCGTTGCCGGCCTTTAAAATGCAGAGAGACCCATCACCATTACGCCAGCTTAACACAAATACAACAATGTTTAGTGACTACGTCACACGTAGTGTAGTGGGCACGACAAACATATACAATTATTTATGAAAATAGATATTTTTATTTGAAACAAATTTCTTATTTTATAAGTACTATAAAAATATGCCTACAATCATTCTAGTTTAACCCTTCACAATTAACAAACACTAGGCTTTGTGCGGGTTTGTATTAAAATAAAACTCATTTAAAGACAAAATTTTCATCGAAAACTGTTTTGCTACTAAAATAAAATCTCTCACATTGTCAAATTTTGAGGAATCTTAATTAGTTCTTAGGGGAAGTATGGCTTACGTCAAAAACAATCGTGTTAACTACCCCTTAGAACGAATGCCTGAAAATCTTCGAGTCAAACTTATTTCGGAAACAATTCATTGATAATCGTGTAAGCGTCAATCCACGGGACGACTTTGGCCTTAATCTGTGGTTCCGGTGTTGCAAGAGTCTTTTTTATTAACTCGTCGAGAGGGTATCCTTTTCGCGGGAATACTGTTCCCTGAACAAAATATTAACATTATTAAATACAAAGTCGCAAAATTAGTCAAAATAAATCTTTGAAGTCAAATCTCCAGCTACTTTTGGATGCCAAAAGATGTGGGGCAATCTAAAGTCAGCTCTAAAGCACCCACGCTGTTCTTATAATATTTCATACGCACGTTAGGTGTCATTGACGGATGGTGCAGGTGGATTCATGCTCACGGTGAAGACAGACACAGAAGGTTACAAATGAAATATAATAAAGGAAACTGATGCAATCCGATGCCCAATTTAGGGGTTGGGCCAGTTTTAGACCAAAAACAACTTGATTAAGAGAACTATATATATGCGTCCATGGTGTTATTTTAATTACTCGACGTTATGAGTGCTTTAAAGTTTAAATTTTGAGGGTAGTTGCAAAAACACGAGCACCGTATTCTAAACTGAGACCTCTTTTTTTTATAGAACGGGGCAAACGGGCAGGCGTGTCACCTGATCTTAAGCGATACCGCCGCCCAAAGACACACTCAATGTCAGAAGACTCGCGAGTGCGTTGCCGGCATTTTAAGAATTGGTACGCTATTTTCTTGTAGAATAGAACCTCTATAAATTAGCTTCATCTTTGGATTACAGAATATAACAAAAAAATCTATAAGAAACAGTACTACCACTGCAAAATTAATTTCAACTAAAGAGGGTACTTGTAAAAAATATATAAATTACTATACTCACATTGCTAAGCAATTTCGTTGACGGACAGAAGTCGTTCCGCCCATCCCCACTGTACACAATACGCGTGTAGTTCTTGTTCTTACAAAGCTGCGCCAGCGCAATCGATTTACATAGGTTCGAGGGACAGAGACGGCAAGATGTTTGACGCATGCATGGCTCTATGAACAGCCGATCATTTTGCCAGAAAGCGCGATTTGTAATTATTGTTGTTATCGCGTCCTGAAAAGAAATTTTCTAATTAAGAAAGCCAGCAACAACCTTTTAGGTCTGGTCCTCAGATTTCTGGATCTCTTTAGTCATATTTCTAATAGGCAAGACCCAACAGCAGGTCAGGCGCAGAAGGCTGCTAATTTGGGTCTAATTTCCTTCAAACTCATTCATATAGGTAGCCAAGTACACTTATGAACGTCAACAGAAAATGTTAAATTGATCTAAATTTACAATTACTACCAGCAAGACAAAGGCATAGAGCGGGAAAGAACTGGCAAGAAACTACAATTCATTTCACACCTAACTTAGTTTAAAACACCCTTCTATAGTTTTTGAGATTATCGCGTTCCGTTTTCTATGTCAAGTTCGTTCTTGAAAACCTCCGCCAAGGTCCATTTTTGTATTGTTTTTACACAAAATTCACACGTTTCGATCACGTCACGATTTTATTCACCATGACATGTTGTTAGTACTAACTTCATAATTGCCTTAATAGACCTGTTCTTAGTTGATTTACATCTAACAACGTATTCTTTAATCTAGATTTAAGATTTTTAGCCAAATTCCTTCATCGCTCAAATAATGAAAATGACCTGTATTCGATTACGACTCCTCCAAATTCCTCCATTTGTCTCTCATCCTGACCACCATTTTCCAATCCTTCCCCGCTATCCCTTTTATTCCATCTTAAAACTCACACACGCTATATATTCGCGCTTTTTTCTTTTCCTTTTTCTACTCCCGAACGAGTAGGCACAGACCGCGGCGATTTGTCATGACATTAACCATGGTCGTCTGTTTGACCTGTCCTTTCTTTAGTACGTCCTTTGGTCCATCAATGGTTGCCTTGTATCTTGTATGTTCTTTATGACCGCTTCTCATTCATCCGTTCTACACCAAACACTACTTATCTACGTCCTTTTTATTAGCTTATAAAAAATCGATATTATAGCAGCAGAAAAAACATAAAATGATAGAAACGTATACCTACTACAGGGCATAAGTTTTCACTTTGTTACAAAAGCACTTTGAGTTTTTTTGGACATGAAACACGCACAGATCCAGAAAATCTAGAAAGACTCATCGTGACTGGCAGAGGGCACCAGATCTCGAGGCCGATCCACTACTCGCTAGACCTATCAAGGCCCTTACAGGTCTTACCGTCACCCAGGCACAGAGGCTCGCCGAAGACAGAGGAGGGAGGAAGAAGTGGTGCGGCGCCACTAACAAAACAAAAACCATCTAGATGGTCAGCTTTTTAACAAAAACTCTGCATCCTCTTTTGCGTCGGTTAAAAAGACGTTACCTGCAACTCATTTGTCTTTATCCAATGATTCACGAAGACTGTGTTAGCATCTGTTAGTATTGCGACGTCCCAGCCCTGCTCTGCCAATGTGGTGATCAGCTCCCGCATGCCAGGAGTCGGTGGCATACTTGCGATGCTGTCCAAGATGTCTGATGGGTGGAAGCCAGCGGAGAACGCGTGCTCGAATACCTGAAAAACAGATTTATGTTACGTGGTCTTTACTGTTCTGATGTAAGTGGTATTGAGTTGATAATTTCTGCAATGTTGCGGAAATGGAAATGTGTTGAAACGGGTAAGAGAATCTGATGTTTAGTGATATGCCCATGGAGACTCTTAATGCTAGAGGGTTCGCCAGTGTCAGCCTTTAGAAATTGGTACGCTCCTTTTCTTGAAAAACCCTGTCTTGTATAGAACAGGGCAATCGGGGTGGAGGCTCATCTGATGTTAAGTGATCGACCGCCCCCAAAAACCGTATTAAGAAACTCAGCTGCAGGTATTAATCCGAACTCCTTTGAACACTCTCCATGGTAAATGCGATAAAAGATGGTTCGGAAATATATCGACGTGCAATTGGTTCAACATAGCAGAGAATTGCTCTCGTTCTACGCCCTGTGTAACTAATTTAGAACTTTTAATCACATATTGTTACATAAATTAATGATATCTTTGATTTGATTTTTAATCCCCGCCTGTTCATTGCTTCAAACTTTGATTAAGTCGTTTAATGACCTATGTCACAATAACATGAATACTTTTTAAATCCAATTCAACCATACGCTGGTGAAATTCTTTAGGTAAAAGCGGAGAACTGATTAAGAATATATTCAAGAAAACCCTAAGAGAATACTTCATTTTCGTTTAATAAATATAAATTAATCGTTTATTTGCAAAGATCGGTACATTTAGATCGATTAATTATAAAAATCCACACAATAAGCCATATAAAAGTAGGCATACAAATGTCATATTAATTTTTATAATGTTGAGTTATTTATAATAATTGTTGTCAAACTTATGGTCTAAATACTCGCCCGCGCAATTTGCATTAAAAAAATACTTTTTGAAGTTATACTTCTTTTGGCGCGTAAGGGAAAAATCATGAGAGTAAAATATGATGCGCGCGCACACCGTCACAAAAAACCGACACCCTGAATATCTGTTCAAACGTCGGTAAAACAGTCTGGGCCGCTAGTTGGCGCTTGCTCTGTTTTATCGACAAGTTGCATTGTCTCTCATGTTTTTCAGTCATGTTTATTTAAAAAATAATGATTTCTATACGAGAAAACCCGTTCGAATGTGATAAAAAACATAGTGTTTAATCTAAAATATCATGACTTGTACGTATTATATCGTTTCGATTGGAAGTGACTATTAAAATGGACAAGAAAAATGCAATTCGAAAAGGAAACTTCTAAAATTTCTAATGCGTGTATTTACACGTTTTTTTGTATTTGAAATTTTGTAAAGTTTCTGTTTATTATACATACTAATATTATGTGTGTATAATAATAGGATGGAAAGACGTAGGAAAAGCTTTTTTTTATTTATTAAATTCCTAGGTTCGCGTTCTAGCAAATAAATCCTATATTTAATAGTATATTTTATTTCTTTTAATATGTTAACGTAGATCGTACGCCAAGTGGCAATGACGGAGGCCATGGCCATTGGGAGCTTTGCCAAATCACGTCCACATAACTTCAAACTTACATTTTTATTTCAGATAAAAACTCATTTTACGTAAATATTTAAAAAAAAGTGAGTGTGTTCAAAGTACACATGTCAGAAGTGAAACTTCTTTGTAAATTAATTATTACTGAGGTAAAAGCCCATACAGATGATCATATACCAGTATATGATCACTACATGTATTTGTATACCTATATTTGTGAATAGAAAAAGAAAGAGATTTTTTTTTTTAGCAAAATTTAAAATTTTAATTTTAAAATAGAATTTCTTCAAGCTACGTTCGCCCTTTCTCACTCTCTCAATCGGTCTCAATAGCTATCTCCCTTTTCTTCGACAAAAACGCTGCACATCTTCGTGACGCTAATATTATTACATGTTTTTGCGTTTCATCCGTAAAAATTTACAATTAAGAAGTTTCACTAACTTCAAAAATAAAGACAATTTTTTTTAAACATTTTAGGCCTAAGCTCCAGATTTCTATATCTGTTCTGTGATCATTTCTAATAGACAAGTAGGTGATCAGCCTTCTGTGCCTGACACATGTCGATATTTAAGTCTAAGACATGGTTTTGGCCAGTGATATATGCACTATAAAGTATGTTAATAAATAAGGATCTTAAGTGTAATTGATTTAGAACTGTGGACAGTTGGATCTAGTGGTGGTGGGCGGCCATGGAGAGTGTTCAGAGGAGTTGTTCGGATTAATACCTGCAGCTGAGTTTCATCATCGTCAAGGAAGAATACAAAATACCACCCGTATCACCTCGATGTCCACAACTGAGCGTTAAGACAGTTTTTGCCACCACTATGTGGAACCAGCTGCCCACTGAAGTAATTCCGAACCAATTCGCCTTAGGGTCTTAAAAGGCCGGCAACGTACTGGCGAGCCTTCTGGCAATGTATCCATGGGTATCACTTAACGTCAGGTGAGCCTCCTGCCCGCTTGGCTCCTATTACATATAAATAACATGCCTTCTATGGGACGGACATCGAGGTTTATGGAATTATGTATTCTACGATATACCGGACTCTAATTAACTAGATAGGTACATATTTCAATACCTGTGTATAAAATGATTACAAAAACGATTACGCTTATCGAGAAATTTTTAATTTTAGATAACAAGGAAATCACGAAGGTCATTTATGAAACATTTCCTTAGCGAGTGCTCATTCAGCTTTGTCACTCTTCTAATTTAAAAAATCTGCGTGCGTACAAAGTACACATTGTCTGAAGTGAAACTTCTTTGGCAAACTAATTTTTAAGTCTTGTTCATATTTATACAAATCTAAAACTTTAGATTTCCGAGACTTAGAAGGAGGGAAAAAGGAAGATATGTCAGGAATTTAATTGTCATTAAAATATTCAGTGTCGAAAATTAACACTAATAATAAAATAAAATAAATATTTCTACGATAATAAAAACACGTGGCATTTTAATTTACAATTCGTCATTTGAGATTTCAATAAATTATTTTGCATATAAAATACCATTATTTCATAAATTCTCTAGATTTATTAAGTTTATTTACAAGTGACCCGCCCCGCACGAGCTTCTGTTTACGCGTTAACTTCGAATAATAATAGATAGGTACACCAAATCATTTCTCATGAAGCGTTATAGATTGGTCTGACCACAATACTTTTTTTATAATACTAGCTGACCCGGCAACGTTGTTTAGCCATGTATATTATTTCTAGGAAACATTTTTTTTCGTTCAACAAAAATAACTATCTACTATAATAAAAAATAAGGGTTGATCGTAGAGGGGTGAAAATTAGGGGTTGAATGTATTTTTGTGTGCTGTATCATAACATAAAAAAATAAAAACAACAAAAAAAATTTGGGGTGGACATTTATCACTAAGGGGTTTGAAAGATAGTAGCCGATTCTCAGACTTACTGAATATGCATAAAAAATTTCGTAAGAGTCGGTGGAGCCGTTTCGGAGAAGTATGGGAACGAACATTGACACGAGAATTTGATATATTAGATAAATACGAGCCAATATTATACATTTTGCTCACACAGGCTTTCTGAGTCTAGTCGACAAGTTGAAAATGGAACAAAATAGAGATACTGCTCTTAAAATTATGTGCGATAGCTCATTTGAACCGGAATGACGCCTAGAAAAATGTGCTAAAAGCGTGTATTAGCACATAAAAAATTGCAAAAGTTATAGACCATTAAAGATGAAAAAAAATGGAATTTAGTTTTTGCCAATATTTAATAAACTATTAATATTTAAGAAATTTCAAATAAAGATTCTGAAAGAGGAGGAAATTTCCAATAAAAAACTCTCAGCTCCCGGAACTCTATCTCCATTATTTATAACTTTAATTTAACGCTGAAAATAGGTCTGTGCGTGACATTTTTAGGATTCGCGCGTGGCGTCAAAAGCGACTACGGCACATTAATTAATTTATTTAAGGTATTGAATATTTTTTTTAAATTTGAAAAAATTATGGTGTGTTCTGAACACTATAATTAATTTATTCCCGTTGGAAATTTTACTTAAAGTTAATTTTTCAACAAGTTAAATAATTGTTAACTAACGAAATTTTCTCGAACGACCGTCTTAATTGTAAGTGAAAAAAATGTTTTAATAATGGTCGTAAAAATATTTCGCTTCGTAGAGCCTTTCTTACATACATACTTAACAAGATCGTGCCATAAAAGTTAAAGAAATATTTATACTTTGTTTATAACAATTTTTTTACTTAAACAAAAACTTAAAAATCCAAGTAATGTTGTTAAAAAATTTTTTTTTCTAAATCATCATATTATCGTTTTTATATTAATACAAGATATTTATTGATTTGCAAAAAAAAATTTCCCGCCATTGTTGATAATTTTTTTTAAACAAATTGATTAAATCAATTGTTTTAAAAAAAAATTTCTAACTTTATTACATTACAAATATTATGATTGTTTAAAAAAAAAAATTCCTTAATAACATATTTTAATTGTTTATAATCGTTTTTTTATATTTCTATTGTTTAAATAATTAGTTAAGAAATTTTTTTTCTAAAAATCATAATTCACAATCCTCTATAAAGTAACAGAAAAAAATTTTTTTAATCAACAATTCTATTGTTTATTAACTTACCAATTTGTTATAAACAAATGTTCAACTTTTTTATTTTTTTCTAAAACTTCTAAAATTAACAAAAACAACCATATATAACAAAATATAGAAAAACATTTTTTTAAATTTTTTGATTATCATGAATATTACTTTTATTAAAAAAATTTTTTTTTTTTTATAGACTTTGTTATATATGTTCGTTTTTGTTAATTTTAGAAGTTTTAGAAAAAAATATAAAAAAGTTGAACATTTGTTTATAACAAATTGGTAAGTTAATAAACAATAGAATTGTTGATTAAAAAAAATTTTTTTCTGTTACTTTATAGAGGATTGTGAATTATGATTTTTAGAAAAAAAAATTTCTTAACTAATTATTTAAACAATAGAAATATAAAAAAACGATTATAAACAATTAAAATATGTTATTAAGGAATTTTTTTTTTAAACAATCATAATATTTGTAATGTAATAAAGTTGAGAAATTTTTTTTTAAAACAATTGATTTAATCAATTTGTTTAAAAAAATTATCAACAATGGCGGGAATTTTTTTTTTGCAAATCAATAAATATCTTGTATTAATATAAAAACGATAATATGATGATGTAGAAAAAAAAAATTTTTTAACAACATTACTTGGATTTTTAAGTTTTTGTTTAAGTAAAAAAATTGTTATAAACAAAGTATAAATATTTCTTTAACTTTTATGGCACGATCTTGTTAAGTATGTATGTAAGAAAGGCTCTACGAAGCGAAATATTTTTACGACCATTATTAAAACATTTTTTTCACTTACAATTAAGACGGTCGTTCGAGAAAATTTCGTTAGTTAACAATTATTTAACTTGTTGAAAAATTAACTTTAAGTAAAATTTCCAACGGGAATAAATTAATTATAGTGTTCAGAACACACCATAATTTTTTCAAATTTAAAAAAAATATTCAATACCTTAAATAAATTAATTAATGTGCCGTAGTCGCTTTTGACGCCACGCGCGAATCCTAAAAATGTCACGCACAGACCTATTTTCAGCGTTAAATTAAAGTTATAAATAATGGAGATAGAGTTCCGGGAGCTGAGAGTTTTTATTGGAAATTTCCTCCTCTTTCAGAATCTTTATTTGAAATTTCTTAAATATTAATAGTTTATTAAATATTGGCAAAAAACTAAATTCCATTTTTTTTCATCTTTAATGGTCTATAACTTTTGCAATTTTTTATGTGCTAATACACGCTTTTAGCACATTTTTCTAGGCGTCATTCCGGTTCGAATGAGCTATCGCACATAATTTTAAGAGCAGTATCTCTATTTTGTTCCATTTTCAACTTGTCGACTAGGCTTTCTGAGTTTTATAAGCGTGGTAATTTCCTAAATCGTCGGAGTTAAGCCCCGAGAGTATAGCCAGACGCAGGCACTCTCTTCAACAGATACATTGCATTCATTCGTCAACAAAAATCCCACGTAATCTAGTTTTTAATCCGCCCAAAAATATTTATTTCTAATAATTGTTCTTAAACCCTTACACAAGACTTCATTACTTACACTGCTAACTTTTGCTAATATTATTATTTTTTTCTACTAAGTATTATTATTGTTACAATCTTTTTTTTGCGACCGAGGCGCAAACTAGCTGCTGTGGTCTCTGGCTGAATGACCAGCGCTGTGGAAGAGTCTGCTCCTCAGCATAATGCTGAGACAGGGCCAATTACAACCACAGCATACACGCATTACACACACATATTGAAACGAGCCGTGTTCTTTACAAAAAATGTAATCTTTCATTTTTTTTATATTTTTTTTGATTACTGTTATTTTGTGTGTTTCTGTGTGTGTGTTTTGTTAGTAAGTAGTAACAAATGTTATGTCTATGTCTTTGGTGTTATTTGGTGATTATGTCAACAGTAATTATTTACTTTTTTACACATATTACCCACACATTGTCTATTTAAAAAAAATGAAAAGTTTATGCACTATTATTTTTGAGAGCTTTGATCACTTTTGCTGACAAGAGAAGGGGGGATAAATTGCAGTAAATCTGCTTACGTAATACTTGAAGGGGGCCGTTCAAGTTCAACCTTACTCTCCATAATATATTCTCTCTTTACAGCCACGTCATTAAATATTATATTATATACATTTATTTATTACGTATTTTTAATTCTAAACAAGCTCTGTTCTGACACGAACACGACATTAAATTTGGTGAAGTTGTTATGTGCGTATACATTTCGTCGATTTATCTAATATATATAATTCTCGTGTCGCGGTGTTTGTGGTTAAACTCCTTCGAAACGGCTCGACCGATTCTCATGAAATTTTGTGTGCATATTGGCTATGTCTGAGAATCGGACAACATATATTTTTCATCCCCCTAAATGGTAAGGGTAGTCCACCCCTAAATATTTTTTCTGTTTCTATTTTTTTATGATACAACATTAAAACATACATACAACCCCTAACTTTCACCCCTCTACGATCAACCTCTATTTTTATTATTATAAATGATATACATGGCAAAACGACGTTTGCCCGGTCAGCTAGTCTTATATAATATACTGCTTTATTCGCCAAAAAGCCTCGAAAAATGTTTAAAAATGTATGCGTCATTTCTATTAAATATAAGCTACCTTTAATTAAATTCAGTACCAGATTTAGTGTCATAAATTTGTTTTGCTTTGAACTAGTTCAGTACAACCGGAAAAATTTGCCGAAAATGCTGAGGAAGGAAGTTTTCCTAGTGAAAATATTGAGTAACAATGACTCTTATAGCAAGTCATTAAGTTATGATATCATTGTACTTAGTCATAAGCCAAATCCTACTGTAGCGTCAATTTTATCCCTGATGTGTAAACCATGGATTTTTCGATGTGAAGAATCCACGAGAATCACGCTTTTTGGACAGTCCAGTAACAGCAACGCTTTGACGTGTTTTTTTATTATCGATTTCAACAATTTCGTAGAAATAGCAAATGTGTGTGGCATTTATTTATATCGAAATCATACAATTATCAACATGTCGACATCGCGATTCTGTTATTAAAACTGTGGTCGATTAGAAAACAGAACACAAAAAACAGAATGTCAGTGTTTCAATACTGTATAATTATCGTTCCAATTTTTTAACTAAATAGCTGTTATAAAAGTTTTAATTAAAAAATTTCTTGATAAACGAAAAATGTAATTATTTCACGTAAGTAAAGAGTAGGTATGTTAAAACAACACTTTTATCCATATCTTAGGTATCGTTTGAATGTCATAAGAAAAGCTGCTTGTAATTTTTTTTATATCATGTAAAAAATTAAATTAATATAAATAGGGCAATTCTCTCTTGAATAACTATATTTTATTAAATGTAATTAATATACAGGTACGCTCGCATTTTATTCAATTTATTTTTTGATTATAAAGTTAATCTATGAAAAACAATAAAGAATTAGCTAATGACTTTCAAAAGACGTCAAACCTCAAAGACTTTAAAACTTACATCGCTCATATACGGTGTCCAATCCCGGGTCCCGGAATCATATTCCGGTGGAGGCCTTTTTTCTCTCAGTCTTGTTATGATTGTTGCATCTGAATCTTCATCCACGATCGTATGATCAAAATCAAACACTGCTAATTTCGCCATATTTAAATTTCGCGCTAAAGCACTGTACCGCAATGATGTAATAACCGCGACTGAAAAGTGGAACTCACTGAACGCCGCGCGGTAACCGATCCAGTTTAAATAATTCTCTCATTTTTGTGCAACATTTCCGCAACTTACCGCATGATTGTAAATAGCGAATATTTGCGAATTCCTAGACTTTTACATAGAAGCATCTTCAAAGTGCCACTTGCCAGTGACATTTTCCTTGACCTAGAGTTATTTGATATTGACACTTGACACTGACAGTGAACTTGAAAGTGCTTATATTTATTATTATGGATTTTTATATATGTTTTCAAGAGTAATTTCTATCTTTTATGAATTCTAAATAATAATTAAAGAACACTATTTCGTAAAATAGTATATATACTTTATAGTTTTGCTTTTACTTCAACTTGAAGGTCTTCCTGGTCTGTCAAGAAGATGTAAAATGTATATGCAATATGCATAGAGTCAGACATTGACAGTGAGTAGTGACAGAAAAGAAAAAAAAATCTGTATAACCTTACGTGCTTAAATTCCCAACTTTTTACTTTAGCAAATTAATTTAAGTACCAACTATGGCTTCGTTAAAAGTGTATTCAATAGGCCGGTTAGTAAAATGTGTAACAGATTCGACTCTGAAAAATTTAAGGACAAATTACTACAGGTAATTATTGCGCAACTGATATTCCAACCTCAAAGATAAGTAAGTTGTGTTTAATATAAATCACCGACAAAAAAAATACAAGATCGCAATAAATTGTGTATTTTTCAGTGGTTTTAAATATGTATAAGTGATACTTACAAGTTTATCTTCTATATGATGTGAAATAATTGTTGCATCAGCCCAGTTCAGTGAACTTTATCATTCCATTTAAGAATGTGTTCATGTTTTTATTCTAGAGGTTCTGTCCGCTGCTATAGCGTAGAAGAAAAAGCTGCAGAAGATCCTGAAAAACAGAATAAACAGTTGCCAAATACTGTTGAAGAATGCCATAAACTGATAGAAACTCTTACTACAGACCTTAATACTATCAAAGAACAATCTAAGGACTTTGAAGTAAGACTGAAAAAGCTATTAAATATCATAGACAGTAGTGATCTTTTTGTGCAAATGAAAAATAATTGACTCTCACATTCAGTTTCAATGTTTTCTTAAAATGTTGAAGTTTGATATCATTAGGGATTCCAAGTTTGTTGTTTACTATAAATAGTAAACTCTAGTAGAAGACACTGATCTTATACTAATTGATGCATAACACTTATCTGGTTAGATGTACTAATCAAAATTTCAAACTCACCTGAATCTATGTAGGGTCTATACCCTAGACTTAATATTATACAAAATATACAGTACATTTAGTTGTACTAATTATATTTTAATTACTTATATGAGCTATTCCTGATGTATGTGTATGAATCTCCAGGATAAATACAAGAGATCACTTGCCGACTGCGAGAATGTAAGACGCAGAATGATGAAGCAAGTGGAAGATGCTAAGTCATTTGCGATACAGAGTTTCTGTAAGGACTTACTTGATGTGAGTGATTTTTATTTTTAATAATGTTTATAAACCAAGTTATCTATCTAATAATGAAGAAAAATACTTAAAATTTCAGGTGGCAGACACCCTCTCAGCGGCAGCAGAGAGTGTACCAGAAGGTGCTGAGGCTGGTGCAGGAGCTGCATTAAGATCGCTGGCAGATGGAGTCAAGCTTACGAGAGCACAGCTTTCACAGGTATTTCATCTTTTTTAAAGCTATCAACAAAAACTTGATCATCAAACAGACCGGTGGAGACTTTCTTGCTAGTTCTATAATCTTGATTTAAAAACTAGCAGTACATACAAACTCATTTATTTTTAAGAGACCTTCGATTTGAGGTAGATTTGCAAATTATTTCACATTCATATTTACTACACTTAAATTATTTAAGATTGGTTATAATATTTCTAAATATCAAATTAATAAAATTACGGATAAAAATAATAAATATTAATTTGTATTTAAATCAATATTTTCAGTAGTTACAAGATGTTATACCTCAGTTAGGGATTCTTTTAGGTTTTCATGTTATAAAAACTGATGATTTAACATATGATTCATATTTTTTCAGGTTTTTGCCCGACATGGGCTTGTAGCTGTATCGCCTCTTAAAGAAAAATTTGACCCTAACTTACATGAAGCACTCTTCCAACAGGTAATAAATAATATTTTTTATTTAATATTTCTTTCTTTAAGAACCAAAGTTAGAAAAGAGTGCGAGAACTTTTCATACCACTCTTTCTTCAAAATTCTTTGAAAAATCCATTATTCTCTAGTGTCTAGACTTAGTTATGGGGCATTGATCTAGGGAACTAGTTATTTATTATAGAAAATGAGCTTCAGTCTGTTTTTAGAAAGAAATAACTAATATTATTATTATATTTTGACTTTTTTTTTTAATAATTAAGGATGATTTCTAAATTCTTGAAAATTATTATTATTTATTTAAGCTTAAACTTACATTAGTTGTTAGTAAGTCGGATTGTTTTTTTTATATAGAAAAGTAGATTTTGGTGATATATTATGCCTTCTGTGCTTCACTTATTGATTATCTGGACTTATACATGCCCAATATGTAGTAACGGTTTTTTCAACGTAAGAGCTAGTGTTGATATAAATCTTCATTGGTGAACAGACGGGGTTCCAATGCCCTATACTGTTCTCTGGCTGGATATTCACATGATGTTAAATGTATTTCAGGAAGTGGAAGGCGCAGAAGCTGGCACAGTAGTGACTGTGAGCAAAGTTGGTTACAAATTACACGAGCGATGCGTGAGACCCGCATTGGTTGGTGTAGCCAAGTGATGTTTTATAGGGACTCATACTGGGACCACACTCCTTTATTCTATTCATCAATGACACAAACCAAGAAAAGACAAAAATGACCCGATTAGAAAACGTTTCTGGTAATATAATGCAAATTATTACAAACTGAGGGCTTGTGGATAGAAAATTTATTTATTTAAGAATTTATTTAAACACTCCACAATGATCTAATCACATCAAAGTGTTTCCAATAAAATACCTGATAATTAGTTTCCGGCTAAATTGTCTCCCCTAGACTTTGACTTTGAAATGGCATGATTAAAAATGTTATCCTCCCATTGCTAAATTTATATATTTTTTTAAATTTAAGTCATGGAAGAGTCGGTAAACATCTCTAAATTGCACAAAAGTCGAAAAATCTTTTCTTAACCCAAGTTTGTAACAATATGTATACATTAACACCTCATTTATAGTCTTGCATTTTAATAATTTTTCATTATGCTTCCTGCAATGCTTTTTTATTTTATAAAATAACCATAGACAATTTTTTCCCACTTTAAAATGTGAGAACTGATATAATTACAGACACAAATGTACACATTTTATAAATTTTTGTTTGTATTTTATAAGGCTGGTGTACTCGAGGGTTCCACAATGTGGCTTTTAAAGGCGATGCTCATGCATTTAAACTAAGGTTTAGTTGGGTAACTGAAATATATATACTAAATAGCAAATTCCAATATTTAAGGGGTATGCAACGGACTAAGTTTATACTTCAAACTCAAAATAACTTTATTCATATAGGTAAACAAGTACACTTATGAACGTCAACAGAAAATGTTAAATTGATTCTAAATTTACATTTACTACCAGTTTACAAGTCAAGGGCGTAGAGCCAGAAGAAACTCTCCGCCACTCTTTAATCGCCAAGTTTTGAGTCAAACAAATTGTTTGAACTGGACCAAATCATTTAAATAATCGTCAAATTTATAAAAAGCTTTATTGATTCATTTACTTAAATATAATAATGAAACTTTAAATTTAATAATTAGCGTGCCTAGAAAGACTTAATCATTCGAGATTATTGTAACATGAATCATTATATAGAGTACTCAATGTACCCTGTCAAGCTTCGCAGTGGCACATTGTGATTGAATCGTTGAGAAATGAGAAACAAAACAAAGAATACATTTCATATAAGTATAATATTGCAATGCTTGTGAAAAAAAAATTAAAACAATCCTTGATGCGGATTATATGTCATGCTAAAATTTCAGCTTGATTGGTGCAGAACTTTTTGAGTTTTTGAAGCGTCTTAAGTTTATGAACAGATCATTTCTTCAGTTACCCAACTACACTATAGGGATTATTTGTAAAATAGTTTTAGAAGAAAAAGTCTAGTTTATTTTGTATTCCAAATGTAGTGTAGATGTAGATTCGGTGTAAAAATGAATGGATGTATTGTTGAATAAAATTTTGTTATTAAACTTGTTTTCTTAACCGGACAGGCCATCTCAAAGATGGTCTTAGGAAATTCTTAAGAATTAATAAACACTACAGCTTCAGAGAGAGTAATGTATTACTGTCCGAGTCAATGAGTCTGTATTCAGAATTATAGTTTTTTGTCAAAATTCTCGAAATCTGGTTTCTATAGTTTTTGCTATTAGGAAGCGTTCAAGTATTATGTAACGATTTTAGGGGGGGAGTCCTCTTGTAAAACGTTACGATGCAGGGCGGGGATTGCATTACGCGTTATTGTTAATATTAATAATACATAATGGTAGCTCTTAGGTATAAAGAGTCACTGGTTGGTCACGATACGGTTTGCTATTTGGTACAGAAAAACGGCGCATTACATGGGGGGGGTTTCGAGAATAGCCAAAAATTGCGTGACGTAATACTTGTACGCTCCCTTACAGATAAAAAAATTATATAATGGGGCAAATGGGCAGGAGGCTCGCAAGTGCGTTGCCGGCCCTTTAAATTTTAGTTCAAATGTAGTTTTTTTTAAAATAAAATAAGCACAAAATTTTGAACAAACAGAGTCTGGCTAATGAAAGAAGATAATTGAATAACTATTACTCATACAATTACTCATTTTTATTTCTATTATATATTTTTTCCGAATAGTTAACAGGTATAATAGCCTAAACTTTAGATTTTTTGGATTCTGATTCTGATTATTCCTGATAAAGTTGTGTTTTTATAATAGATATAGTTTTAGTTTTCCATGCAATGCTAGTCATTTTAAGTATCAATAGTAAAAGACTAAATACGTATAGTATTTAATTTCATAGAAATACAGTTACTATCAATGTAAATAAAATCAAGTAAGTTTAATCCGCAAAATATATCTAACTTTTAGGGACCATACTAATTTTTTTTGAATTTTCCACGCTTTTTCGTTATCTTCTTTCATTAGCCAGACTCTATTATTGTTAAATCATTATCTGTATTTCTAATTACATGTTTGACTGTTTGATGGGGCCAGATTTGCAGCTTAGTTTAGCTCACGTCGCTTTCCATCACTTGGCATAGAGTTTGAATTCGAATGTCTTTGAAAACAAATTTTTCAACGAGTTGCATTTTGGACCTCTTCTGGCATTACATCCAGAAATATTTTCATACATTCTAGTAAACCAATTTCAACATCTCTTTCCCCAATATAAACAACTCTATAACACGCTTATTTGTTTTGAGAGCTTCCCTCAGTTTGTGAAATTGATCTTAGGAAGTAGGTACGGCATGGAATTGTAAAATTCTGGGCTGGATAGTCCATTGAGGAAGGCTAGGACAGAATTAACGCGTTTGACCGCACGGCGCAGCTACTGATGTACATACTCCTACATGGTAGCTAATATACTTTAATGTTGAATCAAAGACAATACAATAATTTATTGTCTATATATATATATGTATTATTTATTTATTGTCTACTATATATAGTCGACGCATTGAAAACGAAGTCTTAAATGCGTCTTAGTTTACTAGAATAGTCAATACGCATAATGTTTATACTCGGAACAAACGCAGTCTGCAATTTCCTTTAATTACAAGACTATCTAAAGGGAGTATTTCTTTTTTGGGAAAAGGGATACTCTTCTTCAATAAAATCCCAGAGGCTCTTTTATCTCTGCCTTTTAATAAATTTAAGAAATGTATTAAAGAAAAGCTGTGTAAAGAGGTTTACTATAAAGTTTACGATTGTCTAGTTGATAAAAGGGCCTGGGACTAGCGCTAGACAGGCTACTTCTAATTAATTTGCGATATTTGTTTTAAAATAAGTGTTGTTTGATGGTTTGCTATGGGCAGCTGGTTCCACATAGTGGATGCGCGGTAAAAACTTCGAGAAAATTTGCGAGTGGCGCTTTAAGCTTTAGCTATATCTAAATTAACAGCTAGCCTCTGCCCAGTCTATGTGTAAGGTATATTAATTTGCAATATTTGTTTTAAAATAAGTGTTGTTTGATGATTTTTTATTTTAAAAGAGTACCGAGAGTTTTTTACGCCGGCTTTTTCTCTTGGCCTACACCCTCTGTCTTCTTTGCCGATGAGTAGGGATGCCTACAAATTTAAATTTAATGACGTGGAATAAATGATAAGTACCTGTATCTTATGTTCTATGATAAAGATATTTTTTTAAATATTTTATACGGTGGATAAACCAAAACCTGACAAGCATAATATGATTCCTGAATGATAGGTACATTGTATTTTACCGACTGTCAAAAGTTATTTTTTAGGATCCATATAAATAAAACTTCAGAATGAAGCTTTGGAAGCTTTGACTATTTATTATTGATTTATATTTATTGAAGTCTCACAGAATCACTTTGCATTATTATATTTGACATCTTCTGTTTAGATATCTCCTTAATTTTATATAAAACTATACGAGCTTATATGATAATTTAAAAAATCAACTTCTTGTTCTCACTTTCTTCTTTATACTATGGCCAGACGACACTCTCTATCCAGGGCACATATTCAGCAACTCTAGTATAAATCCCCGGTTGGCCTATGACTCCACAGGCTCGGCCAAAAGACGTTATCCCAATTACAGTGTACATACAGCTGATCTGCCGGTTCTTTAATTGAAGAGGCCCTCCACTGTCACCCTGTAGTCAAATATAGTACATAGTTAAAATATTTTTATTGAACTATAGTGTAAAGTCTTTATTTAAGGAAAAACTTTTTAACCGGATTAAAGTTATGTATTATTATAAATTTACAATTATTTAACATAATTTTAAATTTATCCGACGTTTCGCGTGCTTTATAGCGTGCGTGGTCACGGTGATTATGTTAAATAATTGTAAATTTATAATAATACATAACTTTAATCCGGTTAAAAAGTTTTTTCTTTAAATGTGTAAAGGTTATGTTAATCAAAGAAAATACTAAGTCTTTATTTATATTACGAATAACAAGGGACTGTGCATTTCTTTACGTTATAGAGAGGTTTCGTTAAAGGGAGCGAACAGAGAATTTTTTTTTAACCAATTATAATAATTTCTAATTTTATTACTATCAATAGGTAAATTATTCTAAACACATATTCTGTTAAATTTGCCTTTATGTTTTGCTATGACTGGCAATGTAATCTAAGAATAATGGCACACGTGTTAATGCAATGAACAATAACAAAGGCGAAAAGGCTATTGATGACCTCAGGTGTTTTTCCTAAAATTTCGGAGCCTCAAAAAGTTACTTTTGTAAGCTTATAAAAACAATAACACTTAAGTATGTTGTTGATGCCTAAATATGAAATATTTCTTCGTAATAGAGAATTGCTGTTACGTTATAAAGAGTGAATGAATGTTTGTGTTAAACCAAACAGGTTTAACTATTTTGTTCCATTATTACTAAACGCACCATCGTCACCTACCTATTATATATATAAATTATTGTAATTGTTTTTTTTAATAACGAATAAAAATGCTCGGTTGCTTGAAATTCGTTATAAAGAGTTTACACTGTACTTAGATAAGAGGGTACTAAGCCATTAATAGTTAGAATGTCATTCTACAATTTTATAAAATCACATTTATTATATTTAATAGAAGTGCTTCAACTAGTAAACTTAAACGCTAAATGCTTTTGGTTCTACAAAATAAATTAAATGAAATCCTCTTTTTACTTCTCTACTAAAAACTATGCATTGACACTTAATTAATGAACTTTTAGCAGCTGTTTAAATAGCAGCACGAAGCCGGCAGACCACTTATCATATCCACCTAAAATCAGAACTAAATACGGTTGTAAAAACATAATATACTTCGACGCAAGCGTACAATGAGCGTAACGGGACAATTAATCATGTCACGTCAAAAATATAATCTATTTCGGAGCGAGTCTTTACAATTGCTTTCCTACTGGGATACGGGAAATAGGAGCAGTGGACCCATTTTAAATAAACCGCGTGTGTCACTGCATCTATCCAATTTATTCATTCAGGTAACATGATGTACACTTATGAACGTCAATAAAGAAATACATAATAAATGCTTCTAATATTACTGTCAGTTCTAAAATCAAGAGCGTAGAACGGAAGGGAAGAACTGGCCATAAACCATACCTCTCCACCATAAACTCTCCACCACTCTTTTTAATCGCCAAATTTTTTGTTTTACACGATGTTTGTAAGGAGCTGCAACCATTATACCATGTTCCACGTGATATCATAAGTAATTAATAATAATAAAAAAACTAAAAACAAAGATTTGTCCTCCATCAGCAGTAGGCATGGTGAAATAGTATGACGCACTTACATTCTCGTCGGAACAACACATCACTGCATACACGAATTCAAGTCCGACCAGTCACCACAAGTAGCACCCGTTTACGAGTATGACGCATGGCTAGCCATCGGCCCCCTCGCCATATTTTAGCGAGAGAGATGATGTAAATCCTGTCTCGATAAATCTTGGTAAAAAGTAAAATTCAATACCTGACAGGTGTCTTTCGACTTTTCTTTGTCCCCATAACAAATTTGGGTTCGCGGGTCGAAGCCACGCTGCATGAGTCGATCTGGGCCGAACATCTTTGAACACTCGTCCGTCGAAAACCTATGCAGGATCACCTTAAATCATCACACAGTTTTAGCTATATTTATTATGTATAATATTTTTTTTATGTAATAGGAGGCAAACGGGCACGAGGCTCATCCGATGTTAAGTGATACCGCCGCCCATGGACACTGACACTGCCTCACGGCTCGCAAGTGCGTTGCCGGCCCTTAAATGTTCACTGTGGAGCGATTCGGCGACAATGCGTTATACATGGCTGAAATTATACACCAAACCGTTTGGTTTGGTGTTGCATTAAATGTATTAAGGCAATTTGTGGAGCAAACCGTCTTGAGTGTCCATGGGCGGCGTTATCACTGAACGTCAGATGAGCCTCCTGCCCGTTTGCCTCCTATTAAGTACATAAAAAATAAGTGTTGCAGGCTTTTGATAGAACCTAAGTTACATTAAATACCTTTTGCAGTACATCAGATGAGACCCCTCTGTTCTCGGTGGCTCCCCATCCAGTCGCAAGAGACTTCTCATAATCAGCTGGTGCACCGATGTCTAGACAGGCCGGAACAGCCGATTGGCCAAGAGCTATCCTGGTAAAAGGTTAACGAACAGCTCATGATAAAAACATAAAATTCTCTAAAAATAATAATTATTAGCGAATATCATAAGATTGTTAGGCTGATGGACCGCCGAAGCAAGCATGGAGAGACCACAAAAGCGATAGGCTGAGTTTCTGGGGAGATATGGATGGAGGAAGCTAAGAACAGATTCAAATGTTCAGTTCAGGAGGAGGCTTTTAGTGGTCAATACTGCAGAGCACAAAGAAACGGAAATAGGTAACAATAACTAACTTAGAATAAAAGTATAAGTATAAGTATAATCAAACTTTGATTTGATATATTATTTCTAACAGTATGGAATTAAATTATTATTTATTATACGATAGGAAGTCTTTAGAGAAAGTATTGTACTAAGCTGTAGATGAATAAAAAATATTATATCAATTTCTATTTAGAATGTAAACAGAAGTAAAGGATTTTTTTAGGTTACTTATTAATTTTAAAAAAGGTTACCATTCATCTGTATGTACTCGTGATATTATTGGTAACGAGTATAAGCAACACATTTCCAACACTAAATTCATTAAATTTGTTTTTGTATTTGAAGTCAGTTTAATTACCTATTCAAAAATATTTTCGCATCTGCTAAGTGATCGTTTTCTATAATGGAACAGATTATAAATAGATTTGGGAGCGTTCGAGTTTCAAAGTAATAAAAGTGTCGAAAATGAATACAATATAAAATTAAATTTTTTAAATTTATATTAAATTTATTTCTTCGATAATAAGAACACGTGGCATTTGAATTTACAATACGTCATTTGAGATTTTAATAAATTATTTTGCATAAAATATAAAATACTCTATACGACATTTTAATTTTAAAAATAGAATTTCGATAAGGTAATTCGCCCTTCTCACTTCTCTCAATCGGTCTCAATCGCTCTCTCCCTTTTCTTCGACAAAAACGCTGCATATTTTCGTGACGTTTTCGTAAAAGTTTACCCTCATGCGCCTAAAGAAGTATCACTTCAAGAATGATTATTATACATATACTGCTCAAAACAATTAGCGGAACAAGATTTTTCTCCTTTCTATTGCTTAAACTAAAATTAGATTTAAATTAACTTGTACGCTATTTTTTACCTTGTTAATTTGTTAATTACTACAATTAATAAAAAAATTCAGTTTGTATTTTTTTTATTAAAAAAAAATTAAAATGTGCATTGTAGACGAAAAACTAATTGGTGATAAAAAAGGTCCATCAAAGAAATATTCTTATATCGTTTGAATATTCGTCTTTAGTGACTTTCAGTAACGTGTGTGGCCTCCATGAGCCCTAATCACGGCTTGACAACGACGCGGCATGCTTCGTATGATCCTCCGAATATCTTCTTGTGGAATTCGCTCCCATTCTTCAATCAACGCTTCAGTGAGCTGCTGCAGTGTTTGAGGTGCAATCGGACGCTTCCGGATGCGCCTGTCAAGCAAGTCCCAAATGTGTTCAATTGGATTTAGGTCAGGGCTCATGGAAGGCCACTCCATTACACGGATTTCCTGCTGTCGTAAGTAATCTGACGTGATGGCTGCAGTATGCGGCCTGGCATTATCTTGCATTAAAAGAAAATATGCTGCGGGACAAACATGATCTTCGAGCACATTTTCAATGTAAGTTTGAGCACACAAGCGCCCGGGAACAACGACGAGATCTGTGCGCTCGTCCAAAGTTTAAGCAATAGAAAGGAGAAAAATCTTGTTCCGCTAATTGTTTTGAGCAGTATATATGCATTGTAAACTTACGGTCTGTCCGTCTCAAGCAAGGCGATATCGTTGTAACGTCTCGGCGGGTCGTAATTCGGGTGTTTGATGATACGTTGAATCCCGTATAAGTTGCTCTTGTCAATTCGATCTGTCCTCTTTAAAACGCTGAGCAAAGCGTATTTTACTGGACCGCTGAAAACATGTATTAATGATTTCAAAGACAACTTTGTAATATGTGATAGCGTTGTTTTGACGAATATTTTTTTCTTACTATAAAAAAAATCAGTGGCACTACAACCTCTTTAGGTCAAGGCCTCGCATTTATGTTAGCTGTAGGATTACGAAATAAAAAAAAATGGTGCGTGTACTTATGTAGGTACGCGCGTAAGAAGTTATACTTCTTTGGCTTTTTTTTATTTTTTTTAAATATTAAGCAATTAATAATAAATATTTAGCGTCAATAATTTAACAATATTTAATATTTAGTATATTATTCAATTATTAATTAATAATAATTATTATTTTATTATATTATTCATTCAATTTAATAACTAGGTATGTTTCATAAACTTTTAACTAAGTAACAATAGGTCTTTGTGAAAAAGCATTGCTAAATTTCTTTGAAAAAATAATTAAAACTCCTTTATTTGTTTAAAACAAATGTCATTATGGTCATTCAAAATTCTTGGCATAGCTGCTAACGTCACTCATATTATATTTCTTTTTACTTGTAGATTGTCTTATTCCCATGTCGCTCGCGCACGCTCGGCGCCCATACTGATAATTTTGTGTCACGGTGCGCGCGCATCGTAAAATTTCACTCTCAGATTTTTCATAACGCGCCTAAAGAAGTATAACTTCAATAAATAAACCTAAGAAAGCCTGAGTGAGCTCTGCACTTGGCTCGTAGTTCCAATTTACAATACATAATTATAGTTGGCCATGAAGTATGAATTATTGAAGTTGTTGAAATATTTCAACACTAAAAGATAACCACAGAGTAAAACTAGCAAATTGCCAAAAGGCCATGGAAAGAATCATGACGGGAATCAGAATAAGACAATCTACAAGTAAAAAGAAATAGAATATGCGTGACGTTAGCAGCTATGCCAAGAATTTTGAATGACCATAATGACATTTATTTACCTTTTAAACAATTAAAGGAGTTTTAATTATTTTTTCAAAGAAATTTAGCAATGCTTTTTCACAAAGACCTATTGTTACTTAGTTAAAAGTTTATGAAACATACCTAGTTATTAAATTGAATTAATAATATAATAAAATAATAATAATAATTGTTATTAATATTAATTAATAATTGAATAATATACTAAATATTAAATATTATTAAATTGTTTACGTAAAATATTAATTATATTTTAAAAAAATAAAGTAAGCCAAAGAAGTTTAACTTCTTACGCGCGTACATAAGTACACGCACCCTTTTTTTTAGTTTATCTTTTATGATAATAGAAAATTGGACTCACTTGTCACGACTGTAGGTGCAGTGTCCCGCTGTGAGGATAAATCGCTCACTCAAAAGTGTGCCACCACAGTCCCAGTGAGCCGTGTCCGGAGTGTCGCCAAAGCCTAGAAGAACCTACAAATATTTCTTTATAAGCTACCATTACAGATTACTACACTGTGGTAACATTTATATCACTTACAAAACAATATAAACACATAAAACAACATTAGACTTTTCAATTAAAGTCAAATTTTTGTCGCAGCTATAAGATACATCTACTACTCAACAAAAATCCCACGAAATCTTGTTTTTAATCCACCCAAAAAAAAAATATTCTAATTTTTAACTTTTAGTTTTATTTAATTTACTACACACCTTTACACACGACTTCATTACTTCCACTGCTAACTTTTACTAATAATATTATTTTCTACTAAGTATTATTACATTATTTTCTTTTTTTGCGACTGAGGCGCAAAGTAGCTGCTATGGTCTCTGGCAGAATGACCAACGCTGTGGAACATTCTGCTCCTCAGCATAATGCTGAGCCAGGGCCAATTACAACCACAGCACACACGCATTACACACTTGAAACGAACCTAAACGATATTCTGATATCTCTCATACTAATACTGAGTAGAAAAAATAATAATAATATTAGTAAAAGTTAGCAGTAAAACTAATGAAGTCTTGTGTAGAAGTATATAGTAATTTTTTTTTTTTTTTGTATATTCTCCATCTGCAATCAGTGCTTTCACTTTTAGCAAATATGTTGGATGCTTATCTCGTTCGGAGTGTGTCATCCAGTGAGAACATCTACTCATAATTCTTCACATTATAGAATGTCTTTTCGCTTAAGGCGTTTAACATAGCTCTGCATCGTGAGCTGTCGTGCAAGGGCATTGGGGTGGGCTGCTAGCCGTTCCCTGTATCTGGTCTTGATATTAGTTATTTCTTCTCTCACTGTGAGCATTCCCAGGTGTTCGTGGATCTCAGCATTAGTCACATACCAGGGGACATTACTGATAGTCCGGAGAATAATGTTCTGCATTTTTTGTATGCGCATGATGGAGGAGTTACAAGCACTACCCCATAGTTGAAGGCCGTACATCCATACAGGTTTCAGGATCGACTTGTACACTAGTAGTTTATTGTCTACAGACAGTTTGCTGTTTCGGCCTAGCAACCACAGGTAGCTTTTATATCTAATATTCAGTTCATCTCGCTTCTTTTTGATGTGATCATTCCATGTCATACGCCTATCAAGATGAAGACCAAGGTATCTGACACAATTCCGGTGAGGAAGGGTGGTATTTTCTAGCTTCACTGAGGGGCAATTGCCTTTGCATAGGGTGTAGGTAACCTGTACCGATTTCGATGTACTAGTTTTGATCCGCCAGTTTTGAAGCCATTTAGTTGTATCATCTAGGCCTTTCTGTAGAATTTTTGAGGCTATTACTGGGTCCTTGTGACTTGCCAGGATAGCGGTATCGTCTGCGAACGTGGCTGTAGTTATGGTACTTGAACAAGGCAGGTCAGCTGTGAATATAGTGTAGAGTACCGGACCCAACACTGACCCCTGTGGTACGCCAGCTTTTATTTCAAAGAAATCTGATGTTGTTTCTCCTTCTTTGACCTGGAATAATCTTCCCGAGAGATATGAATGAAATATCAAAAAGTAGCAGTGTGGAAGATAACTTTTTATTTTACATAGCAGGCCCTTGTGCCAGACTCTATCAAAGGCCTGTTGTATATCCAGGAACACTGCAGCACAGTATTCTTTTTCTTCCAGTGTCTTTCTTATCTTGTCGCAGACTCTATGAACCTGTTCCACTGTTACGGCTTTTCGGGGCAGTTGTGTAATTATTTCTTTGGTTATAAGGTCGAAGCCCGGTGCTTTTCTATCCTTTAGTTCCCTTATAACTCTCCAAACTTCCCGTACTGACACAGGTTTTGGTGGTAGATCCATTTGAAGGTCTTGGTTTAGTGTTGTGTCCACTTGGGCATCAAACTTATCGTCTACGGGATCATTTGGGCAGAATACTTTTGACAGGTGTTTAGCAAATAGGTCTGCTTTTTGCTGTGGTTTTCTCACCCATCCTTCAGCACACTTTAAGGGTGGTTTAGCAGCTTGTGGTCTGTCGAAACTTTTGGTTATTTTCCAGAGCGAGTAGTTTGTAGACTCTGTAGCAGTTAGGCTTTCTAGCTTTGCTTGGAATGAGTTATCATGCCAATTTTGCAATAGTGACTTGAGATCTTCTGCAGCTCTGTTAAAGTTGGTTTTGTCCACAGTAAGCCTACTTAGGTGCCAAATTCTTCGACGTCGTCTCTTCTCAAGGACAGCCTTTTTTATTTCTAGTGGATAGTTGTTTACTCCACTATTGTTGGGGGTCTGAATTTCAGGAGTACTTATCCAGCATGCTTCCTGTATTAACAGCGTTATGTATTTAGCTGCTTCATCTACATCTTCGGGTGTTTTAAGGGCCATTTTCATATTTATTGATTCCTCAATGTGCTCACGGAATGTGTTCCAGTCTGTGCGTTTATTACATAACCTTATTGATCTTGATATTTCTATTAGGTTAGTACTAATGGTCAGGAGCACCGGGGTGTGATCTGTAGAGCTGTCATAACAAGACTCAGGTTTCATGTATAACTTCGTTAATCCTTTAGTAATAAAGAAGTCTATGAGATCAGGCACCTTCTTGGCATCAGTAGGCCAGTTAGTGGGTTCTCCTGTGGATACGGTGCTTGAGTTGTTTTTAGTTATGCTCAGTTTTAGCTGTTTGCCTCTAGTATTCGTCAATCTTGAGCCCCAGGAAGTATGTTTGGCATTCCAATCTCCACCTACAATATAGCGGTGTCCCAGAGTCTTAAAGAAATCGGAGTACATTGACTCCGTCATGTTGTGCTTAGGTGGGCAGTATACTGCTGTCACATTGATGTCTCCTGTTTTGTCATGAACAGTTATAGTGGTTGCTTGGATAGGCTCCGTTTCATAATTAGGCATTTGATGATGTTTGATTGACTTTTTTACAATAATGGCTGATCTCGCGTGACTGGTACCGTCAGGGTGGTTTGTAATGTAGCAGTGGTAGTCTTGAAACCTTACTATAGAATTAGCCTTACAGTGAGCCTCGGAAATAAGGAGAATGTCCAACTTATGTTGGGACATGAACAGGTTAACTTCATGGTTGTTGGTGGCAAGACCATTGATGTTCCAGGTCGCAATCCGTAGTGTTGTCATTTTGTCAGTTTGTCAGTTTGTCGACGAGTTTGGTTATGAGGCACACGAGGGTGCTCATTTGTTGTAGGATGATGTCAAACTTTTCTGTCTGTTTTATAATAATTTGTTCTAGGGTCGCGTTTATTTGTCCTGGGATGTGAGTATTATCATAATTGTTCTGGAATGTGTTGTTTATTTGGTCTGGTTTTACGGCTTTAGCATAACTTAATCTCTTTTCTTGTCTCTTGGGTTCTGTACTAGTATTCAGTTCAGTCTTTTTAGGTGTTTTAGATGCTGTTTTAGTAGTTGGTATAGGAATATTGATTGGATTTTTTTGTTTTCTTGCTTGAATTTCTTTATAGACCTCACATCCCTTGTAATTAGCTGGATGTGGTCCATTACACAAGGCACAGAGTGCTGGAGTGCTCCGGTCTCGTTTTTGACATTCTGATGTCTTGTGTGATTGCCCACATTTCACACACCTGTATGGTCTCATACAATAGTTCTTGGTATGACCATACTGTTGGCATCTCTGGCATTGAACTAGTGTTTTATTTTTTTTGGTTCTTCTATGGTGACGCTTTGGTGGTAGATATATTTTAGGTCTTTAATAGCCTTATTGTGGGGACCACTAACTAGATAAACAAAGAATGTAGATGTTGGATTCTTGTTTGGCCCGTACCTTGCATTTATTATCTCTCCAGTGACTATGTTTCCTGTTGCCTCTATGTCTTCTTTAATAATATCTACTGGTGTCGTCGGATGGAGGTTTTTTATTACAATCCGGAAACATCTATTGTCCTTTCTGTTGAAAGTGTTATCAAGCCTTTTTCCCTAACCAGGGAGATAAGTATTTTGTATACATCAATATCTGCAGTACTAATCCTAAGTTGAGTTTTATTTATGATCTTGTATGTAAATTGATCTTTGTTGACTGCTGTTTCTAAGAGATTAGTTAGTTCTTTTAGGTCTTCAATTCCATAGAGAATGATTGGAGGTGGTTTGCTTTCTTTAATTGGTTTATCTGTTTCATCAGTTAAATCAATGGGCAGACCGTCATAGCGATTTGATATTTTGGTCGTATCTACAGGAGGGCTGGTAGATAACTTTCGTTTTTATTCCTATTACTAGGCACTTTCTGCCATGCTGGAGGATGTGGTGAATCTGCAGATGCCAGGGGTACATCTGTTGGTTTCATTTCTTCGACACTTGATTGTGTTGGACAGCTTCCAATTGATGCAGATCTAGGTCTTTGTATAAATAAGCTAGGATGGAATGCTTGTTGTACAAGTACTTTTCGGCCAGTGGTATTCTCCAACACTGGAGCCTGGTTTCCCACACCAGTGGATTGTTCTTCCGAAGAAGTTGAAGATTTATTGTTTATTTTATTTAATTGTTCACTCATATTGTTCCCACGAGAAGGGTCGATCTAAAAGGTCGCAGGCGAGGTGACGCCCATTCTCCCTGAAGGCGATACTCATGATGTTTGCCATGTCCATCATGGTTGGCGCTAGTAGCTGAGCTGCCCCCCAGCCATTCATCCCTTCGGCGCGATCCACACCTTGAGATTAGGGGTGATTTATTATTGAGGCTTTCTTCCTCTGGTCCCGGACAATGAAGTCAAGGACCCCGGCCTCGTGGTACAAGTCCACAAGGTAACGGGTGTTAAAAGGCATTTCCTCCTTCCAACTCGGATGAACTGGTTAGGCCCATTTGGTCAGGATATTTAACTGCCGCCCGAGACTCGGCGTTGTTGTTCTTTTAGCACCACCCAGGGGGCACGTGTGAGGTAGTGGCTAGGTAGTTCTCAGGGACGTGAACAACAGGACCCCCCGAACAACAGGACCCCCCAACAACAGGACCCCCCAATATCTTTATATAGTAAATAAAGATATTTAAATTAATTAATGTCATAGATATCTATTTAAATAAATCAGTGGCGTTACCATTTTAGGTCTGTGCCTCTATTTCTGTATCTGTTTCATGATCATTTGTCAATTTAATAGGCAAGTTGGTGATCAGCCTCCTGTGCCTGACACACGCCGTCCACAATTTGGGTCTAAGGCAAGCCGGTTTCCTAACGATGTTTTCCTCCTTGCGAGCAAATATTAAATACGCACATAGAAAGTAAGTCCATTTGTGCCAGCCCGAGATCGTCAAATCGAGAAAGTCACAGCCGGAGATCGAACCTACGACCTCAGGGATGAGAGTCTAGTAGTTCTTAAAGAGATTCAATACTTAAGTGTGTGTGAATAAGTATGTAATGTTTGCTCAACGCACACAATGAAAGCTCTCAAAAGGAGTAATATTCCAGTTTTTGTAGCATTTACCATTTATATACGATATTTAATATAGCCTCGATAATTCCAATAATATATTCGATCAGTTCCTGAGATTAACACGTATAAATAAACTGAAGTCTGAAATAATGTAAAAACGTGTGGGCATGGTCCGCCAAGCATCCGCGATTAATATATAAATACATAATTATGTAGGAATAAAGAAAATAATAGAAGCATATAATTAAGACTGCAAGGTTGCTCAAACAACTCGGCTTATTGTAAAATAAGTTGACACTATGGTTGATAGAAAAATGATGTTTTGTATATTTATTAGTAAGTAAACAAATGGATCACTTATGTATATGTTAAGATAAATAGAGAATGATGAAGGTACCATATGAGGAAATTCGTCTTCTCCAGCCTGAACTCCTCCCACGATTAAATCAGTCACGTGATGTCTGCATTTGCTGACTCTTGCCATTTCGCCAGTCAGCGCCACCCCGCGTTCGCAGGGGTAAACTAATTTTTGCTGGTATTCTATACATTCTGAAAAGAAAGACAATGAATAAAATTTAGCTCTTTTCTTGACAGTCATCAGTAGTCGTTATTTAATTAAATGCAGCTGATATGCAATCAATCTTTTCCAAATAAAATTTTGTAGTAGAGACTCTTGGGCCGTAATAAGCAACAAAATAAATAATTATTTTGGAAGAGATTTATTTTCAACAAATATAAAAAAGCTCCCTGTGGCATTTTCCGCTGGCAGCATTTCCTATCTGTATTGCGATACTTATTCGTTAAGGCTTCCAGTAGCTCTGGCGTCACCGGTACTAGATGGTACCAGGCGCCAACTTTACTAATTAGCTGTGTACTTGAACCCCCGGCTCAAGTGTCTCTACTCCAAAGGGAACAAAATCGAAGTTGGAGGAAAGACTCTTAGGTATATTTGAGTCGTTTTTTATTTTACGCTTGCACTGCGACCGCGCCAGCTTTTGTGCTTGTCCGATGGAGGTAAGACGGGGTTAACGTGTCCAGACAAGTAGTATCCCTTACGAAAACCCGTCCTATCCTCCAAGGGATCAAAGACATCGTCTCTACCAATGCCAGTTGGCTTCAAAATGGCTGGCACATTGACGGAGGCGAGACAGCCACGTACGTCGTTGATCGCCTTATGATTAATGTTATAATAATTAAATAATAATCTCTGGGCCTTAGATTGCATCCATTTTTTGCAATCACTTTGACAAGTGATCAGCCTTCTGTGTCTGACACATATCATGGATTCGGTCCGCAGAGCATGCATGCATACGTGCTTAAATACGACTTATTTGTTATAATTTTACTGAAGTGAAAACTTTTGAAGTGAATACTTTTGAAGTGAAAACTTCTTTAGCGGCGTTGTACACTTTTGTAAAAAATGTTAAACTCGCGTCAGGTCACGTGTTGTGATCGAAAATTCGTAATACGGATGTTTTTTTAAAAGATTATGAACCTTCGTGCTATATAGTTACGGTTTTAATGAATTTGTCTCTTTCCTCAGATACATTGATGCATGTGGAATTGGACTTAAGTCAATACATCAAGGTTTAATTTTGCGAAAAGTCTAAAGCTTTATTATTAACGATTTGGTCAGACTCGACGCGAATAAAAAATGGCAACTTAAAAAATAGTGAATTTTCCTAATTGAATTATTTAATACTGATTTTAATTATTTTGTGTAGGTTTCGTAAGAAGGATGGAAAGTAGACATCTGGCGCGGCGGATTTAATGTAATATAAATTGTCATGTTTGTGTACGATAGCGCAATAAATAAATATTGTATTCTACCACATAAATGATAGTACTTTTATACTGATAATTAAAGCAATTCGTGCAAAATTATTCCCTAACTATTCCAAAACATCAAAAATGCACAACGTTAATATTCAAGTTTTCACTTCAGCCGGCACTCCCGGAGTGCAACTAATAATATCTAATTATCCTATGTGTTAGTAAATATCAGTTACAGTTACTTACTGTCCCAGGCTTTCTGTCCAGTCTTAGTGGCAGTCATATCAGACGACAAATTCTCACAAGAACCTTCAGAGGCTTGATCTGCCTCCTTATAATCGTATTCAAGCGGAACATACTCTGTAGATGTTGTCAAAGGCCTGGAAAATACATATATGGAGTAATATGAAGACAAAATCCCTGGTATTAGGAGATCTATTGAGATTTTTTCGACACTTTCCGATTCTAGAATTTAGGATTCTTAAAGGTATAATTATGATATTAATATTGAGTTTTTAGAATCAAAAAGTTCGCCAAACCAAAACGGCTCGGATAGTGATTTGAATTGCTTTAGACAAAACAAATTATTTTAAGAACAAAAATTATAGCAAATTTAATATTAAGGAGCGTATTTATATTGATATAAATTTGTATGCATTTTAGAATGAATTTAAGACGCCCGATAACATTTTATTTCATCTAAATATTGTCTGTAGCAGTGTTGGCCTAGTGGCTTCAGGGTGCGACTCTCATCCCTGAGGTCGTAGGTTCGATCCCCGGCTGTGCACCAATGGACTTTCTTTCTATGTGATCATTTAACATTCGCTCGAACAGGAAAGCATCGTGAGGAAACCGACATGTCTTAGACCCAAAAGATCGACGGCGTGTGTCAGGCACTGGAGGCTGTTCTGACTTTTGCCTATTAGATTTAAAAATGATCATGATACAGATTCAGAAATCTGAGGCCCAGACCTAAAGAGGTTGTAGCGCCACTGATTTTAACTAAAAATATTGTCTGTAAATAGTAATTTTGTCCGCAACTATATACACGGTTAACTCCAGCCATGGCCCTCTTGGGTCGGGAGCCCGTGGCATTTTGCCAGCGCTGTCACATAGATGGCGCTATTGGTATTAAAAACATATTATTTTTAGTTAGCTGTTCAAAAGACACATATAAATTTGAAAACTGTTGAACTAATATATTAGTATGTGAGGTATAGTATTTTGAGTGGAGGAAGTTTTTAATATATAATAAAGCATTGCTTTTTGGGCATAACTATTGAAGTAAATATACTTGGCTTGTTAAACTATTGGGACTCTGCAGTAGGAAAATCAAAGGTTCCGATATTAGAAGGACTATCTCAGAATTTATTTCCAACACACAAATATACTGTATTTGCAATGTTCTTAACCTTCATAGTAATAATAATAACAGTTAAAAATCAAATAAAACTAAAATAAATTTAAAAAGTTTTGTCTATTCGATGAACTAGCAAAGCACCAGTTTTGGAGTCACCGGTAGTACCAAACGCCAATTTAAATCTTTAATTAGCGCCTGCGAAATTCGTCACAATCACTTCTGTATTGGAATGTTCGAGGTTCGAGCAGTGTTAGAAAAATTATTTCACCTACCTTCTGGTTGTTGTGGCGACAGGCTGACGTGTCTCAACACAGCACACTATTGTATCCACGCCCATAAAACTACATATCTGAAACAGAGCAAATGGTAGTGTAAAAAGAAGAATGAAGTCTTGTAGTGATACATGTACAAGGAGTTTCTGGAGATAAACCGTCAAAAAAATGGAATCTTGCTGTTGTTTTGTAGAGCCAGGTTGTTGTTATTTGACAGCTCAGGCTGTTTTGGCTAGCGTAGCCCGATTGGAATGGGTTTTCTACGACTATCACAAGGCTTCTGCGACACTCGGACCTCGGTTTGGGCCGTCGCTGGTGTTCAATCGCCTGAAGAGCAGGATGGAAGCTCACTGGAGTAAGCGAAGTATTTAAGGGACCTTCCCCGGTGAAGGCGGTTATTTACCCTGTACCGTGTTTCGTTATCACACCGAATGTAGCCATTTCGCTAGATGTATTTAGTTTTGTTTTGTGTAGCGTATTGAAATTGATAGTTTTAAATGAAAGATGACAAATCTAATTATAAAAGTGATTCAGGAAATCCATCTGACTGAATGGGGAAAGTTTTGTATAAATAATGTTATATTGACGCAAATCAAACCCACATTCAACTCACGTCAGACTGATGCATTGTTTTAATAAATAAGATGTTTTCCTTTACCGAGAAAGAATTAATTGAGCATGTAGAAGGAAAACCTAGGGATGCACAGCCGAACAAAGTCAAAGTCAAAATCATTTATTCATATAGGTAACACAATGTACACTTATAAACGTCAAAAAAGAAATATACATTGAATGATTCTAATTTTACTATCGCCAGTTCTCAAATCAAGGGCGTAGAACGGAAGAGAAAAACTGGCAATAAACTCTCCGCCACCCTTTTTAATCGCCAAGTTTTTTGTTTTACGCAACGTTTTGTAAGGAGCTGCAACCATTAAACCATGTTCCACATGACATCTTAAGTAATAAATAATAATAAAATAAATTAAAAACAAAGATTTGTCCTCTATCAGCAGGAGGCATGGTGAAATAGGAGCACGCACTTAAATTCTTATGGGCACAACACACGAGCTCAGGGTTTCACGTCTAGCCTGCAAACAGCACTTAAGATACCATATCTATCTCATTTTTGTTCAGGTGTGGAGGAAGGAAGGTGTTATTTTCCAAGATGAAAATAGGATCCTTCAGCAGTTGGAACACGGACCCGAACGCCCCAAAGCCTGATGTCGAGATCTTGTATATGTCCTGTGAATATCGTTGACAACGAGATGATTCAGGTCTTTTCGTCTGTGCAATGTTTAACAGCTAAACTAATTAGCTGGAGACTGTTCGGTCAGTTTGGTTCATTAGCAATAAAGCTATGTTCAAGAATGGTGGTGTATTTATGTACAGATCAAAATAAATTTCATCATATTAATATTTAGAGTCTGGCAAATAAAAAAAGTTAATTAAATTATTTGAAAACTTTCGTATGGCAACACAGAATATCATTAAATTTCTTAGGTTAGTATGATTTTTTTGTCTTGATACTTCATGCAATTACTCATATTTATTTCTATTATATATTTTTTCCGAATAGTTAACAGGTATAATAGCCTAAACATTTATAAGGTTTAATAATCAATGTGAGAGACAGTGATAACAGCAATGACTCTGATGAATCTATGCATTTTCATTTTATGGATTCTGATTTTGATTATTCCGAATAAAGTTGTGTTTTATCTACACTAATATTATAAAGAGGAAAACTTTGTTTGTTTGTTTGTTTGTTTGATTGTAATGAATAGGCTCATAAACTACTGACCGATTTTAAAAATTCTTTCACCATTCGAAAGCTACATTGTCCACGAGTAATATAGGCTATATTTAATTTTGAACGAAAATAGGGTTCCGTAAGATATTAGGGTTTTTCGGACACAAGGTGTAAAAAATCAACTACTTATTTTGCGTACCCTGCCTAAACTATTAAAGATAGAACCATAAAATGTTCTAAGTAATTGTAGATCTTATAAATATCTACAAAAAGTCCGCGACACAATATACCTATCTATGTCGAGTGAGGCACAATAACCATAAATGATATAATGACATGGCAAAACGGCGTTTGCCGGATCAGCTAGTAATAAATATAGTTTTAGTTTTCCATGCAATGCTAGTCATTTTAAGTATCAATAGTAAAAGAATAAATACGTTACTATCAATGTAAAAAATAATAAAATAAAATCAAGTATCAAGTAAGTTAAATCCACAAAATATATCAAACTTTTAGGGATACCATACTATTTTTTTTTAATTTACTGCGCTTTTTCGCTATCTTCTTTCATTAGCCAGACTCTATATACACTTATGAACGTCAATAAAAAATAAAAAATAAATTGGAGAGGCGTAAAGAGCAAAAGCAAAATGGCTGCCGCCCTTTTGAATTGACGCGACACTTGACTCATTAAAACAATATGTCGTCAAAAGACGCAAATATTTTAAGATAATTAAAGGATATACTTAATAATATAATGATATCAACCTAAAATAGTGTTATTATACTGAAGAACATTCTTCTTCAGCATTTTTCAAACTTAAAATAACTTTATTCATATAGGTAACGAAGTACACTTATGAACGTCAACAGAAAAGATGTTAAATTGATTCTAAATTTACATTTACTTTTTTTTTTATATATATATAATAGGGGGGCAAACAAGCTTGCGGGACGTCCAAAAAGGGCAGTCATCGCAGCCCATAAACACCCATTTTTAGTGGGTGCGTTGCCGGCCTTTGGGTATACTCGTTTTTTGAACATTTGGAGGTCGTATCTCTGTGGGAAGACCCCCACCGGGAGTCGATTCCACAGTTCGCTAGTTCGCAAAAGAAAATGCCTTATGAAACAGACTGTGGAATACCTCCAGCCATCAAGATGATGTTGGTGAAATTTAGACCAGTTCACAAGTCAAGGGCGTAGAGCTGGTAAGAAGAACTGGCAAGAAACTTTCCGCCGCTCTTTTTAATCGCCAAGTTTTGAGTCGTACATATTGTTTGAACTGGAGCAAATCAACAATTTAAATAATCGTCAAAATTATAAAAAGCTTTATTGATTAATTTACGTTTAATGAGAGATTTGCAGTGATAATTCTCTAATTTCGCTTGGGAGTTTGTTGTAAAAACGAATACAATTTCCATATAAGTAGTGGCTTCAACACAGAATATGTAAAAAACATGTATTTATAGTCATTTAGAATTTTTATATTTTTCATAAATTTGTGTATAATATATAATTGTTGTGAATTAGCTCTTATTAAAGCTGTTGAGTAAGGGTAATATTTTTATAACATAAAGACTGAATGACTCCGAGCGGTCATTCCCCTCGAAAAATGAGGATAATTTACGTAAATGTACCTAACCACTTAAACCGCTTTTGAGATATGCTTTACATATATGTTTTAATGATTAAAGCTAATAAACAATTTTATCACATATATATTTGCTATTTTTACATTTTTAAACTGGTTTTTGCCGTACTTTGTGGTACCAGCTGCCCACTGAAGTATTTCCGAACCAATTCGACTTAGGGTCCTTCAAAACAGCATACCAATGGCTAAAACTCGCGAGCCTTCTGACTTTCAGAGTGTCCATGGGCCCATTTGCCCCTCTACTATAAAAAAATTAAAATAACAATTTAAATATTCAAATCTCCGGTTGTTTCAAACTAACGGAATCGTGTGCGGTTTTCTGTAATAAATTCCTGAGGAAGATTTAACTGTATAATTTATTACATTTTTATGTAAATTGTCTGAAATATAATTATTATTGTTGAAGAGGTCGCAAAAAATCTTCAAGTTTCAAATAACATTGCGCATTCTCTTAAGGCGACGAAAAGATTTAATATAATCATTCTTTTGTTTTACAAAACAGTTCAGGGAGTGTGTCTATACGTGAATTACAATCAAGTCTATACAATAATTATGGCTAATAAGAAATTATGCCGAAACACACACACAGAAACACACAAAAAAGAAAAATAACAAAACAAATTTTTTTTAAAGAATAATGTACATTTTAAATGTGTAATGTGTGTGTGTTGTGGTTGTAACTGGTCCTGGCTCAGCATTATGCTGTGGAGCAGACTGTTCCACAGCGCTGGTCATTCTGCCAGAGAACACAACAGCTAGTTTTTATCTTGACTTTTCTACGATACTAGTGTATAGCTTAAAGTAAGATAATGTTGTTATATGTAACAGGAGGTAAACGGGCTAGAAATAAACATTGCCAGAAGGCTCCCCAGCGCCTTTTAAGTATTGGTACGCTCTTTTCTTGAAGAAGTAAAATTGGTTCGGAAATAATTCGTGGTCGCGGAACATACGACAGTAGACCCGCATCACATCCGCCGAAGAGCTGTTTAGACTAGCAGAAGATACCCCCGACAATTTAAGTTGTTTACAGCCAAACTTTATAATAAAGTGGAACCAGAAGAAAACTTTATAAATTTTCATAGTAAAACTAACCTTAATTATCAGGAAAGATTTTTAATACCAACACACAAATATACAGTATTTATAATTTTCTTGATCTACACAGTAATAATAATAATAAATAAACATTTAAAAATAGAAAATTTAAAAAGTTTGTCACGTTTAATTCTGTCATTTCCTCGCTGTATTGCGATACTCATTTATTGAAGATAGCACCAGCTCTGGGGTCATCGGTACTATATACCAGGCGCCACCCTAAATCTTTTTCCTTCGCACTTGAACCCCACGACCAAAGAGTCTCTACTCCAAAAGGATAATCGAAGTTGGAGGAAAGATTTGATTTATTCAACAAATATTATTTATTAACACTTCGCTGCCATACAATATAAACAATGTACACAATTAAATGAATTAATTATTTAATACCAGGAGACCGGAGATCTGGCAGCTACCTCGGACAAAGAATTAGTCTAGCGATTCAAAGGGGGAACGCTGCCAGTATCTTCGGAACCTTGCCTAAAGGGACTCCTTTTAATAATATATTTTAGTTTATTTTAAGTTTAGTTATTTATTTCAATGTATATTATTTTATTATTAAATGAAAAGGAGGGCAACGTGCGGCCTTATCGCTTTCGAGCGATCTCTTCCAGGCAACCACTGTGAGAAAAGAAAAAAATTATTAAATTAGATACGGTAGGCAAGAAGTGCAAATATACATACAAAAAAAATTAAACAGGAGCCAAAAACAAACTAAACTAATAAAGTGCACATGAATAATATAATTTAAGATCAGTCTCACGTCAATTAGTAGTTATATTATATTATTACTAAGAAACAAATGCGACTCCAATTTAAGGGACTTTACTGTAATGTGTAAAACTAAATTAGTAATTAGTATGAGGTCACGGTATTTCCACTATCATTAAAAAATCCATTGACTCACTTCAGGACAAATATCGCGACAATTAGGTGAAGTAAACGATACTTCCTTCATGCGTTACACGAATTGGCTATTTGACAAGGTCAGAACCGTTTCAGAATATTTATTAGTGACTGTAGTAGTAGGGCTATGTTTAAAGGCCGGCAACGCACCCACTAAAAATGGGTGTCTATGGGCTGCGAAGACTGCCCTTTTTGGTCGTACCGCAAGCTCGTTTGCCCCCCTATTAAAAACTAGGGCAGAAATTGGTGCCAAAAATTCTGGAATTGTATTATGACATCTCTTGTATGGCAAGGCCCACGAGAATGTAAGTGATCCTATTTCACCATGCCTCCTACTGATAGAGGACAAATCTGTGTTTAATTTATTTTAATATTATTTATTACTTAACATGCCATGTGGAACATGGTGTAATGGTTGCAGCACCTTACAAATGTTGTGTAAAACTTGGCGATTAAAAAGAGTAGCGGAAAGTTTCTTGCCAGTTCTTCTCTTCCGTTCTACGCCCTTGATTTAAGAACTGGCAGTAAATGTAAAATTAGAAGCATTTAATGTATATTTCTTTTTTGACGTTAATGAGTATACATTGTGTTACCTATATGAATATTTTTTTTGGTCTTTGGCTGATAATTTACCAAAAAACATTCAAAGATCTTCCTACTAGAGTTTATAATCGACTTAATAGTACTTTTTGAAGAAATGTATTATTTTATTAATGATTATTAGAGTGAAACATTATTATCAATATTTATTTGATAACGAGTTATGTACCTACCATTAGTTAAGTTACATATATTTAAAATAAGCAATTATCGCACACTTGAAACCAAAATGAGTTTTAGTTTTTCCCACACTCATGAATAGTAATAACATTCTCGTTTCCGATAATGTCTAAAGGGTCGACTACACTTATATTAAAGTGTCACTTAGATTTAAGAACCCTTAAATAAGCCAAGTTAGTTTTTTGTTGGCGTCGCAACCCCACTACCCCTGATTTTATGTTAGTTATAAGCTCAAGTTTTAAAAAGATAAATGTTGTATATAAAATTCTGCCTCTTAATTATGTAACAAATTTGCACGCCATTATGTGTGGCAGAGATGCGGAATTGAGATTGTACCAACATAATATCTTAATAGCATATTCTTGCTAATAAATTATTGTTATTATTACACTCTGATATTTTTAATTGTTAAGACTCTAAAATATAATTCTCAAATTACACAAATACACATATTTCAATCAAAAACAGTCTCCAACAAAATTAAAACTACATTATGACAGTATAGGATTAGACCAGATGATGACTTGTTTCATAAACATTTCTTTTATTTATTTTATATTACAGGAGACAAACGGGCAGGAGGCTCACCTGATGTTAAGTGATACTGCCGCCCATGGACAGTCACATTGCCAGAAAGCTCGCAAGTGCACTGCCGGCTTTTTAAGAATTGATACGCTCTTTTCTTAAAGGACCCTTAGTCGAATTGGTTCGGAAATACTTTAGTGGACAGCTGGTTACACATAGTGGTAGTGTGACGGATGTAGTAATACGGGTGGTATTTCGTATTCTGCCTCGACGTCCGATCAGAAACTCAGCTGCAGGTATTAGACCGAACAACTTCTCTGAACACTCTCCATGGTAAATGCAGGAGATGCAGAGAGACCCCACATCTCTATGCAACGAATATTTCGTAAGGATGAATGTTTCAAGGAGATTTGATTTACCTGTGGCTGACGCCTACGTCTAATGGCATCTATAGCTGGTTGGCAGTTGTCCAAAATAGTGCAAACTCCTTGCACACCATTCTGGTTGCAGAAGTCACCTGCAAAACAAGATACATGTAACATTGTCAGCAAGTCCGAACTTTTAGTTGCTCAAACAGATTCAAAATTCACAGAATTCATTTACACAGAAATTGCTATCACGAATCTATTTCTCCGAGACGGCTTGACCGATATTTTTGTGTATTTGGTAGGTAAAACAATTTTTTACTCTTCTAAAGAAACGGATGACCCCAGCAATTTTTTTATTATATAATATATTTATCATATAGTTCAAAAAAATGATAATTTTACTGATTAAAATCATGTATATATAGTGCTTACAATTTTCTTAACCTACAAAGTAATGATAAAAATAATTAAAAAGAAAATCAAAACGAATTTAAAAAGTTTGGTCCCTGTGGCAGTGTATCATAAATATAACTTCAAAATATATTTAACTTAATGTTTTTAATAAAAATACCAGTGGCGCTATATCCTTTTTAGGTCTGGGGCTCAGATGTCTGTATCTGTTTCATGACCTGTCAATCTAATAGGCAAGTACACACTGAGACACGCCGTCGACTTTTTGAATGTTGCCTTGGATTTTCCTTAACCGTTCGAACGAATGTTTAATGCGCCACAGAAATACCATTGGTGAACCGCCGGGGATCGAACCTGCGTCCTCGAGAGGCGCACGCTGAAGCCACTAGGCCAACACTGCTCCTTAATCACTTGCGTGTGGAAATCACAAAGGTGGTGGAAAACTTCGCGAGAAATTATACCCAAATGTAGTACATATGACCCACTTGGCGTAATAAACAAAGAAACAAATCTCCGGCCAATATGATTGCCTCTGTTTTTATGTTTTTCCTTGCCATTGGGGCTTTCCCAGCAGTTTTTTTCCATGAGAAATACTACTTTCAAGTAATCTTCTGACCCAGATTTCTAGGCTTAGATACTAACTTTATTAGCCTCACGATGTTTATCTAATTAAGAATCTATAAGAGTACAGCCGTGTTTGGAACCCACTACCCCAGAGTTCACAACACTTTTTAAAATGTAAAACTCTCTAGCAATTAAATTAGTTGACATACCTTCGTATTGTCCAGACGAATAACAAATAAACAAAACGAACACGCACAGTAACAACATTATCAAAACAGAAAGGAATGCATCGAAAATGCAACTTTATTGTAAATTTTCTTGTCGTGTTTACGGCTTTGAGGTCGCGTTGTGACTGAGTCAGAATCAAGATGACCAAGAAAACAATTAATAAATTATAACTTGTTTCACGTTTTAATCACTTCTATGAATATTCTTTACTATACTAAAATGTTATAATTACCAAAACCTTAATTACGTAGAACAGTTGCAATATCTAGATTTTCATGATGGTTATTCATTTACTGAAGTTCACCGCTTCATACACATTTATGTCTACATGAATAACTAGTCTGGCCATAAATACACACACATACACACACGTTTTCTTTTTTTTCAACTTTTTAATTATTTTGAATTTGGAACAGGTATATTATTTTAAAAACTTCTTTCGATTTTGCGCCATTTCACATATTTTTTTGTATTCATTTTCAAATTACTATGTAATGGGATGTTAAAGAAATATGATTGCAGTGATCGCTTTGCACAAAGAGGGCATGGAGCCGTCGGTCATATTCCAGACACTTCAAAAGCTTGGTATCAGCCGTATGTTCGTATATCGTACTAATAATAATAATTTATTGCAAGAATATGGTACACAAATGTGTAGGTAAGGCGGTACAATCGCATATTCTGCCACACACAATGGGGCGCAAATTTGTCTTTAAAGGAATTTTACATTATTAGTCATGAATTGGTCAGTTCTTATATTATTTGTATCGAACATATCATATCATACGCAAATAACAATTTATTGAATAGTAAATTTTTTCCAAAAGTAATAAACCAAGTCGCTTTTTAAAGACTCTAGACGGAAGATCTTTTAATTCTTCTGGTAAATTATTGTGAACTGTTATGGTAAAAGGTGTTTTTCCGAAACAGTTCCAGATTGATTTTTGGTACAGCCAATTTCTCCCCATGTATACTTCGACAGATGTTCATTTCTGTTGTCTTAAAAATATGTACGTTTTTGTGCAATATAATACAGGAACAAAATTTCAACAAAGGTAAAATAAAATAAAATATGTTTATTATGGAACATAAGATACATGTATCACTTATTCCACGTCATTAAATTTGAATTTGTAGGCATCCCTACTCATCGGCAAAGACGAAAGAGGCTGTAGGCCGAGAGAAAAAGCCGGCATAAAAAACTCTCGGTACACAACAACACTTCGTCTGCCGAAGACCAGAAAAGATCGGGGCGGCCGCGTGCTGTTAGAACTACAAACGCTGTTAATGCTGTTAAAGCCAGAATTCGTCGAAACCCCTAATGAGGTGGTTTTTGAAATTCTTTCTTGAAAATAATATTTTATTTTTTATTAATTATCTCTGGATACAGACGCAACTTAACATTACGATCTAGCCTAACTTAAATAAGTAATTTAAAACTAACTAAAAATAGGATATATAACATAAAGTGTCTAATAACACTACGTACAGTCTCTTAGGGACAAAACTCGGTTCTTGTGTAGTATTTATTTCCACTTACCACTGTATAGCACTTAAGATTAACGTGCACTAACACTAATTCACTTATTCAAACGGTTTTGTCCTTTTCAGTCTTCTCACTAGGCCCGTGGCTCAATTTGAAGAGTCGACATTCACGAGTTGGTAGGCTCCAGAAATATTTTGATTATATAATAATATGATATGGATTTATTAAGTATTCGTTGATTAAGTTATATTAATTAAAATTGAACTTTCTTGTTGTAAGAAGTTATTATTATTAATTACTGATTGTAATCACAGTAAACTAAGCCATATACATACATATCACTATCTATAAACCGTCTTTTTGTCACAGGTTTTTACGTACACATATGAACCTATACCTATTCGGGCATTGCGGATATTTCACATCAGGCGCTATTTTTAATTATCATAAGGGACGATCCTCTTACCTCCAATTGCACTTCAGCCTTTGTCAGAACTTCAGAGAAAAATCTCTGTCAGAAGTTACGTTAACGATTTACATCACATACGCAAATTTCAAAATCTTCTGTCTATTATGTAAGCTGCTCTTTTCATTAAATATGCGTTAATATTTGAAAGGTATTGAAAATTGATGTTTAATAACTAATGGAATCTCCTCTAACTTCGATTTTTCCTCTGGAGTAGAGACTCTTGGGCCGTGGGGCTCAAGTGCACAGGCGCTAATTAAATATTTTAATTGGCGCCTGGCAGATAGTACCGGTAACCCAAGAGCTGGTGCTTTGCTCGCTCAACGATTATCGTAATACAGCAAGGAAATGCTGCCAGCGTTAAAGGTACACTGCCACAGGGACCAAACTTTTTAAATTAATTTTTATAAATTTTTAATTATTACTATATAGGTTACGAAAATTGTATATTCTGTATATTTGATTGTTATGTTTAGGCTTTAATAAACGTTTCCTTTCTATTTAATAATTAAATTTTTTATTTTTAAAACGAATAAAAACTGCTTGCCTTATTAAAAAAACACAATTAGAATCCCTGAGTTATATATTATGTATGTTTATGACAAATGAGCGTAATAAATATGCATACCTCGTATTCTTTACTTTATATATTTTTTGCTAAAACATAAAATATATAAATGGCCATGACCTCCACTTTTAATGGTGGTACTAGTTGCGAAGACTAAACACTATAAGGAAGCTCTTAGATGTATCATTACCATCCGTATGCTGTCTTTAAAGCCTTATCATCTATGTCAAATACCAATGTCAAGTCTGCGTTTATGTCACTAACCGCAATCCACGCTCTCATAATTAGGTCAAACTATCATAGTGTATCTGGAATAAAAACCTGCCTGGTTGTTATTCGAACAATTTTTATATGCTAAGCGTCATTTCATTTATGTACAAACTTTTAATTAGGTATTGAAGTGGTTACTGTTGAACAGTGATGACAAACAATAAAGCTTAGCTCTTCACCGTGCTAACCACCTCAGAGTGCGTTGCCGGCTTATGAATTGATACGCTCTTTTTTTTGAAGGAACCTAAGTCGAAATGCTTAGAAATACTTCAGTGGGAAGCTGGTTCCACATAGTGGTTGTGCGCGGTAAAAACTGCCTTAAAAAACGCTCAGGCGTGGAACGATGGAGTTCCGATGATGAAACTCAGCTGCAGGTATTAATCCGAACAACTCCCGTGAACACTCTCCATGGTAAATGCTGTAGAAGATCCAGAGTGATCCATCTCTATCAGGGATCAAGCCGCTCGGAGAGGGATTGGTTGTCGACGATTCGAACCGCTATTGGTTGAATACTTTCTGCACTTACTTTAATTGTGGTTCATCATTCTAAAAAAAAAAAAAAAAATATGTTTATTATGGAACATAAGATACATGTATCACTTATTCCACGTCATTAAATTTGAAGGCATCCCTACTCATCGGCAAAGAAGACAGAAGGTGTAGGCCGAGAGAAAAAGCCGGCGTAAAAAACTCTCGGTACTCTTTTAAAACAGCAAATCATCAAACAACACTTATTTAAAACAAATATCGCAAATTGATTAGAAGTAGCCTGTCTAGCACTAGTCCCAGGCCCTTTTATCAACTAGATAATCGTTGACTTTATAGTAAGCCTTTTTACACAGCTTTTCTTTAATACATTTCTTAAATTTATTGAAAGGCAGTGATAAAAGAGCCTCTGGGATTTTATTAAAGAAGAGTATCCCTTTCCCCAAAAAAGAATTACTAACTTTAGATAGTCTAGTACGGGGAAATTGCAGCCTGCGTTTGTTCCGTGTATTAACATTGTGCGTATGTTCTATTCTAGTAAACTTATCACTATTTTTGTATACATACATAATATTTTCATAAATATATTGCGAGGGAAAGGTAAGTATATTAATTTCCTTGAATTTATCTCTAAGAGATTCCCTACATTTTAAATTATAGATTGCACGAATAGCCCTCTTCTGCAGGAGTGACTACTTATCAGTTGTGACTAGAAAGATTACTCTATATTCTCAAATTATCGAAAGATGCATTTAAGCATAGCTAGATCAGGAATATGTTTTACATAAAACGAAAGCGTTTTTCATAATTGAACAATAATGCAAACCGTTTCAACATGTTAATGGTTCTGTCCAAAGCCTTTGAACCAGTCTCACATGTACCTACTATTGAAAGCATTCAAAATAATGGTAAGAGAATTATTCAACAGGAGTATCAGAATTGACACTAGGGACATCTGGTTGGGATAACTTAAACTACGAGGGGAGGTCCAAAAGTTCGTGGAATGGAGGGGATGGAGTGGGGATAGGGGCGCTCGCTTAGTGTCATACTAATTGGGGACTCATAATTAGTATATAAATGGAGTTTCAGCCCTATTGCGTCATTCGTTTACGAACACTCGCCTGCTAAACACGTCAATCCGGAAGAAAACTGAAACTATGGAGAAAATTGAACACCGTGCTGTCATTAAATTCCTTACCAAGCAAGGAAAGAACGCTCAGACCATTTTGAATGAAATGGAAACTGTTTACGGGGAACAGTGCCCTAGTAAATCAATGATTTACAAATGGCATGGTCTTTTTAAACATGGTCGGGAGTCGATTGAAGACGACCCCCGCTCAGGAAGGCCAGTTGAGGCCACCACATCAGACATCGTCGAAAAAGTCGAAAAAAATGTACTGGAGGACACCCGTTTGAAGAAAAAACAGTTATCTGCATTAGTTGGAGTATCAGATACCACAATTTTGCGAATCCTACATGACCACCTGGGTATGACAAAAGTCAGTGTAAGATGGGTACCGAGAATGCTCGTATGTCCTCAGTTAAAACGGTAGGAGACGAAATAATAGTTGACGAATAATAGATGGCTTTATTCAAAACATTCATTTATTAAAAACATCATTATTGAGCAGTGTTGGCCTAGTAGCTTAATCGACTCTCATCCCTGAGGTCGTAGGTTCGATCCCCGGCTGTGCACCAATGTACTTTCATTCTATGTGCGAATTTAACATTCGCTCGAACGGTAAAGGACAACATCGTGAGGAAAGCGGCTTGCCTTAGACCCAAAAAGTCGACGGCGTGTGTCAGGCACAGGGGGCTGATACTTGCCTATAAGATTGAAAAATGATCATGAAACAGGTAAATAAATATGAGGCCCAGACCTAAAAAGGTTGTAGCGCCACAGATATATTTTTTAACAATATTTACAGAATCTAAGGGAAGATTCAAATATTATCTACGGATACGAATCGAGACGGAGCTATGACACGTATGTCAAAATCCAAATTGTTTTTTTTTCACTGGTGGCAAACGATGTCTTTATCTGTGTTAAATGTTTCAACAAAATACCTTGTGACGTTAAAACTAAACGAAAGAAAATTTAAAACTTTGATTAAAAATACACTTTGTAGACAAGCATATTATAAATTAGAGAATTATAATCAAGATAAAAATGCTTGGAAACATGCTGGTCCTGCTTCATAGGACAATCTAGACAAAATCAACTGGGTGCTAGAGTCTGGCTAATGAAAGAAGATAATTGAATTATTTGAAAACTTTCGGATGGCAACACAGAATGTCATTGAATTTCTTAGGTTAGTATTATTTATTGTCTTGATACTTCATGCAATTACTCATTTTTATTTCTATTATATACTGCTCGAAACAATTAGCGGAACAAGATTTTTCTCCTTTCTATTGCTTAAACTAAAATTAGATTTAAATTAACATGTACGCTATTTTTTACCTTGTTAATTTGTTAATTACTACAATTAATAAAAAAATTCAATTTGTATTTTTTTTATTAAAAAAAAAATTAAAATGTGCATTGTAGACGAAAAACTAATTGGTGATAAAAAAGGTCCATCAAAGAAATATTCTTATATCGTTTGAATATTCGTCTTTAGTGACTTTCAGTAACGTGTGTGGCCTCCATGAGCCCTAATCACGGCTTGACAACGACGCGGCATGCTTCGTATGATCCTCCGAATATCTTCTTGTGGAATTCGCTCCCATTCCTTAATCAACGCTTCAGTGAGCTGCTGCAGTGTTTGAGGTGCAATCGGACGCTTCCGGATGCGCCTGTCAAGCAAGTCCCAAATGTGTTCAATTGGATTTAGGTCAGGGCTCATGGAAGGCCACTCCATTACACGGATTTCCTGCTGTCGTAAGTAATCTGACGTGATGGCTGCAGTATGCGGCCTGGCATTATCTTGCATTAAAAGAAAATCTGGGCCCATACCATATGCTGCGGGCCAAACATGATCTTCGAACACATTTTCAATGTAAGTTTGAGCACACAAGCGCCCGGGAACAACGACGAGATCTGTGCGCTCGTCCAAACTAACTCCGCCCCAAACCATCACAGAGCCACATCCAAATTTGTCATATTCCTGGACTGCTGCTGCACTGTATCGCTCGCCTGGGCGTCTGTAAACACGGAGACGACCATCGCAACGTGTTAGACGGAATCGTGATTCGTCAGTAAAAAGCACTGGCCTCCAATGTCGAAGTTGCCAATTAGCGTGATTTTGCGCGAACTGTCGGCGAGCTTGTCTATGTTGAATTGTTAGACGCACAGCCCGAACTGGTCGGCGTGATCTCAAATTGGCTTCCAACAACCTATTTCTTACCGTCTGGTCGGAAATTTCTGCACCAGTAGCCGTCCTTAGTGTATTTTGTAGATCTCTTGCAGTTGTGGTGCGGTTACGTAAAGCACAGTTGACGATGTAGCGATCTTGCAAACGTGTAGTTTTTCTCTTTCGACCTTGACCACGCCATCGTGAGTATTCTCCCGTGTCACGGTAGCGCTTCCAAAGTCTGTAGATAACAGAAGGGACTACTCCTAGATCATTTCCTACATAACGCATAGTTCGACCCTCTTCAAGCAAAGCGATAGCTCGGGAGACATGCAATTCAGTCAGATCTGGCATTATGACCTAAACTCACTCGCTTTAATGAATAACAATACTCAAAAGGCTCACTTCAATTTCTATTAATACTCAAAAGATTGAAAAAAACTACTTAAAATGTGTTTTCTGTCATTAGAAAGTAATGAAAAATCAAAGACGTCACTTTGTTTTTCGTCTACAATGGACATTTTAATTTTTTTTTAATAAAAAAAATACAAAATGATTTTTTTTATTAATTGTAGTAATTAACAAATTAACAAGGTAAAAAATAGCGTACAAGTTAATTTAAATCTAATTTTAGTTTAAGCAATAGAAAGGAGAAAAATCTTGTTCCGCTAATTGTTTTGAGCAGTATATATTTTTTCCGAATAGTTAACAGGTATAATAGCCTAAACTTTGTTTTATTGATTTTTTGGATTCTGATTTTGATTATTCCGAATAAAATTGTATTTTATAATAAATATAGTTTTAGTTTTCTATGCAATGCTAGTCATTTTAAGTATCAATAGTAAAAGTATAAATACGTTACTATCAATGTAAAAAATAATAAAATAAAATCAAGTATCAAGTAAGTTTAATCCACAATATATATCAAACTTTAAGGGATACCATACTAATTTTTGTTTAATTTGCCGCGCTTTTTCGTTATCTGCTTTCATTAGCCAGATTCTAATCTAGTTATATGTTTGGTTTTTTTTTTAAAAATCAACTTTGACGTAACTCTACGTGAGTTTGTCTGTTTGACTGTGTGTTCATTACTTAATTGTCTATAAAGAATAATTTTAAATCTATAGTTGCAATATTTGTAAATATGTAAATTTAGAATCAATTTAACAACTCTTCTGTTGACGTTCATAAGTGTACTTGGTTACCTATAAAGTTATTTTGAGTTTGAGTTAAACATAAAAATTATAGAATTTTTCTAACACTAATAAATTTTAATTCGCAAATAGATACTTTGATTTAAAGATACAATTATAGTGGACCTCTTTCATTTCATCTCCAAGTTGAACATAAACATGCACACCACTGATAACCTTAACCAATCAAAATATATTATCTATCTTTCATTGTCTGTACGTGGAAGTGGAATAAAAATTGTTCGTGCTATATAATAATTGTTTTCGGCTTTTAAAGACCAGTATTATCATGTGAGTGACTCAACCCTGTGGTAAAGTGTTAGGAATGAGTCTGTGCACCAATCGCAATTAATACTTGCTCGATACTTCGGATATCGTGATGGGAATGTGATGGGGATGCGTTTTTTTAAATAGATAGAATGATTGAAGAGGAAGGTTTATATGTATAATAACATCCAATAAATAATGGAGAAATACTGTTATTTTTTAGGTTTCTAATGTGATGTCGTAAATCAAAATAATGTACTAAGTATTGTACACATTGAAAAGGTCTACGGAAAACTCCGCGATGTTATAATATGTCTATCTCTTATGGATATCCCACAATAATTGTTTTTGTCATTTACTTTTTACGACAAATAATGGCTAATTTTCGAAGCGATTTTAACCAATACAGCATTAATCCTTATCCAATCAAATACCTTAAATACATCTGAAGCTCTCTAGCGAGGAAAATAACGTGCTTTTCATCAGCATTGCATTCGTGCGAAGCCGGGGTGGGTCGCTAGTAATAAATAAATAATAAATGTCACAGGAAACAGTTAATCAGACAAAGCCGGGGCAGATAGATAGTTGATTAATTTACTTAAAATCAGGTTTGCCCGTCGCCAGTCGTTGTTCGGTGACCGCACGGGTGAGTTATTTCAATATTTTTCCTTGTTCAAAATGATAAACATAATATCAATGTTTCTTATAAACAAAAACGTTTAGTTAGACTTATTTAATTAAGATTATAAATATCTCGTAAATAGCTATTTTAACTTTAATTATCTTAGTAATAACTTAATCAATAAGATATTGTTATTAATTTTGGTATTTTTTTATGGTTATGTACCGATTTCGACTATTTGTTGGAAAGGAGATATCAAGTACCAAAAAGAAACCAGAAATGTCGAGGGAACCTTCGAAAATCTGTTCTTTGAAGTAGTGTCTTTTAATTATTAAAAATAAGTCCATAATAGTTTGTTTTAAAGTCTTCTATGCCTACAAATCCAAAATTGGTTTCGCTGAGAATCTAACACCACATAATCAAATACATATATATACAACAATCCTTTTTATATTTTAAATCTTTTCAGACAAACAAAAAGCAGGACAATATGATTAGGTAAGTTAAAAGTTATCATTTTAAAATTGTTAATCACATATTTAACACACGAATAAACTTTTTAACATAAACCTGTTCTTGTGATTTTTTTTTTTTTTGACAATTCACACCAATTGACCTAGTCCCATGCTAAGCTGGTGAAACTTGTGTTATGGGTACTAGGCAACGGATATACATACATATTATAGATAGATAGACATATAAATACATATTTAAACATCCAAGACCTAAGCACAACACCAAATGCTCATCACATCGATGTTCGTCTCAGCCGGGAATCGAACCCGGGACCCATGGATTCGCAGTCAGGGGTACTAACCACTAGACCAATGAGTCGTCATTGTGATGGTTCATCTACACGAATATTATAAAAACGAAAGATCTGTTTGTATATTATTGAAGACGACTGAAAACAGGACTGATTTGAAATTATTTTACCACCAGACACCTACTTTATCGCTGATGATACCGCGCTGCACGTTAGTGTAACCAAAAGTGTGAAAAAGACTAATAATTTTAGGTCTAGGCCTCAGATTTCTATATCTGTTTCGTGATATGTCAATCTAATAGGCAAGTAGGTGATCAGCCTCCTGCGCCTGACACACGCCGTCGACTCTTTGGGTCGAAGGTTTCCTCACGTTTTCCTTCACCGTTCGAGCGAATGTTAAATGCGCATATAGACAGTCCATTGGTGCACAGCCGGGGATCGAATCTACCAACTCAGGGATGAGACTCGCACGTTAAAGCCACTAGGTCAACACTGCTCTTAATTAATCACAGAGGTCGCATCAAAATCGACGATAATCACACGAAGGCAACGCGCGGCGGTAAATATTATAAATACAAAAATATTCGTAAAGATAGTTATGTAACCTAATGTTAGTTAAGTTACATGTATTTTAAATATATCTGTAAATAAGTGGAAGCGTAAACAAAATGTATACAATCGTCGCACACTTGAAACCAAAATGAGCCATTTAGTTTTTACCACACTCATAAATTGTAATATAACATTCTCGTTTCCGATAATGTCCAATAACATAAGTATCACTTAGATTTACGAACTCTTAGGTCAAGATAATTTATTGTTAATCCAGGGTCGCAACCCCCCTACTCCTAATTTTATCTTAGTTATAAGCTCACGTTAAACAATTAAGTTGTTAGAGTTAGTAATTAATTCAGTGGGAATCAATTCATTTAAGTAAATATCAGATAGTGAAATATGATTAAAATAAGAAAGTTTTTGAAGTGAAACTTCTTTAGGCGCATGAGGGTAAAATTTTTAGCGTCACGAAGATGTGCAGCGTTTTTGTCGAAAGGGAGAGAGCGATTGAGACCGATTGAGAAATTATATTTAAAAAAATTAAAATATCGTAAAGAGAATTTATGAAATATTAGTATTTTATATTTTATACAAAATAATTTATTGAAATCTCAAATGACGAATTGTAAATTAAAAAAATTAAATTTATAATTTGTATTAATTTTCGACACTTAATATTTTAATGACAATTAAATTCCTAACATATCTTCCCTTTTACCTCCCTCTAAGTCTCGGAAATCTAAAGTTTAAGATTTGTATAAATATGAACAAGACTTAAAAAGAAGTTTCACTTCTGACATGTGTACTTTGTACGCACGCACTTTTTTTCTTATGTTTTAAATTCCTTTATATGTTTCAGATATATGTTTCTTCTCGCTATCGCTTGGTCTGCAAATGCACAAAGTTTGGACAGCGTGTTTTCGTCTTCAAATAGTAAGTGCATGTATTATTATATAAATACCCTTAATTTTCGCATAATAGTTGGTTGCATTAAAACCTGCAGCTGTGTTTCATTATTGTCGCGGCAGAACACGAGATTTTACCCGTATTACGACGAACGTCGCTCCACAACTGAGCGTTATTAAGGCACTTTTTGTCTTGTCATCAGCTGCCAGTTCTCAAATCAAGGTCGTAGAACGGAAGACAAGAACTGGCAATAAACTCTCCGCCACTCTTTTTAATCGCCAAGTTTTTTGTTCTACAAAATGTTTGTTAGGAGCTGCAACCATTACACCATGTTCCACGTGACTTCTAAACTAATTAATAACAATAAAATTAATTAAAAACAAAGATTTGTCCTCTATCAGCAGGTGAAATAGGAGCACGCACTTACATTCTTGTGGGAAAAAAGACACTCAAAGCCAGAGTCGTTAAAGAATTGGTACGCTCTTTTCGTGACGGACTCTAAGTCGAATTGGTTCGGAAATTCTGCAGTGGGCAGCTGGTTCCACATAGTGGTGGTGCGCGGCAAACTGCCTTAGAAAACGCTCAGTTATTTAAAAAGTAATTGAAATGAATTTTCTATTTACAGATAATAAAAAGTCGATTGAGAACCTGAAATGTTCGAGAATAGAGCCAAAAGATGGGGGTGTATGGCAAGGGTGTTACGACTGCTTCACCTGCGACCATCCAAGGATCCGACAGCACTACAAAGCCAAATCAATTACGCGCCAATTGTAAGTATTTATTAAATTTTGACTTTTAATTAAATATGTACCTACATCATTAAAAATAAAATATGTTTTTTATGGAACATAAGACTACAGGTATCACTTATTCCACGTCATTAAATTTGAATCGGTAGACATCCCTACTCATCGGCAAAGAAGACAGAGATTCTACACCCTCTCGGTACTCTTTTAAAATAGCAAATCATCAAACAACACTTATTTTAAAACAAATATCGCAAATTAATTAGAGATAGCCTGTCTAGCACTAGTCCCAGGCCCTTTTATCAACTAGATAATTGTTAACTTTATAGTAAGCCTTTTTTACACAGATTTTCTTTAATACATTTCTTGAATTTATTAAAAGGCAGATGTAAAAGAGCTTTCCCAAGAAAGAATTACTCACTTTAGATAGTCCAGTACGGGGAAATTGCAGCCTGCGTTTGTTCCGAGTATTAACATTGTGCGTATGTTCCATTCTGGTAAACTTATCACTATTTTTGTATACATACATAATTTTTTCATAAATATATTGCGAGGGACGGGTAAGTATACCAATTTCCTTGCATTTCTCTCTCAGAGATTCCCTACAATTGCCGACACATTGCCGACTATATCCCGATATGTAGCAGATGGCTGAAAAATTTATATCTCGGCAATATTTCTGCAACAGTATATGGCTCATTATTGAAGTGAAACTTCTTTAGGCGCATGAGGGTAAATTTTTTACGGTTGAAACGTCACGAAGATGTGCAGCGTTTTTGTCGAAGAAAAGGAAGAGAGCGATTGACACAGAGTAAAAAGGGAGATCGAGAAAAAATACACGTTATTGGTTGATGTATTCGTTAGTTACATATTAGAACTTTAGATGGCAATTCTGTCGCATAACGTCTCGTGCATTAACGCATTATTATCATTAGCACGTATACAGTGTGTAAACAGTGTGAATATAGATACACAAATACATGGAGTGATCATATTCTGGTACATGATCATCTATTGGGGCTTTTACCTTAGTAATAATTAATTTACAAAGAAGTTTCACTACTGACATGTGTACTTTGTACGCACGCACTTTTTTTGTCTTTACACGGTGTATATACATAGCTTGGCTTTTACCTATGACTGCAATTTTTATATTGTGTTGTTGCTTATATTGTTTTAAAAGCAAAGTCAAAACAAAAAAAAACGAAGAAAAATGTGGATTCGACTTTATTTCAATAGGCTTTATTCCATTAGAAATTTTTAGCCTGGAAAAAAAGACGAAGTGGAAAAGGGACGCATTTAGGCCGTAAAGCGAGACAATAATATGGCTGAGAAATTTTGCAGTATTTTCGATTGCAATGCGATCGTTCCGGCCATACGGCTGGGACACTAAACATTCATCGGACATACTTAAATATTGCCGAGTATTGCTTAGTCTAGCCGTAAATGCTGGGTGATGCTTCTAGCCATACCCTTGCAGCTATACATTTTCGTGAAACAATGGCCTAGGAGGTACATAGTTATTTGAAACACAACAAACTATTCAACGCACTGCTGACATATTGATATTGACATATTATAGTAAGATATTTGTGGTACCGTGGTGTTGCCATTCTAATAAACGGTCGTTTCCCCTTATTTAGATTACCACCTGGAAAGTGCTAAAATTTAGTTTATTTTTACAAAACAATATTTTAAATAAGCTAAATCATAAATTTTTGCTGAATTATATATTAGGTCCTTACATATTATGAAATTGGCGTATTTCGTACTGGCCACTTTAATCACGATGTTCTCCGCTTTGGTAAGGAATTCCAAATTCAAATTTGTACAGCTATTTACTCGTGTATTTGTGCATCGATGACCGTCATTCCTTTGTTTTTTTCTTCTGTTTTTTTCTGTTTGCGTCACTCATTTTACAAAATGGAAAACTTAAAGTATCGCATTATTTACGAGTACGAGTTCCGTCGTGGCACTAGTGCTGCGGAAACGACTCGAAGGGTGAATGATGTGTATGGTGGTCATGTTGCAAAAGAAAACACAGTTCGTTTTTGGTTCCAACGTTTTCTTTCTGAATATTTCGACCTGCAGAACAAGCCCCGTGGACAGCCTGAGACCCAAGTTGATAATGAAGTATTGAAGGCTATTGTGGAAGCGAATCCATCGCAAACCACGTTCGAGTTAGCTGCAGGCTGCGGTGTTAGTGATAAAACTGTTTTAATTCACTTGAAGCAAATTGGGAAGATTAAAAAGCTTGAAAGATGGGTACCTCACGAATTTACTGAAGCAAACCGGCAAACGCGCGTCGACTGCTGCGATACATTACTGAACCGGCACAGTAATGAAGGTATTTTAAACCGAATCATTACCTGTGATGAATAATGGATTCTTTACGATAATCGGAAGCGCTCAGCGCAATGGTTGGATCCTGGCCAGCCAGCCAAATCCTGCCCAAAGCGAAAATTAACCCCAAAAAGTTACTTGTAAGCGTTTGGTGGACTAGTGCCGGTATTGTTCATTGCAATTTTCTCAAATCTGGCCAGACTATTACGGCTGATGTCTATTGTCAGCAATTGCAAGCCATGATGGAAAAGCTAGCGGCTAAACAACCTAGGCTGGTCAATCGCTCCACGCCACTGCTACTTCACGACAACGCTAAACAAAACGCCAATTTAATATGTAAGGACCTTATTTTTGAAGCTGCTTTCTCTCATTATAAAATAGTAATATTGATAAAAATCTTCGTTCTAACGTCGAAAATTCTGCATGCAACCGTTTCTAACTATAAATGTTACGTTAAATAAATAAACTTTTACAGAATTGTCGACGATAACTGCGCCCCGCTTGAAGTGTGTTGCGTTCAACAAAGTGAAGTTACTAGCATAAGGTTTGTATGAATAACCATCTCAATAAAAAAATTGCTGGATTAGAGAAATAAACCGCATTTATCATGGAGAGTGTTCAGAGGAGTTGTTCGGTCTAATAACCGCAGCTGAGTTTCACTATCGGACGTCAAAGCAAAATGCTAAATACCATCCGTATCACCTCGACGTCTGCCGTTCCACAACTGAGCGTTTTTCAAGGCAGTTTTTGCCGCGCACCACCACTATGTGGAACCAGCTGCCCACTGAAGTATTTCCTTACCAATTCGACTTAGGGTCCTTCAAGAAAAAAGAGTACTAATTCTTAAAAGGCCGGCAACGCACTCGCGAGCCCTCTGGCATTGAGAGTGTCCATGGGCGGCGGTATCACTTACCATCAGGTGAGCCTCCTGCCCGTTTGCCCCCTGTTCTATAAAAAAAAAGACAGGAACGCTAATAAAAGGGTGCCAAGTTCTTGGTTCACTCGGGGTGTTAGTCAAAATTAGACTCGACGCGGTGACTCTTTGTGACTGACACGGCAAACGTCCTTTTAATATAAAGATTACAAAATGGGGTTTGGATAAAGAGAAGGAGGTACTTTTAATGTCTAATGTAGAGTAGAATTTAGTGGCCTAGTGGATTGTATGGAGCAGTTGGCCTAATGGCTTCAGTTTGCGACTCTAATCCCTGAAGCCGTAGGTTCGATCCCCGGCTGTGCACTTGAACTTTATTTCTATGTGCGCATTTAATATTCACTCTTACGAAGGAAAACATCATGAGGAAACCGGCCTGTCTTAAACCCAAAAGCTAAATCTTGGTTTGGTAACAGAACCCATATAAGTTACGAGGGTCGTAAAGACGCGTTGGAGTAAATCACGTGATTATTTTACAGGAGTCAAGAGAACTGTGGAAAGAGCAACCCTGAAGGTGATCCGAGACGCGTCAGATCTACATTGAGAAGTGTACTTCCCGGACAGTACCCTTGGAGGGCCTGGGTTTATGCGTATGTTTTACCTAGATTAACAGCAATAAAATAACTTCATAACGAGGGCGTTGAGGTGTGGGGTCTCTCTGCAGTAGTGATTTCGGATTAATACCTGCAGCTGAATTTCATCAGACATTGAGGCAGAGTACGAAATACTACCCGTATCACCTCGATGTCCACAACTGAGCGTTTCTTAAGGCAGTTTTTGCCATACACAACATTTACGCCATATAGAAGTATTTTGGAATCAATTCGACTTCGAGTTATTCAGAGTGTACCAATTCTTATAAGGTGCTTGTGAGTCCTTATAAGAATTGATAATAACATTAATACACCTTTTTTTTGCAAATACAGAAATGTTTTATTGTTTGCCATTGCGAAAGAAGAATGACAGTTTTACACATTAAGCCTCTTCTCTCTAGCGCCAATATTGCGATACTGCATGTTAAAGCACTTTTTGATATACAACATTTTTTGTTTTGTTATCCTGCGCGAGAACAAAGTGGTAGGTTTCTTTTATATGCGTAATTTTGTCTTGTTCATATTTATACAAATCTAAAACTTTACATTTCCGAGACTTAGAGGGAGGCAAAAAGGAAGATATGTTAGGAATTTAATGAATTTAATTGTCATTAAAATATTAAGTGTCGAAAATTAATACAAATTATTAATTTATTTCTTCGATAGTAAAAACTGTGGCATTTTAATTTACAAGATTTCTATGAATTATTCTGCATGAAATATAAAATACTAATATTTCATACATTCTCTTAACGAAATTTTAATTTTACAAATTGAATTAATATGAACAAGAGTTAAAAATTAGTTTGCTAAAGAAGTTTCACTTCTGACGTGTCACTTTTTTTCTGTGTATGTATTGTTTTGAATGTGATTGTAATTACGACACTTGAGTAATAAAAATATGTTTATTATGGAACATAAAATACATGTATCACTTATTCCACGTCATTAAATTTGAATTTGTAGGCATCCCTACTCATCGGCAAAGAAGACAGAGGGTGTAGGCCGAGAGAAAAAGCCGGTGTAAAAAACTCTCGGTACTCTTTTAAAATAGCGAATCATCAAACAACACTTATTTTAAAACATATATCGCAAATTAATTAGAAGTAGCCTGTCTAGCACTAGTCCCAGGCCCTTTTATCAACTAGATAATCGTTGACTTTATAGTAAGCCTTTTTACACAGCTTTTCTTTAATACATTTCTTAAATTTATTAAAAGGCAGAGATAAAAGAGTCTCTGGGATTTTATTATAGATATCCCTTTTCCCAAAAAAGATAATGTAGTGTAATAATCTGTATTGTTGTTAAATAAATAAAATGTTAAGACACATAATGTCTGTTTTCAGAGGGGAACAAAAACGGTGCCCCGTGTCATACATAAACTTCTACCCGGACGTGCTCGTCACGACGGCAACTTGTATGAAACACGTTACGAATAACGAAGATGATTTGAGCGTACGATTCGAGCGGGATCCCAGCAGAGTGGCGAACATTGCCAGTGTTGTAATACATCCTGATTATAATTATGGTGAGTATCACATAGTATAGAACGTGGCCCTAATGTCTGAAGCGACTGTCAATTCCTAGAAGTGTCTTACAGGTTGCAGAAAATAAATACTTCATTTATGGACCTAAGTATACGCTGCTATAACATGATTCCTAATGAAATATTGGAACTGCCTTTAAACAGATTCAAAACACATTTTAAAAAAACATTAATGAGGTTACTTACTGTGTGATAAGGAGGGAGCTTGTAGTTTATTGTTTATCAGAATGCCAAATCATAAAATGACTGCTTCACGACTGATTTGAGCGCGACCGCCGCTGCGAAAACCGCTGTGTGAGTTCGAAAAGTGAGTTACAGAATCGCAAGGCTGTTCTTATACGATTTATTTATTTCAGATGATAAAAATCAGTATGACATCGCACTACTGAAGCTGGACACATCTGTGAAAACTTCTCGCCCTGTGTGTATACCGGAAAGACAACCGGAAGTAGGCACCACTTGTGTCGCTGTGTCGGAGGATGATATAACCGTAAGTTAGCTTACGCCCGAACCCAATAACCTTACTCAATCCATAATCCACCATCTGAGATAGTAATCTTAATCCAAATGTTGTAACAAGTGTGCCAATAACCGATCGAAGGATTGTAATAGCCATCTGTCGAGTTTTTTAAATAATTGAAAAAGCGGTTTGTTATTTAAACATAGACATGTATATTTTAATGTTATTTGTACGGTTTTATTTATTTTATTTGGTTTACATTGATTATCAAATATGAGTGAAAATTCGGTAAAATGGAACGACAGAGCATTTTATCCGTCACAAATGGATTGTCTTCAAACTCAAACTCAAAATATCTTTATTCAAGTGGGTAACCAAGTACACTTTTGAATCGTCAAGTTAAAAAGTCTTCGTAAGGTTTGGTTATTGGGATGCAGATAGGAGATCGATCGACTGTCACGGTCTAAGTCTCAGATTGTTTTCAATCTGGGATTGTGGATTAATTATTGGGTTCGGGTGTAAGACACATCATCACATTGACGGAGGTACTGGAGTCAGACTTTCTGGATCTAGTTTTCTTGCTATTTATTAGTTGGCTTTGCATTGCCATTTTCCTAAATTAATTTTATTATATATACATTGTTTTGTAACCTCAAAATTGTCAAATTTCATTTAAACAATTTGAACGATAAATTAAATATATTGTTGATAAGCTTTAAAGAATTATTTCTCAAGATATAAGAATATGTTTGCCTTCGTCGTGCGATACTCATCCCTTAGACCGTGTGTTTGCGTATCAATGTGTACATTTATCGCTGGTCGCATCGCGAGGAAACCGACTTGCCATAGACCCAAAAAGTCGACAGCGTGGGCCATAGAAGGTTGATCCGCCTCCTTGCTTAGGGGCCGTTCAAGTATTACGTAAGCTCTATAGGGGAAAGCGGGTTTTTGATTTTCTTTTTTGGTAATTACGTCAACAGGAATTTACTTTTTTACACATTGTCTATGGTTGAAAACGAAATGCATTTTCGAGGATTCCTACAAAAAATACGTTTATGTACTATTGTTTTTGAGAGCTTTGCTTACTTTTGCTGACAAGAGGAGGGGTATGTACCGTAATTCTTGATCGGCCCCTTATTAAACAAAATATCTCCTGCCTAACCTAAAGCACTATTGCTTTTTCCCCAGATAGCAGCTGTTATACCACCACAAAACCAGTGTAACAATACAGAAGGAACCCTGTGTGCATTCGTGCCTCGCTTTGATTTTATTCCTGAATCAGCCAGTGGACTATTCTGTGTAGATCAGGTAATACACGTTTGTTTGGCTCACTCTGTGTTGCCAACTACCTCAAATGTAGGACCTAGAATCAACTTAAGATATAATACAGGTTGTCTCAAAGGAAAGTTCATATTTATTTGATCGATTAAAAAAAAGTAAGTCGTGTATCAAAAAAGTGTTTATTCATTATTAAAGTACACATTTTGGGAATTTATTTCTTAAAAATAATACCTTCCAAATGTAGACCATCGCGTTCGCGGCTCTCATTTAATCGAACAATAAAATTACTTATGACGGCTCGGTGGACTCAGTGATGGCTGCCATTTCGTGACGGATATTTTCTTTCAATTGCGCCAGAGAAGTCAGCCTATTGGCGTAGACTTTAGATTTAAGATAAACCCTTAAGAATAAATCCATAGGGGTTAAATCAGGACTGTGTGGAGGCAGGAGGCTCATCTGATGTTAAGTGATACAGCCTATGGACACTGACATTGGCAGAAGGCTCGCAGATGCGTTGCCGGCATTGGTACCATATCTATATCCGTTATAAATTTGAATATGTCAGACTCGCTAAGCAAAAACATACTTTTCTTGGCCAGCGGCTAAAATTGGTACTACCGTCGCCATTTTGGTGCGTACAATAAATAATTTTACCATCTACATATAACAAATAAAAACCTAAATTAAATGTATTTATTTTTATTCCTTGCATTATTAATTACAATGGCAAAGTTTTAATTATCGAACGGTTCTGATTGCTAAGTATCTTAAAAGATATTATATTATTACGATAGTACACGTAACAAAACATATCATGCCAGTTGTTCCTAAGATTGTCGCATTTATTTAAGCTATTTCAATAAATTATTAAGTTATTAACATCAAATTATACCCCTTATAATGGTTAATTTTTATTTACTGGCAATACTAATATCCATGACAGCGACGCTCTTACCGGCCAAGAAAAGTGTGTGGCACTGTAGTAATATAATTTTTAATTTATTTACAGAGTCAGCAAGGCGAGAAATATTTCCTACACGGAATAATGTTGAGTTTTGCTGAGAATCTTATAAGATATACGCGGATAAGTGACTATGAGAAGTGGATCGCTGATGAAATAAAATCTATGGCTTGAATGTGAAGTATTATTTAAAACATTTCAATAATAATAATAAAATCCTGTTTCATTTCCGATCAAAAGTAGAAAATACAGCTTAGATTTGTTACATTCATTTTTTGAAGAGAAAACTTTTTTAGGCGCACGAGCGTAAAATTTTTACGGATGAAAGGCAATAATAATAATATTAGCGTCACGAAGATGTGCAGCGTTTTTTTCAAAGAAAAGGGAGAGACCGATTGAGAGAGAGAGTAAGAATAGCTAATTACATTATAGAAATACTATTTTTAAAATTAAAATTTCGTAAAGAGAATTTATGAAATATCAATACCTAGGTATTTTAAATTTTATGCAAAATAATTGATAGAAATTTCATATTAAAATGTCACGTGTTTTTATTATCGAAGAAATAAATTTAAAAAATCAAATTTATTATTTGTATTAATTTTCGACACATAATATTTTAATGACAATTATTAAATTCCTAACATATCTTTTTTCCCCCTCCCTAGTAGCTAGTAAGTATTACTAAATTCCTTTTCTTTAATTTTTTGCGACTGAGCCGCAAACTAGCTGCTGTGGTCTCTGGCAGACCAGCGCTGTGGAACAGTCTGCTCCTCAGCATAATGCTGAGCCAGGGCCAATTACAGCCGCATTACACACTTGAAACGAACCGAATGGGAAAAGGGATTTTTTTGATCTTTCTTATTATATTTTTTTCTTTGATTATTGTTATTTTGTGTGTTCATGTGTGTGTTTTTGTTAGTAATAAATTAAAAACATCGCAAAAACCAAACACAATATTAAAACCAAAATAATTTATTAACTATAAATAATCGTTTTTTCTCTTTTTATCTTTATCGTGTTTCCTCGAATGCAACGTCAACTTACTCTTAGTTATAAACCGTTTCCCACACACCACACACTCGTGGGGTTTGTCCCCCACATGTGTCTTATAATGCATCAACATATTATTCTTCTGCGTGAAGCTCTTTGCACAAATTTCGCATTGGTACGGCTTCACACCAGTATGAATTTTCTCATGTCTGTCCAAATCTGCTTTCCTATAAAATGCTGCCCCACATTCTGTGCAATTGAAGTTCTTAACTCCTGTGTGTGATAGCGCGTGGATGCTCAAATGTCCGGGCTGTGTGTATGTCTTTCCACACAGGGAACACATGTATGGGCGTTCCCCTGTGTGTGTTCTATTGTGTTTTCTCAATTCGTAACCTGTGAGGAACACTTTGCCGCATGTCGGACAAGCCTGGGGCTTCTTTTGTACTGTCCGTTTTCGTTTTTTTCTGAAATAGCAATGTTGTGTAAAATACAATCGTAAGTTCGCATATTTTATATTATTAGTTATGAATTGGACAATTCTTATATTATTTGTATAGTACATATCATACTTTATTAAATTTGTATCAACTACAGTGTCTCATGCAAATAATCATTTATTGAATAATACATTTTTTCCAAAAGTAATACACCAAGTCGATGTTTTAAAACTCCAGTCGGAAGATATTTAATTCTTTTGGTAAATTATTGTAAACCTTGCTTGCTCTACAAAAGGTGATTTCCTAAACAGCTCCAGATTGATTTTTGGCACAGCCAATGTCTCCCCATATCTACTTCTTACTTCGACATATAAATATGTATGTTTCTGTGCACGAATAAGGACATTTCTAAAATATACATACAGGGAAGAGATATTTTTTTTTTTTAAATACAATTCACACCAATTGACCTAGTCCCATGCTAAGCTGGTGAAGCTTGTGTTATGGGTACTAGGCAACGGATATACATACATATTATATATAGATAGACATATAAATACATATTTAAACACCCAAGACCTAAGCACAACACCAAATGCTCATCACATCGATGTTCGTCTCAGCCGGGGATCGAACTCGGGACCCATGGATTCGCAGTCAGGGGTACTTACCACTAGACCAATGAGTCGTCAAATTGTGAACTTCTTAAATAAAGGTACGCAACTATCAAGACGATTTGCTCCACAAATTGCGTTAATACATTTCTTTTGAGCTATTAATAAAATTAGGGTAGATGGTACTGGAAACCCCTGGCCTGATGCTTATGTACACAGCTGAGATTCTACTTATTAATTAGACATATCTTCATCTGATAGAAGTAAATAATATGGGGTTTTAGCGTTTTCTATAAATGTAATAATAATAACCATCTACTAAGATATACAGTATATAGCCGAATTACCATAGTTTTGAAGTTATACTAATTTTGGCGCATTAGGGAATAATGGTGAGTGTTAATTAAACCGTAACAAAAAACCAACACTCTGAAGTTAGCATAGTCAACATTTTAAAAAAAATCACATTTCTTTAATTATGTAGAAATAATTTGTGATATTTAAATAAACTATATTTCAGATAATGCGCCACTGAAAAAAGGAATGGTGGATAAGCCTTTGCTCCACCTCAGGGCAAACATTAATAGCTAAAACCAGGGGAACAAAAAGCAACTACAGTGTTGCTACCAAGTGTAAAAAATTCCCTTAAACTACGTTCAAACATAGCGAAAGGCTGCATACTTTTGTGGAGGATCATCCTCGTCCGAGATCTCAATAATTTCACATTTAACTTCTATTGGTTCAGAAACATCAATATCTCCCATCTGAAATGAGAGAAAGAATTATGAAATAAAGTGTGCAATAGACTTGATATATGGCAAATATTTTAATTACTAAAATGAAAATTTATGTATCTTGTGGTCAAATCTTGACTTTTCTGCGTACCAAAATATGTAAGAGATATTAAACAACATACTGTGTCCCTCACATAGGTTTTTTTCTGAAAGATGACAGGAACTTTTGAGAATGTACCAGCCTAAAGTTCCCGTTTTTCGTAGAAATTATAAAATTTGTTAAAATTCCTAATATTTTAGATTACTTAGCCAATGCAATTCAAGAGTATCTTGATAACTGATAACAGTATGTTTACAAGATTACAAGACTAACAAAAGCTTTAAGATATATATAATTGATTAAACTGAACACATTTAAGAGTGAAGGTCTTTGTTTTTGCTTACATTTTATAAGTTTGAACACATATTCCAATAAATCATATTAAACCATCTTATGAAATGTTTTTCTACATGCATTTCTTTAGCGTTATCTAAACGTTTAAAACTTATACTTTAAGGTCTCATTTAAATTAATTGTAACAATAATAATATAAACTTTAATAAACGACAACAACACGGTACAATGTTGTTTACACGCACAAATAAAAAAGTTCTAAGTAAATTATCACTGTGTCAAAACTTAATGTCACAGTGACAGTACAAATAGGTCACAGTACACATTGAATTTTTTCCAAAAATAAATCACTACGAAAAAAAATTACTTTAATGTTATCTAAATGCAACTCAAATATTTATTTAATGTATATATTTGATTATAATTAAACTAATATTATACTACATACGTATATTCATGTTTAAATACTACTGGCAATACCGTAGGTAGGTATGTGAAAAGAAGGTCTATAAAATATAACCCGTCTAAATCCAAAAGTTCTCCAGTAACGTGGATATAAATACAATATTTATATCAATTTAAATTGAAAGTATAATTATATTCAGGTTACCATGATGTCATACTGCCTAATTTAAATGTGACGTACCTATTTCCACATTTATGCCGGTGCGACCGAGTAGTTCGCTATAAAATTGCATTTACTTAAACGTTTCCATTGTGAATAAGTGAAAAATGTCTCATTATCAGTTTAAAACAGCGGGTAAGTACTAACAATCGAATTGTATACTAATTCAATTGTTTATATTAATTTTAATCTATTAAATTTCTACCATATGATGGTGAATTTTTTTTGTTGCGAAGTGTTTTATTGATATTTCATTAGAATCTTATTTTTATCATTAAAAACAGCTGTTACACGATGATATCATTGTTTGTTATGCAGTCTGTGCAAGTTGACACAATCTTCGATCGATTAATCAACATACTAGGTCATGGTCGAAATATTGTGTAGATACGAATTACGAAAAAGTCAAGTAGGCTTTTAGTGGGGTTAACGTAACGTACAAAGAAGTTACTCAAGTGTTATTTTTTTAACTATGTAGATTGTAGGTACCTAAAGAATATGTATATTGGTAACATTGTGAAGAAAAAAAACTTTCTCTATTATTTGGAACTGCAATTTCCAACTGATGTCATGGGTTGGGCTGTCGATGTCGCCGCACTTTTTTGATGATACTGATCACGTTTTATGATATCCTTTTAAAATGACACACTGACCAGAAGCAAAATTAAATATCAATCATTAGATTCAACTGTAAGAAGGGGGAATTCGGAAACATTAAAAAAAAACAATTCTAGAGAAATAAATATATGTATTTTTTATTTACCCATAATATACAATGGTATATTATGGGTTTTTTAAGTTGATAACTATTAAGGAACTGAGTACTAAAGAGTTCGTCAGTATCTCAATCGATTTATAGTCAAAACTTTAGACTTGCATTTCGACTTGGCATCTGTCTCTTCCGTCTTATAAAAAAAAAGTGCGTGCGTACAAAGTACACATGTCAGTAGTGAAACTTCTTTGTAAATTAATTATCACTAAGGTAAAAGCCCCAATAGATGATCATGTACCAGTATATGATCACTCCATTTATTTGTATATCTATATTCACACTGTTTACACACTGTATACGTGCTAATTATATAAATAAATAAAAAATCTGCGTTTACTGCACAAGACGTTATGCGTCAGAATTGCCATCTAAAGTTCTAATATGTAACTACTAAACGAACACATCAACCAATAGCGTATATTTTTTCTCGATCTCCCATACTCTCTCTCAATCTTTCTCACTATAGCTCTCTCCCACTTCTCGCTCTATGGCACTGTGCCGTGTGCGTGATGCAACGTTTGCACTTTCTCACTGTCTCTCACGGTCTCAATCGCTCTCTCCCTTTTCTTCGACAAAAACGCTGCACATCTTCGTGCCGCTAATATTATTATTATTGCGTTTCATCCGAAAATCACTTCAAAATACTGAAAATGTTATTTCCAAGTTAAAAGTAACAGGGTTTTTGATGTATAGGGCTTTTAATCGGTTATGCCTTTGTGATAAGAATAAAATAATAAATTGTGCGTGTACCAGGTGTACACACGTAAGAAGTGAAACTTCTTTATGATCTTATTTTTCGAAAAATGATCTACTATATGCAACTTTACAGAAATTCGTTAAATTAGATAAAGTTTAACAAAAGGCTTTTATTATCATAGACATGAATACAAATATTTCATTTTACCTTATTACTACGAATATTATTATAGAATTTCATTAATTGTAATAGAATTATTACTATCATTGAAAAACGTGACGATTTGCTACAAAATTTCTCCCATACGTCGATAAAGAAGTTTCATTCCAACGCCGATAAAGAAGTTTGACTTCAAAAAGCAACATGGCGCGTAACCGAAAAATGTGACGCGTAACGAAAAAAGGGTGCGTGTACTTATGTACGCGCGTAAGAAGTTATACTTCTTTGGCATTATTAAAAATAGTTTTTGATTGCCTGCAAATAATTAATTACAATTAAATAATCAAAGACTGGAAAAGGAGTCATTAAAGTCAATAAAGTTCAGTTTACATTTGAAAAATTAATTAAATAAATATTTATTATTATTCTCTTACATTAAACAAATAAAACACTATTTATCTTTAAAACATTTTTATTTCATTATACTATTTATTTTTAAGTGACTCTAATGTCTTCATCAGAATTTCGGTTTGTAATTTTAAATTAATCATTACTTGGTTGTGCATCTACGAGGCTTCTCCAAAACTACTTGCTTTCTGCAACAAATAAGAGAATATTAATTTAAGCTCTGTCCATGCAAAACTTAAAAATTTTTATAATTCATATTATAAATTTTTTAACACATTTATATTAATATAATTATATAAATGTGTTAATAATATAATTTGTAGCACATGCTACAGACCTGGATAGCAACTTTCTTTTATTCTATTTAGAGATAATTTAAATATAATACCGGTGTCTTCCTTGTAGGTTTCTTTGGAGTTGTTTGGGGATTCTTGTTGTTCAGTTCGACATGATTTTCTTTAACCTTTCTTTAATCCTACAAAATAATGAAATTGTTAAGTTATGTTGTCACTGTTGTGCACACCTTTGTTTGGCTTTTTTAGTATTCAAGTTATGTCAAAACTGATTTATTACCTTGTCATTGTTGGCTTTATTTGCTTTTGGGATATCAATTATTTCCAAAATGATTTTATTTGTAATAACCTGAAATATATAAATAACATCTATTAATTTAAGTATCATGGTGAGTGGTTCGCACTCAGGTATTAAGGTGTATTATACCCACTGTCCATTATAAGTGGGAATGGGCTCACTTCTGGCAGGACAGTTTCGGTACTACAAGTGCAACATGGATGTTTTGAGGTATTACAATATCTCTAACTACCCTGTAGGGGAATAAAGTAATGTTGTAAGCATATGCCTATGCTTGAAAGGTTGAACCTTGAACATCACCATACATCATATTTATAATTAACATTCCTACCTCGACACCATCACAATCAAATTCATTGAAATCTACTTCAAACCATTGTGTCTCGAGAAGGTGATGGTGGCTTTGTTCCACCTCCAGTTTTTGATGTTTCACGGCGATAAGATGACAACTCTTTTTTTGTATTCAATTTAGTGCACTTCCACTGATTCATCAATTGTTTTTTGTCTCTTGTCCTTATATTTGCTAGATTAAATCTGATGAAATATTCTACGACCCTATATATCAATAATTGAGAACAAAGATTTAAGCACGAATACTAATAAGGAGAAAATGAAGGCTTGGAGCGATATAACAGAGAAGTAAACATTTTAATAAGTACCTGCATCTCAAAAAAATGACCACATTATCATCAGCACTTCCACTGATTCATCAATTGTTTTTTGTCTCTTGTCCTTATATTTGCTAGATTAAATCTGATGAAATATTCTACGACCCTATATATCAATAGGGTCGTAGAATATTTCTAAAAAGTTGCTGTAACAAACGCAATAAACAAAAGCAATGAATAATGGTTCATGTTTCAGTTTTAATCAACAATAATACTCGATAATACATACGGATAGTTAACCTCAATTGTATTGAAGCACTCAGGAAGGTTAGCACAGTTTTTTCACAAATATTTTATATTATTTCACAAATATTTTGTATAATGAAAATAACTAGGTATATAATTATTAATTTTAAACAATAATTAAAACTCCTATATTTGTTTAAAAGGTAAATGTCATTGTCAGATGTCAATTGTCATGGTCATTCAAAATTCTTGTTAAGCTGCTAAGCTAGAATATGCGTGAAGTTAGCTTCACGCATATTCTATTTCTTTTTACTTGTAGTTTGTCTTATTCCCATCTCGCTCGCGCACGCTATATCACACTGCCAATTTTGTGTCATAGGTGCGCGCGCAATCGTAAAATTTCACTCTCATCAATTTTTCATAACGCGCCTAAAGAAGTACAACTTCAAAAATGTTACACTAAAGTTTTTTCCAACCTCGATAAAGAAGTTTTACTTCAAAAAGTATGTTGGGGAAGTTTTTTTTATTGATAAAGCGGAACTAGTGTTATCTTTCTATGTTACCGTAACACGTTATCATTTGAATGCATTATCTTGTAGGTTTAGTCATTTGAATTGATGGTTTTAACTTCTGATTCGCTTGGCAGTCAGCCGTGATGAGCGGTTACTCAAAGAAAATACTAATTCTCCACAGGCAATTAAGTTAAAATGTAAAAATTAAGTGTAGAGGAAAATAGCCACATAATATATCTATACTATATATAAAATTCTCGTGTCACAATGTGACCGATTCTTATGAAATTTTTTATGCATATACAGTAAGTCTGAGAATCGGCTACTATATATACTTCAACCACCTAAGTTTTTTTTTGTTTTTTTTTATGATACAGCATACAAGAATACATACAACTCCTAATTTTCACCCCTCTACGATCAATAAGTTATTTTTATTGTACTAAAAAAATGTTTCCAAGAAATAATATACATTTCAAAACAAACGTTTGCCGGGTCAGCTAGTTTCCAAATAAAATTTAAATACTTGTGAAAAAAGTGAAATGATTCTTCATAATACAAAGTTGTTTAACTAAACCAGATAATTTTGTATTTTTAACTAAAGTTTTATCAAACTCTAATTAACCCAAGTACACTTATGAACGTCAACAGAAAATGTTGAATTGATTCTAAATTTACAATTACCAGTTCGCAAGTCAAGGGCGTAGAACGGGCGAGAAGAACTGGCAAGAAACTCTCCACCACTCTTTTTAATCGCCAAGTTTTGAGTCATACAAATTGTTTGAACTGGAGCAAATCAATCATTTAAATAATCGTCAAATTTATAAAAAGCTTTATTGATTGTTGTAAAAACGAACACATTTTCCATATAAGGAGTGGTTAATCTTCTGGAACCTGGTTGATCGTACGCTTACATTAGATCTGTTTCGATTATTATACTGGTGAAAGTCACAATTTGTTTTTAAATCGTGTATATTTTTTTGTACATACAACAAGGTTTCAAGAATATATTGACCAGATAGTGTCATAATATTTAATTCCTTAAACTTATTCCGTATCGACTCCCTTGAAACACAACAAATACGACGGCTCATTAGTCTAATGGTTAGTACCTCTGACTGCGAATCCATGGGTCCCGGGTTCGATCCCCGGCTGAGACAAACATCGATGTGATGAGCATTTGGTGTTGTGCTTAGGTCTTGGGTGTTTTAATATGTATTTATATGTCTATCTATCTATAATATGTATGTATATCCGTTGCCTAGTACCATAACACAAGCTTCACCAGCTTAGCATGAGACTAGGTCAATTGGTGTGAATTGTCCAATCATAATACCCCGAACAGCCCGCTTCTGCAGCACAAATATGGATTGAACCTCTACAGCAGCACCCCACAGTAGAATACCGTACGATATAACGCTGTGAAAGTAGCTATGATATGAATCAGCTAATAAATGTTTACAAAACTCACCTAAAATATGTTGCGTAAATTAACCTACTTTTATATAAATACAGTGCCCTATTTAAAGATTTACAGCAACATACAATATCAGATTTATTAAGATTCCCTAAGTAAAGAGCAGTGTTCGGTGTGCGACTCTCATCCCTGAGGCCGTAGATTCCATCCCCAGCTGTGCACCAATGGACATTTATTCGCTCGAACTGTGAAGGAAAACATCGTGAGGAAAACTTGCCTTAGACCTAATAAGTATGTGTGTGTCAGGAGGCTGATCATCTACTTGCCTATTAGATTGACAAATGATCATGAAACAGACACAGAAATTTGAGGCCCGGACCTAAAAAGGTTGTAGCGCCATTGATTATATGGGTGCTACTTGTGGTTACTGGTCGGACTTGAATTCGTGTATGCGCTGATGTTAGTTATTTTGACTATGTGTTTGCGTGTTGTTCCCACGAATGAATGAATGAATGTAAGTGCGTGTTACTATTACACCATGCCTCCTGCTGATAGAGGACCAATCTTTATTAATAATTAAGTATTCATTACTTAAGATGCCACGTGGGGCATGGTGTAATAATTGCAGCTCCTTACAAACATTGTGTAAAACAAAAAACTTGGCAATTAAAAAGAGTGGCGGAGTCCTGGAATGCGAGGCTGTGGCTAAACAACGTACAGAAATCCTCGGAACAGTGAGGTCGCTCCGTGAAGCCTGCGAAGTACCCAGGAAGCTTCTGTGCTTCTGGAAGGAGTTAGGCTGGCTTAGTTAGCCAGGGCTCACGTACAACGGACCTAGTGAGCGTCTAAGTGCGGAAAACGAGTCCACAAACCATACCATACCATACCATAAGAGTGGCGGAGAGTTTAATGCCAGTTCTTCTTTCCGTCTTCGCCTTTGATTTGAGTAACTGGCAGTAAATGTAAAATTAGAAGCATTTAATGTATATTTCTTCATAAGTGTACATTGTGTTACCTAAATGAATAAATGATTTTGAATTGTGAATGTACATCATCATAAGTTTTTACAGTCAGAGACGCCCACTTAACCACGAGGTCAACACTGCACTGCTGTTCATGTCCTCTCAAATATCATTTGCATAACGGGCGTTTAGCTAAACTCAACCGTTGAATCGCATTTAATAGTACTTTCACCACTTCCAGGTCCTCTCCCGCCACCAGCACTGCCAGCAGACAAGCTCAGACTGTACCATGTAGATATGAACCCATACGGTCACAGAGTCCTTCTAGTATTGGAGGCGAAGAAGGCCAAATATGAAGTGTACAAATTGGATCCGTTGAGGCTACCAGCTTGGTTTAAAGAGAATAACAGGAGATGTGAGTAGGGGTGTTATTTTTAATAGGATTTCGACAATTTTGGCAATCATCACAGGTCATAGACACCCAGTTCAGTATTTATGGAATATTTAAGGCAGTTTTGCCGCGCACCACTAATGTGGAACCAGCTGCCCAGTGACGTATTTCCAAACCGATTCAGCTTAGGGTTCTTCAAAGGCCGTACCAATTCTTATATGGCAACGGCGAGCCCTCTGGCAGTGCAAAAAAAGGGCTAATGAAAGAAGATAACGAAAAAGCGCGGCAAATAAAAAAAAAATAGTATGGTATCCCTAAAAGTTTGATATATTTTGTGGATTTAACTTGATACTTGATTTTATTTTATTATTTTTTACATTGATAGTAACGTATTTATTATTTTACTATTGATACTTAAAATGACTAGCATTGCATGGAAAACTAAAACTATATTTATTATAAATCACAACTTTATTCGGAATAATCAAACCCTGCGAAAGAAACGAAATATTCTATCAAATAAAACAATGTTTAGGCTATTATACCTGTTAACTATTCGAAAAAAATATATACTAGAAATAAAAATTGAGTAATTGCATGAAGTATCAAGACAATAGATCATACTAACCTAAGAAATTCAATGACATTCTGTGTTGCCATCCGAAAGTTTTCAAATAATTCAATTATCTTCTTTCATTAGCCAGACTCTATCACTTAACATCAGATGAGCCTCCTGCCCGTTTGCCCCCTGTTCTCTAGAAAAGTAGAGGTTTTAATTAAGGCAAATTTATTTTATTAAGTCTTAGTGAGATCCAGAAACGAAACTTAGTGCTATCTGACTCTCTTACGTCAACAATGTGGATTTTGACGTTTCATGAATTGTCAAGTCTCGTTTATGAATCTCATTCTAAATTCTTTTCAAAATTATCTCTTTCTACATTATACAGAGCATTGGTCACTTCTTTTCTGGCTAGATAGATCTGTATGTAGTGTACTATACTTTCTCCTACTCCGCTGGGGTCCGTTCAAGTATTACGTAAGTACTACCCCCTATAGGGGGGAGGGGGTTCTTTGATTGTCTTATTTGGTGATTACGTCAACAGTAATTATTTACTGTTTTACACATGTTACCCACACATTGTCTATGCTTGAAAACGAAGGCATTTTCAAGGATTCCTAATAAAATTAATACGTTTATGTTCTATTATTTTTAAGAGCTTAACTTACTTTTGCTGACAAGAGGAGGGGGGGATAAATTGCAGTTAATCTGCTTACGTAATACTTAAAAAGCCCCATGGCTCTGCTATCCAAAAAGAAACTTAGCCACCAAAATGAGTATCTTCCAGCGTGAAAGCCTGCATAGGACAGGCCTATGCAGGCTTTCACCCTCCCGCTTGCTGGCTTTCACCTGCAGTAGGTCCTCCACCACTCAATAGATCCAGCGCCCCTGATTTATTTTATTATTGAAGTTATACTTCTTTTGGCGCGTTAGGGAATATGATGATAGTAAATTTTTACGATGCGCACGCACACCGTCACAAAAAACCGACACCGTGAAGTTGGCTATATTTACCATTTTAATTTTTTTCTATTGTTAGTATCGTTTTTTTCTACAAACGTATAATAAAAATTTTGAAAAGACTTTTATCTTGTTACGCCAAAGAAGTATAACTTCATAACTTAACATAACTTTTTGTTTTATTATATTTTAAAATTATTACAGATAAAATCCCAGTATTGGAAGTACCGACAGACCATGGCGACAAATATCTATTTGAGAGTGTGGTCATCTGTGATTATTTGGACGAGAAATACCCGCGGAATCCATTGCATTCCAGCGATCCGTTCGTGAAGGCACAGGACAGATTGCTTATCGAAAGATTTAATGAGGTAATATTAATAAATTCTTCACTTGAGACTATCTTTATTAGAGCATCTTCTACCGCATTTACCATGGAGAATGCTTAGAGGAGTTGTTCGGATTAATACCTGCAGCTGAGTTTCATCTTCGGTAAAGCAGAATACAAAATACTATCCGTATCAAACTCAAACTCAAAATAACTATTCATGTAGGTACTTATGAACGTCAACAGAAAAGATGTTAAATTGATTCTAAATTTACATTTACTACCACTTCGCAAGGGCGTAGAGCGGGCAAGAAGAACTGGCAAAAACTCTCCGCCACTTTTTAATCGCCAAGTTTTGGTCATGTCTCTCCTCAACGTCCGTTGTCCGCGCACCCCTACTATGTGGAACCAGCTGCCCACTGAAGTATTTCCAAATCAATTCGACATAGGGTCCTTCAAAAAAAGACCGTCCCAGTTCTTAAAAGGCCGGCAACGCACTCGCGAGCCCTCTGACATTGACAATGTCCGTGGGTGGTAGGTATTTCCAAATCAATTCGACATAGAGTCCTTCAAAGAGCGTCCCAATTCTTAAAAGGCCGGAAACGCACTCGGGAGCCCTCTGCCATTGAGTCCATAAGCGGCGGTATCACTTAACATCAGATGAGCCTCCTGCCCATTTGCCTCCTTTAACATAAAAAATCTAATGTAACTAAAACAAATGTCTATTAATCAAAGGATTTTCAGTTTTTGAATTGCAGTAGCGTATTAGACCAGAGAAGAATCTAAATTTAATATTTTTAATTATTCCATAATCCTACAGATAACATTAATTATATATAACTAAAGATGGAACATATACAAAAAGGTTTAAACATTAACGAAAGTATAAATAATAATTATTCAATTTAACTAAGTAATACCTAATTCGGCTGTGGATGTGTGTGTGATGGTGTGTATGGTGTGCTCATGATGAAAGATTTAGCGCTATAGATATTCTTGATACTCCTTTGAAGATTCCACGTAAGCTTAAACAATGTAGTGGTCGTTCTTTTTCAAAATATTTTTTTTAATTTTTCATTCGATAAAAGAGGTTATACATATATGTCGTCAATCGACATACTCATCAGCGGGCTTAGTGGGCGTCATGTGGGTAATCTTCGAGCACAAAGGATGCGAATAAAATTAATGTTGATTAATATTGATACCTTTTAACAATACCAATAACACTTGAGTGGGTTGCACCGATTTCACTTTTAATCAAAATAAATTAGACCCAACTCGGTCCAACCTCATCACCACAATGCTCCACTCCATCAGAACTGTCCCCAGAACTCTGCTCTGATTGGTAGTAACAATATTCATTAAGTAATGATCCGAAATTATGTAACAATTAAATAATATTAAATTATAATTCTTTAAAGTAATAGAAGATGAACCAAAGCAACAATAAAAAAAATCGACTCGATCATCATCACAATTTGGCCTCGGCATTTTAAGCAAATAAAGTCCCTTTTAAAAAAAGGGGAGTTTTGACATTCCTCTGCTGCCTTCTCGGCCACAGATCTATCTGATCGCTTGCCTGATAGGCTAATAAAAAAAAAACGTGTGGCAGTCGGGTACTGCCGCGGTAAAGCTATTGCATAGCAATTTTTATCAACTTATGCAATTATAATTATTTATTTATGCGGTATTTTTTTCTTTGATATTAATTCAATCTACAAGACTCAGACTAACCCGCCTAAATAGTCTATCTCACACTAACGCGTCACCGACCTCGTCAGAGAAATGTTAATACGCAGTATGCGTTCTGTCCCGCTCTAACGTGTATTTGCCGCACCTATATTACGTTATCGCGTTAGGTTTATTTTCGTTACGGTATTTATTGATTCGGTCGCCGCGCTCAAAGCCCGCGATAAAATCAATGCAATAGCTTAAAAAACTTTGCGTCTCGGGACGCCTGACAGAAGTGATAACTTAAAGTAATCTTTGTTAAACTATTTAATTCTGTAATGTCCCCAAGAATCATCTTCTGCTTCATTCATCAAATGTTTTATAACTTTTAAGAACGGTGATAGATGTTATATGCTCACTGTAAATATCTAACGCACACTAAACACTGAGTGGACAGAGGCGAAAACGTCTGTCCGAAATACGACTAACGCTGCGGGTTAGAGTGAGAGAGGAGGAGCCTACCTACCGCTCCCGTATGCGTGAGAGAAACGGAAGCTTGACAGACTGGCGCCGTGACGCGTTACGTAACGAAGAGGTTTACCCTCCCATAGGAAGTTATCACTTAAAAAAAACAACATTGCCTGACATATATATGTATTTTTGCGGTTTAGGCCATTAAATATAACTTCCAATAACTATTCTCACGATTTTTTGGCCTATAGACCATAGGTGGGCTATATATACATATTCAATACATCGGCAAAATATAATTATCTATATAATATAATTTTTCAGTTAATCAAAGGTAGTCTGGAGTGCTTCGATACAAACTTCGTATTCGGCAGTGAACAAATTCTGCAGACAATGGATATTTTCGAAAAGGAATTGGCGTTTAGGGGTGAGTTCTTTTTCTCTTTTAGGCCGGCAACGCACTCGCGAACCCTCTGGCAATGTAATCACTTAACATTCGGTGAGATTCTACCCGATTGCCCCATTATATAAATTTTAAAAAACCCTCATGGACTCCGCTATTGAAGTGTTTCCGCTACAGTCTCCTTTGGATATGAGGAACCTCCCTTCCGTTACAGGCTGATCATCCTGTGACGTCTATTTTTAAGGCATTATCCCAGCACGAATTGCTGTGTCACTGTCTCGGGGTGGACTGCGGGGCACATTGGAGAGCTGAAGGCGCGCCGGCCCGTAATAACAATTAGTTATGTAAAACATTAAATTAATGTAATTTGATAGAATTAAATTAAATATTTTTTTCTGAAATGGATTACTTGGCTTGCGATCGTGTAAATTTCAAAATCATGTTCTATATACATTTTCGTCATAAAATGAATTCAAAGTGTCAAAAATTGGCTATGTTTGGATTTTATTCTATCAAGCGAAGTTATTTAAATCGTGTATCGATCTTTCAAAATGGATACGTAAACTACTCAACTCCACCATATATTTTTTCCATTCTCCCTATTTCAAGAAATGATGACGAAACATGGAAAGAAACAATGTACTTTTTTGGAGTTAGGCGACGGATACGGGATTTGCACTACCTCAGGAGGGCGTCTATATCCAGGGAATACCGATTCGAAATAACAATAATTATTTTTAGGTACAAATTATTTTGGCGGGGACCGTCCCGGAATGTTGGACTACATGATTTGGCCATGGCTGGAACGCCTTTACCTCATGAGGGTAGTCGATCAGCGAAAGTTTGACGATAAACGCCACTATTTTCCTAATTTTGTAAGTACAACTCAATCTTTAACATAATATATATGTCGCAGCCAACTAGCTTAATTAGCCGTTCAATAAACAGCCTAGCCTTTTAACTAAACGGCGCCGTTTAACTAGCGGCCTTAAAGATATTCAGTTGATCACACAGCTAGGCAAATGACTTGGATCGATGATGTTTCATTACTTGCCTAGCCTGTTGACTGTTAATTTAAATTTAATTACACTTTCTGCCAATCTCAAACTCGAAACGAAACTCTTCAAACTGTCAATATGGCGTCGGCAAACCACAACTTTGATGGTGTTTTCCAAAGTTTAATGAAAAACAACAAATGGAAGAGTGTAGTGACAATAATAATGTGAATTTAACTGTGACTCAGACAATTTAATTTTTAAAGAAATATTTTTTGTCATATTATGTTTCATCTTTTTTATTTGTGCCTAATAATGATTTTATCGTACGAATGGCCTAAGCATTAGCCAGTTTATTAAATGTAACAAACGCTACGGCTGAATAATATGTTTCAGGCCGCTAGTTAAAAGGCTAGGCTGTTAATTGAACGGCTAATTAAGCTAGTTGGCTGCGACATATATATAATTGAATGTATTTTTGATGCATATTTGAAGTTACCTATAAAACTAGAGGGTTTGAATTGATATATATATATTTTATGTAATAGGATGCAAATGGGCAGGAAACCTCATGTTAAGTGATACCACCGCCCATGGACACTCACATTGCCAGAAGGCTCGCAAGTGCGTTGCCGGCCTTTTAAGACTTGGTACGCTTGAACGACCCTTGTCGAATTGGTTCGGAAATACTATGTTGGAGGTTTACCTGCCTGGGGAAGGTTTAGATTGTCTGAAATAGAATGATAGAGCAAAAAAACTTGCCAAACGACATCCAGGCGGATGAACACCTCCAATACTTACCTTTCCCTCGCAATATATTTATGAAAATATTATATATGTATACAAAAATAGTGATAAGTTTACTAGAATAGAACATACGCACAATGTTAATACTCGAAACAAACGCAGGTTGCAATTTCCCCGTACTAGACTATCTAAAGTTAGTAATTCTTTTTTGGGAAAGCTCTTTTGATTCTGCCTTTTAATAAATTTAAGAAATGTATTAAAGAAAAGCTTACTATAAAGTTAACGATTATCTAGTTGATAAAAGGGCCTGGGACTAGTGCTAGACAGGCTACTTCTAATTAATTTGCGATATTTGTTTTAAAATAAGTGTTGTTTGATGATTTACTATTTTAAAAGAGTACCGAGAGTTTTGTACGCCGGCTTTTTCTCTCAGCCTACACCCTCTGTCTTCTTTGCCGATGATTAGGGATTAATAATGACGTGGAATAAGTGATACCTGTATCTTATATTCCATAATAAACATATTTTTTTTATTTTTATACAAACAGCAATTTTCATATTCACAGGCGGACTGGGGTGATCTAATGCAGCTAGATGACGTGG